AAGAAGTTATAAAGAGACAGAAGGAGGTGGGTGGAGTAGGAAACTTCTTCTTTATCAAAATCTGCTCCATTAGATTCTACATTACCTTAAATTTTAGATTCTAGAGTGGACTTCAGGTTGAGACTGAGGGAAACAGCAGCTCAGCTCATGACACCATGTGGCTGCAGCGTGAAACTGTTTTACAGGTGCTCTGTATCTGCAGCTCTGCTGATCCAGCTCTCCTCAGGTTTCTTTTCTACCAAAAATGTTTGCAATTTAGAGCACGGATTCTTTCGCTTTTTCCAGGAAACATTCAGTCAAAACAAACGGGTCCATTCACACAGGAGTGGAATAAGATTATTCTCAAGGCTTTCAAGAAGATCATGCGCTTATAGGAAGTTGCGTAATACTCTGAATGAGTCAGAGTGGCTTCAGAGGAAGAGTTAATAAAAACAGTGTGTGTTCGTTCTGCCTGTTTGTGTGCTGCAGAGAGAATACACGCTTCACTGTTGTTATGTTTGATATTGTAATGAAGCAGATCTGGTATCATATTTCGGTGAAAATGTGGATGCATGTGAGCCGGACCTGCATGGAAAGAGTCCGCTCTCATGCTCAAACTCCCTCATGTGCCTTTAACACACTTACATCATGACTCATAAGTAATGCGAGCGCCACAACGCCTTCAGCCATCATACGTGTTACTTCTTTGTGCCCGTGTCCTCCTCCACTGCTGCTGCACAGATTCAGGTTATACAACAGGTTGCTCCATCCAAACAATCTGATTGGACGGATGAGAAGCGGACATGTGTGCTGCTTTTGAATACACGCAATCAGCTCTAATGACATGTTATTATGTGAGACTTTCATGTTGTGGATTTGTGAACAAACTACCCGCATGTAAAATGTTGAACGTGACAAACAAAATTTATGGCAGCATTTAGTCTGATTTATTTTGTAGGTGGGATATGCATGCAACTTTCTGCAGAGGTCTGCATGTGTAAATTTAGCAGATTCCTTTTAATGGTGGACACGTTGCTATATGTGTTGATAAAAGTTAAATAAGGTTATCCAGGATGGTCTGATGGTAAATTACTGAACAGAATTGTCACATATCCATAACTTTTTGAAGTCAGATGATTTAATTGGGTTGTCAAGCTGTTATTAGTGTGTAGTGTAACAGCAGCTTCTGCACCACAAAGATATCAGGTCTGGTAAATGATTAAATCACCTTCACTTCCGTATTTGCTCCGTCGAGCAGCGCTGTCATCACATACAGGATGCATATTTGGAGCATGGCAGCAGCGTGGTGTAGCCCCGGTCAGCTGGGCTCAGTATAGAAGAAACAGCATGCTCACAACAGGTTGTTTTGGTCGATTTCCTGCTAATTTGGAAATAATTCAGTGACCGTTGAGCCACTACTATATGTGAAAAAGCATGAGAATTTACAGTTTTTGTTTTTGCAGGTTTACTCATGTTTAATAAAGTAAAGTTTGTTCTTTTTTGCTGTGCTGTTACCTTCAGACAGAGTTAGCGGTTCAAAGTCCTGTTGGGGTCCACATGGATCAGGGATTGACCATCGGATCGTTCTGTGTTACTGATAAATCCATAACCAGGAAGTATTTCTCATCTACAGGAACTGATGCGCAATTGGGAGTTTGCATTTGGTGTTTTATTTTGAAATACCGGATGAAATACGCGGTTTACATGCTTGACATCCTGTCTTGAATGATCTTCTCTGTGTAGATTTACGGGTGTTGGATGAGTAGAACAGCAAAAATAGACTTGGCGAGTATTTTTAGTAGGGCTGCGCTCGATACACTTCTGATACGGAGCTGCATTAGAGCAACATATTTGCTGCGTGATATGCATTGCTGCCAATAAACGCTCAATACCGATCCTGTATGTTTTAGCCTTTACCTGAAAAGACAACACTGCCAAATTAACAATCATCATGCTTTTATTTTGAAAATTTTCTGTCATGTTAAGGTTGCATCTTTTCACGCATGGTTAGGCTATGCTTTTATTTTGAAGTACACTACACCTAATAGATCTTAAGTTAAGGAAACACAAGGAAACAGCACTTCTTCAATTAAAAGACATGCAGCTACCACCCTAATAATGGTGTATTTTGCAAAAGATGTTACCTTAATGTCTAATAACAAGAACAAGATGTAGAGACAAAGATTTTAATATGGGTGTTGTGGATCTACTGGACTTGGAGCCAAGCCAAAGTGGACACCTTATAGAGGCTGCAGGTGGTAACACTCCTGCACTGCACCAAACATCCAACCTGCACAAAATGACTGAAACTGTCTTGCAGCATCAGATTTAAAGTGTATTTATCCAATCTGGGCCAGTTTATAATGTTTACAGTATGAGCTGGCTGATGTTGTCATATCGGTTGTGTCATTTTGGCATTACATTTAGTTTTTTTGGTCAAGCAGCTATTCCAGTGAGCAATGAGACTGGATTAGTAAGATTGCAGGAGCCTGTGGTGTCGATCCAAGCCGCAATGCTTAAGATTTCAAAATAAGAGCGCAAATGCCAAAGCTTGAGTTTGTGATGGATTTAACAAAGCATCTAAACAAATGTAGTTTTCCTTTACATTTTGCATCAAGAGTTTTTTATTTTTCAGTTTCAATTTCACTTTTTTGTCTGAATGATTCCATTGATCGAACATTTGTGTTGAGCGAAAACAAAACTGTGACATTTCCAAGCACAACAAAACCCACTGTACAACAGGCTGGTGTCGGTGTGAAAGCCTCATCACACAGTCCACCCACTGTACCCAACAGTCTCCTGCAGCCGTCTAATTATAGTGCATGTAAATGAGGATTTGGCTGTGATCTCTGCGAGCTTCAGAACAATGATTCACGTCAGATTTTGAAGAAGAAGCATAATGGAAAAACAACAATTTAAAGATGGAAAGGCTGAATCACCGCACACACACACACAGCTGTAAACATAACAGGTGAGTCATTTCCTTTTTAATCTGCCTGTAATCACCATCATTATAAAGTTATGTTGTGCAAACACCTCCTCTGACCTGCAGGTCGTAACTTTGTCCAATGAGGATGAGTCATAGAGAGGAAGTTACACCCTCCAACACCTCGACTAAAACTCTGCAATGCTGCAAGAACATTATGTACAAAAACGGCCTAATTAAGTCATATCAAGCTGTCAGACCACCCCCCCCTGTTCACTGGGAGTTAAGAGGTGGCCTTCAAGGACAAGAAGCTCCTGTGATTCATAAGTGTGATCCTCCATTTTCAAGCTTTTATATCAAAAACGTCCAATAATACAAATACTTCTGCACACAACAAAAAAATCGTCATCTTTGTCTTCCAGCTGCTGTATTTCCAGGAAAAAGTAAAATGTTTTTTTCTCATCAGAGCTGTAAATCATCATCTTCTACATCCTCATTCAAATTGACAAAAATAAACTTCTAGTCTTTCTGCTAATTGTCTCGTTTATTTGTAGTCTTTTTCATAAAAATCTAAAAAAATCCTCAGCTGGGCTTCAAGTTATTGAGTCACTGCTGCTAAAAGCGGTTACAAGTTTCTTTGTTTTTTTACAGGAAAGAAAAGAAAGAAAATGTTAAAGGGAATAAAACAGAGAAAAACTTCAAATTACAGCTGCTGGCTCTCAGAGAAAATTGTAACTTCAGAAAACCTTTACAAGAATTCAAAGATGATCTTCTCAAAACTGATGAGTTTTAACTGTGTAGCTGTGTGTTTCTTTTTCACCGTCTCTGAGGTCTGTGGTGATCTTTGTAGAAAAACAGCAAAGATTTTTTCATTTTTCAAGCGGCAAATGTTTCACACCATACGGCAAATAAAGTGTAAAAAAAAGACAGCAAAGAAAGAATAAAGAACGGAAAAAAAAGAAAAAAATGGAGGTTGTGAAAGAAAAAAGTAAGTAAGGAAAAAAAGAGTATGAAAATCAGGAAAAGAGAAAGAGACAGAGAAAGAAAAGAATGAAAAGAAGAAAGAAAGAAAGAAATAATAAAGAGAAAAAGGAGAGAAAAATGAAAGAAAGAAATAAAGAATGAATGAAAAGGTAAAAGAAAGAAAGAAGAAAAGTAGAGGAAAAAAATGAAAAAGAAAGAGAAAGAAAGAATGAATGAAAAGGAGAGAAAAAATGATAGAAAGAAAGAAAGAAAGAAAGAAAGAAAGAAAGAAAGAAAGAAAGAAAGAAAAGGAAAGTAAAAAGAAAGAAAGAAAGAAAGAAAATAATAATTTGAAATAAATGATGAGAACATTTTTTTTCTGAAGGCATCTGTAGAGTTAGCTTGGAGAGCACCTCTGTTTTTGAGTCCGTGTTTTGTACCTTATGATTGTATTTCCATTTCAAACTCACAGCGTTGGCACGGCGTCGCTGACGTCCTCCAATGATGTCATGTAAAGGAGCCCATCCATAATTTAACCTCCTGGCTCACCGTGAGACCAGCTCTGCAGTTTCTACTCTGACAAACAGAAAGAAAACAGAATCAGTTATGGTTTTTTAATGATCTGCTGTTGGTGGAAGTCATGGTGCTGAGCTGACATGCTGGGCGGGCGACTGTGTGAGTGTGTGTGCGTGCATGTTTGTGTGTGTGTGTTTGTATGCTGTAAGAATGGTTGATAAGTGTCAAGCTGTCTTGATGCACTCAGAGTGAACAGAAAGACTAGGAAATGAGCGAGTTTCAGCGTCTCCACAGCTTTACTAATCTCAGGTCAGACTTGTTAATCTGTTCTGTGTGTGTGTGTGTGTGTGTGTCTGTGTGTGTGATTCAAATGTTGGGTGTTTCCTCCTGTCATCATGAGGACTTTGAGAAGCAATTTAAGAGCAGTTAGTGGTCTCAAACTTCCTGTTATCTTCAGTATTTAGATAACAGAAGCACACACTACATAAGCAACTATAATTACCAGGCCTCCTCTTTCACAGCGTAACTGATGAGTGTACGACTTAAGGATCCTGTGAGTGTATTTGACATGTTGACCCAGAATTTAACTTGTTAAATTGATTCACAGATGGCTCCTAAAATCCTCTCCTCCCTACGATCACTCAACTTAGGAAGAGCCTGGCCCATAAATGAGTGAGTAACTCAAATATGCAAGCTCAATGTAATGTTTAAGGGCCTGTGTCCACTAGCATATTACCACTAGCGTATTTTCACTGCCAAGCTTCCTAAGCACAATGTCAGCTGTTTTTTGTCACAGCACTCTCAGTTGAACTTTGTTGACAACGATGGTAGAAGTCTAAATGGAGGACAAACTAAACGCTATTTTCAAAGTAGTATATCCAGGACAAGAGCTGCTGCTACTGCTGCTAATGCTACAACTCGATTCCAATCAATTATTCCAATACTGTTTTTGTTAAGTGCCATTTAATAAAAGTAACTATGAGGCAGAAAGGCATTTAAAAATAGATTTTATGCTAGTACAGAGGAAAGCAGAAGTGCTGCCGACTACTTGTCTTAACTAGCAACTCTGAAATCACAATTGTGGGTACTGACATTCACGTAAAATTGATTAATTGCATAACTCCGACTTTAACTTAACTTTAAAAAAATTTTTTTAAACTAGGGGTGGGAGAAAAAAAATCGATTCACATAAGTACCGCAATTTTTTGTTTTGCAATTTTAAAATCGATTTTTATTTTTTCAAATTCAAGAATAAATCTTAAAAACTGACTTACATGTGATGTGTATTTTTGGACATTCATAATCATTCAACTGTTTCACTGGTGTTAAAAATGCAGACTGAATATCGAGAAAATCGACAATATCGTAGAATCGCAATTTAAATCGAATTAGCATCTAAAAAATTGTAGAAGAATCGAATCGGGAGCAAAGCATATCATCCCAGCCCTAATGTAAACACATTAATCTTACTGGAATCAAACTTCTTCACTCTTCTTGCTCCTCTCTTATATTTGCAGCGCAGTCAGACTATAACTGGTCAAAGGAGACGACCCAATAGAAAAGAGCTGTTGACACTTACAGCGGCAGAAGTGGACATGCTTCTGTCAATAATCTGATTTTTTCTTCCTGCTTGTAAATCAGGATGAGGACAGCAGACGAGTTAAATCTCTTAATCGCATTATGACCATGGCTCGATTAAACTGAACATGTAAATGTGCAAAGAATGGTGAAAGTGGACACAGGCCCTAAAACTTAAACTGTGGATTTTAATTTGCGACCACTATTCCTGAGTTATGTGTTGTAAATCTTGCAGATAAAAATAATTATTTTCAGCAGAATTTTTTAATTAACTTTTCGCCATTCTGATCTCGGTTGAATTGGATTCTCATTAAACAAATATCTTGTATTTTCCACTGTATCTGTGCAGAAGTGCATCTAACTGTTGTGTTTATGACTGAATAATTGGATAACATCTAATTGTATAGCGACAGTCATTAAAGAGAACAGGTTAATGGACAGGATAATGGATCTGTTACCTGAGACTGATAATGGTGAGAAACATAACAAAGAGAGATATCAGTAACAGCAGTCACAGACGGAGGGGGACATCAGGGCATATGGGGAGGAGCTGACTCAGCTGCGTAAGGGGGCTGTGAGTAATCCCTGAGAGATGAGACGGTTTTTTAGCACATGACAGAGTCTGGAAAGACTGTCCAGTCGAGGAATAAGGTGACTGGGTTAATCGAGGTAAAGACAGGCCAAGAGGGGTGAGGTTTCAAACACTTGGGCTTTAGGTGACGATGAATAATGTACAGGTACAAGTCTGCCATTATATTCTTGTGTTTAGTTGTTGATGTTGAATATAATTGAAAATATTTCTAACTCGCCAAAACACTTTTTTTTCCCTCTTAAGCTGAATCATGACGATTCATCACAGACATTCACAGTGTTTGCTGATGGGAATCTGCCGGTCCTCATTACAGACACACCAGATGTCGTCGGCCTTTGCTGTGGTTTCAGGACTTAATGTAGATGTGGTTGGAAGTTTTTGAGTAAAACGTCTCCTCTCTGCCACATGAAAGTGTCCAGACGAAGATGTAGTAGCCTGTGAGAAGACACACTCGTGCGTGGCTCATCTTTTTTTCCAGTTTAGATCGATGGAGATTTGGGTGTGTTGTGTGGTTGTGTAGCCAGACAGTGAGGATGAGGTACACATGGGAAAATGTGACATGTTTTAAAAAGGGTGGATTGCTTGAAAATCAAACATTTATCTATCCAAAGATCAGAAATTGCAAAGGTTTTGGAGTATCTGTACTTAATCAAGAGTCACAAATATCTTGCTGAAAATTTGACAGGATATCATGTCACTACGTGCGACTGGTATTAACCATTTAAAGATGAGTACAGGTTAAAATAAAGTGCTTTGAGCTTTGAGCCGCAGAGATGACTTAGACCTGAGTTTTGTCCCAGTTCACCTGTAAAAATCCCTCTGCCATCTATGACTTCATCAAAAAGTTGTTTATCACTAATACCATCAAACCGTTAACATGTTCAAGCATTGAATGTTTATAAAAAGACATTATTTCTACCACCAATAATCGAAAATTGGCACAGAAGCATTTAAATAAAGATTCTTTTCAAGTTAGCTTTGTAATGACTGAACCAGGTCATCAGTAATAATCATGAAGAACCCACAATCTTAAAAAAACTAACTCACTGTACATTTATGAATGAATCACCTGATTATCAAAAGGGGACGGGGCTCATAACTGTGTTTGGTGTCTCTTCTCTGACTAGTTTTGGAGTAAACTCCTGAAGTTGTACAATCTGCATCTGCGGAAATGCTTATTAAATTTTGCAAGTCATCTCTTCCTTGTACGTATTACCTTGTTGCCAAAGTTTGAGCTGGGGCGTCTCCTCTGTTCTGAGAAAGCTCATGAAGAATTCAGATCTTCTGGCCCCTCATGGCCCCCAAGCTGTGACTTCAGGATGGAGACCTGTGTAATACCTCTAAATACGACTTCATGACTTCACAAGAATAGATGTAAGATTTGAGAATGAGTAGAAACTACAGAATAATGCATGAGCTTGTGCTGAATTTTTGATATCACTTCCTCATAAATACTTAAGAGGCGAGTTTGTCTGTGTGTGTTCGCGTGTGTGGGATGGTTTCTCATTTTTCATGTTTGTGTTTTTCACCCGATGTAAAGTGTGAAGCTCGTTTATGAGGTCTGGGATGATACATTTGCTTGAATTAACCAAGTGTAGACTGAGACAGCAAAATGATGGTTATCTTTTACAGTTTTCTCTTGATAAGTCAGCTGGTGGGAGAGTCACTTAACATAGACTGTAACTCCAGCATTACCAGCCTTTAAGACCTACACATTTGGGAATAAAAAGCAGATATGGACACAGGAAAGAGTGAGTTTCAACATGATGAATAACCATATTGACTCTTTGGCTTTAGGATGACTTGATTTAACAGATTGGACCGCTTGTGCTACAAGGGTGAGCAGCGAGTCTCACACATGCACAAAAGATTACAGGACAGTTTGGCTGCAGACCTCCACTGTGAGGACCCGCTCCACTGAGTGGACTGGTCGTTAATACGAGCCTTTCAAAATAAAAGGAAATATACTCGGAGTACTTTTTTTTTGTTCACGTTGGAAGTTGATTCAAAGCCTTTCAAATTAAAAGGGAATATACTAGGAGTATGTTTTATTTTATTTTATTTTTTTCAACGTCAAAAGGTCATTTGAAGCGTTTCAAAATAAAAGGAAATATACTGAGGTACTTTTTTTTTTTTCTTTTTACATCCGAAGTTCATTCAAAGCCTTTCAAAATAAAAGAAAATACACTGGAAGTAGGTTTTCTTTAAGTCAGAAGTTGATTCTAAGCCTTTCAAATTAAAAGCGGTTAGACTGGGAAGTATGTATTTTTTATGTCATGTGAATATATTTCGTATTTCTTGGGGCTTTATTTTATGTATATAATGTTAATATGATTATTTTTGTGTATTCATGTGTTCAACAAAGAAAAAATACAAAACGGACTGACAACTTGGAGGGTTATTCTACAGATAGAAAAAATTAAAACTTAATGTACAGCTATTGTTATGATCACCTTGAAACATAACTTAAAATATCAATTATTTTACTTGTATTTCAATTTAATCATCAAAACGGACAGCTGTTCATTTAACTTGCACAACAACTTTGTTAAAAACAATAAATTTCTGTTAAAACACCTTAATATGTATAATAGAATAATGAATCTACACTCCATCTGCTGACTGTCATTGAAAATGTCGACGATCTTCACGGCCAAAAACACCTGACAGTGAAGGTCTGCAGCCAGACCCCTCTCGAAAATGAAAAGATATTTACATCAACATCATGAAATAGTATAGTATAAAAGCATTTACAGCGTGCCGTTCAAAGCAAAAGCCCATTCAGCCATAACTCGCCCTCTTGTTTTCACTCCATGCTTTTATTTTGAAGGTGTGCGTGACAATTATTGTTTTTGCAGAGCTCCTTATTTAAACCTTCAACATTTTTGCAACAGATTATTCTGTTTTGGTGTCACGACGTCATTCAGGATCATATAAGGCGGTACACATGCTCCTTCTGACGCACACAAAATAATCTTAATATTATTTTAGAGCAAGTGACGCACTATTATTCCCGTGTCTTGTCCTGTGTGCGTGTTCATGATTGGCAAGAAATATGTCCGTTTCAGTCCTCCATATGTGCATGATGCGGCTGTATTTATGAATCAGCCAGGATTGTGAGGCTCCTGTTATCTGAGCCTGGCCTCAATGTTAGATAGTTAATGTCCAGTCTTACTGGAAACACAGCAGAAGTGTTTAGCTGGGATAAAGGTGATGAAATGGAGCAGCTATCCTCAGATAATCTGGCTCTTATTGTCCTGAAGAGCTTTAACCCTTATCCTGGAAAGACTGTAACATTGAGACGGAGCTGTGCTGACTGTACTGAACCAAAACTCTCTCGTCCTGTCTGTCACTTCACCCACAGGTGTGATTTTTAGTGAGCGCTCATGAAAACGAGTGGGCGGGTGAGGTGTAACTGCTGTTTTTTCTGTGTGTGAATTTGTGTGTTACTGTGGTCTACCACAGATCATGGATACTGGGCCTCAGAAAAAAACTGAAATATCAGAGCGTGAACTTTTACATTGAGCTTATTTGCACAATTTAAAAAAAAGGTTGATCGTGTTTTCAGACTAGAGCTTGACTATTTACAAGAGTTAGAGGCAGGGACAGAAAATCTTGCAGCTTACACTGGGAGCATGTTGTGAGTAGTGATGGGAAGAACAGTTCTTTTGACTGTACTGAATCTTTAGAATGAGTGCGTTCCCAACCTGCACGCCACGCTCGCGGCTGAGCTCAACTGAACTGAGAAACGAACGAATCAGGTCTCAGAGTGATTCCATTTACGTCATTCACTCAGTAGTTCTGCTCTTTTAAAAGAAACGTTACTGAACAACACAAAACTAGCCGTGAGGTTGTCGGATCGATGCATGTCAAGTTTGAAGTCAGTGTAGCTCAAGTTGACTGCCTGAACTTGCTCTCAGGCTTCGCTCCACAACTTTATATCATTAAAAGATTCAGAGGTTTAGGGGAACTCTCTGTATAGAAAAGGAACCACTACCAAAACCAATACAAGCATCAAAAAAAGACATGACTCTGTAGTGGAAATCGCTGCATGGACTCAAAATAAAGATATGAACACAGATTAAATAAAACTGAGAACTGACATGACAGCAAATGAGCTAACGTCTGATTTCTTGGACAAGAATCTGCTTTTGCTGAAGTCATATCTCTGTGGAGACACTCAAAGCTGACCCAAACAGGAGAAAACATGGCAACCATCTCTTTACATTTACAGGAAAGGCTCTCCTCGGTGCCAGAAGCACATGAAGGCCGAAGACAAACACATCAGAGCGAGAGACGGACCACATCAAACGCTCATGTGCCTGATGATGCTGGTAAACAGGACCAGTTTGAGCCAGAGCCTGCATCATGTGTGTACCAACACCTGGCTGCCATGTTTACCTGGTGGTCTGCGTTCATATCAGTGTGATGAAGAAGAGGGTGAAATGGTTCGGTGGTAAACCTCATGATCAAAGATGATGAATGCCGGGGGTAGACCCAAAACTACCGGTTGGAGTTTAATGATATAGTGTGAGATCATGGGGGTTTAAAGACGACATTTTATTAGCTGTTGTCTGTTATTGTTTAATTAAGGTTATGCAAATGAAAAAGGATTAGGAACACATACAGAGAAAAAAATAATTACAGGGAGGAGATTAAAGTCAAGATTTTGACACTAAAATTCAAAATTATGTAAAAAAAGTTGAAAGTTTGCAATTAAAATTTAAAATTTTAAGATTAAAGTCAAAATTTTGAGATTAAAAATTTTTAATTAAATCCATTAAATTGATATTTTGTGATTAAAAATTGAAATTTCGAGAATGAAGTCGAAGATTGAAATGCCGTGAATAATGTTGAAATTTTGAGATTTAGTAAATTAAAATTTTGATATCAAAGTAGAAATTTCCACTTTGTTTAGGTAATCTTGACATTTTGTTATCTCGAAATTTCAACTTTAATCTTGAAATTTCAATTTTTTTTCATTTCCACTTTTTAAAATTTTGACTTTAATCTCAAAATCTTGATTTTTTTTCATTTAGTTTTTTTTTACATTTTTACTTTAGTCACAAAATTTCAACTTTAATCTCAAAAAGGAAATTAAAAATATTCTCCCTCCTGTAATTATTTTTTCTCTTCTTGTGGCTGTAGTCCTCTTTTGTACATGCATCTTCTGATTTTGTCATACTATCTTTCTGACTCCCTGATGCGTGCATCATCATAAACACTGTGTTAAAGTGAGTATATCTGTTTTTCTCTCTGGGTTGAACATTAGTGGAGCCATTTATAAGAATATAAGCACATCGCTGTAGAAAATAAACAACACGAGTGCGGATATCTTTAGACTTCTTTATGCAGATTTGTTCTTGAATCTTCAGTCAAACTAAAAGGGGGAGTTTCCAATCCAACGAGGAAAGAAGTTCACTGAAAGAAAGTACTGTCTTTTTAAAATAATCCATTAGTCACAAGTGGAGGGATACCTTTCAGAGAGTGATGAGGGGGTAGAGAGAAAAGAAAAAGAGAGAGAGTTTGACGGTAGGTGGTGTCTGATTCATCCCCCTCCCATAGGCTATTTATTTTGGTTGGATGGAAAGGAGAAATCCATGAGGGGTGTTGGGATGGCTCTGCAGGATGACGTAAAAGGGATGTCTGTGTTTGGGAGGGGAGAGGAGGGGGAGTCACTAACACAAGTAGGCCATCATTGTAGGGAAACCAGGGGATGTGATGCTGCACAGGAAACTTCATGTACTGTACATTTATGATATTTACAAAAATGAAGACTTTCTGTTCATATTTATGTTGTTTTTTTCCTTTGACTAAGCGCTCATTGATTTAGCAGTGGATTGTTATGAGTTCATTTAATGGTCATTTTGATTTAGTTGAATAAAAACTTGTTTGTGCTGTTCCTTCACAGCTCTTATTTCATTTCATACATGCACCAACATCACTACCTTTTTGTACTGGCTTTCATAGTAGCGCTCGCCACCAGTCATGTGTTGCCATGTGATGTCCCATTTCTAAATGAGCCTTTACACTGCACTTCCTCTTCATGTGGGACAGGCTCTGAACTCAGTGAACTAAGGGACACAGTTTGTTGCATAAACAGACTGCACACACAATTCCTCTACTGTTTCTGTTTTATTGATTTTTTGCTTCTTTTTTTTTCTACAAAATGCTAAAACTTGTTTTGAAGGAATCACAACAACTGATATTGATTTAAGGGCACAGAGGATCTTACATCATGTTTTAGCAAAACAGTTTATCCCAACAGAACAGTTTAACATTTAACAAGAACGTTTACTCTTATCAAAAGGTATTGCCTACAATACCCATAATGCAATGCAATTCACTAATGACCGTGGCTGCTAATATCACTCATCATATCTGCTCCATCTCCAGGTCTTTTTTTTCACAAAGCATAAAAACTATATTCATAGTTGAGCAGCTCTGCACCGTTTGCTCAAGTTTTGCAACTGAGATGAACCGTAAGCATCTCTACACTCTACATATCAGCAAACATGATGATCTGAACTGAGCAGGAAAGACTTTACCACTGTGGATCTACAGCACATATGACATGAATTTTATAGTTTATTTCCAGTTACTTTCTGGAGTAAGCTAGCAAAATGCAGGATGTAATTTTGCACATTTTGCTTATGCAGGGGTTGAACCCCCTCAAGCATTAGACTATAGAATGTTAATGTCAACAACAGAGCATCATACTCTATATACAGATGTGTAAATAAAGTATCTTTCTCTTTACATTATTAGCACAGAACTTAGTAAATCAGGAGGCTTTTTTGCAATGAGGCTCATTTTAATGGACTGCATGTTTACCTCAAAAGAAATGCTTTATGGCTCATTTAAATGTCTGCAGACGACACTGACGCACAGAGGTGGGTGTGCTTTGGGATTTAGACAATCTCTTTCTGCATGTTCACACAGGTTTAGTCGGTGAAAAGAGTCATTAAATCTACATAAACCTTCATGTCTGATAAAGCTGTTTTTTTTTTCTGCATGTCGGTGCTTCAAGAAAATTTAATTAAGCTAGTTGTAAAAGGGAACAATTTTGGAGGTGGTTGTTTGAAGTCCCACTCTGATTTTTTTTTTTTTAAACTACTTAAAGTGTTCTCAGTGGTCTTTTAATTGTGATTATGAAGTTTTTAGCCAAAACCACGTTACCTGTGCCTTTTTTAAGGGCTTTTCTTCTGCAGAGCTCCAGTAGCTCATTGGCAATTCGCCTCTGAGTCATGATTTGAATGCAGAAATACTCAGAAATGCAATTTCACGCATACTTTTCTCATGATATGTCCTGTAGCATCAGAAAAATGCCATATGAAGATGTAGACAACAAGAAAAACATGCTTTTCAGTAGGTAGGAATGGGTCTTTAAGGACAAAGATTACAGCAGAAAGCTCTGATTGACTCATATTCCATCTTTTAACACAAGAGAGGAGTGAATGATCTTTACCACGGCCAGTAGGGGGAGCTCTGAATCTATTGGCTTTACAATCACTTTATACTTATTGTGCCCATTTTAATATAGTCCATTTGGAACACATTTGCATTTCTCACTCCAAACCTTCCAAGCCAGAGGTTTTTAATGTGCCAACAAGGCCTCTTGTACATGATAAACACAACATTACAGATGTTAAATACGTCCCTCACTGCTTAAAAGTCTGTTAATATATAAGCTTTATTCAACTGAACACAAAGTATTTCTGCTCTGATAAAAAGGATCAAAGTGTTCAGCGAGGAAGCTGATCCCATTATGCCCTCATCCCCCTGTAAGTGCTCAATCAGTAAGTTACGTAACCCACCACATGGCCTCCATCATCCTCCGATGACAAGCATGGAGATAGGTGGGAAAAGATAGGGAGCGAGAGCAAGTGCATCATCGGGGTTATCAAGTGGGCACCTTCCCGTTCACTGGTGTTTCATCAAGTCCCACCAATGACGCCTTAGGAGGCTTCACAGTTAGCTCCGGCATCCCGGAACCACCACCCCCCTCCATGCTAGCTCTCACCTCCCACAATACCAACACTCCAAAATAGAAAAGAAAGGAGAGAAAACAGAGAGAAGAGTCATCAGAGAGGTGTTGTCTAGAGAAAAGAGAAGGCTGCAGCTGAAGCAAAACGCCTGTTTGGGCTTGGACCCCCCTGTCTGTGAAATTAGGCTGTCCCTTCTACCTCCCCACGCTCCTACGTTTCCATAGTAAATAGACCTGCAAGGTGAGCCCTCCCTCCTCATGCAATAAAGAATAAAAATACTCATTAAATCATTTAAGTGTCATTTTTGAGTGATATCCTGAGTAGCAAACCAACCAAAAACACAGACCAGGTCAGGCCAGGAACTGGAATATCCTCTTCCAGTCACTTCTACCCAAACATTGTTCAATAACTCAAACGGACACATGCATAGTGTTAGTTCAGGCAGGCCAAAAAGTCAAGCTGAGCAGCTTATCTTAAAGGGAAAATCCGGGGTAGAATTAATTTAGGGTCAAACACACCGCAACACCAAGTTAGACACCCCATCTAGAGATGAATGTTACAGACCGACTTGCTTCTCTAGTTATACCAACTTTAGTTACAACCGCACGATAGCAATACACAGCAGTCTGAGGAGCCATAAACAAACCTCATCCAAAACGCCACTCTATAGACACAAATAATGCTCAGGGCCAGATTTGGATTGTTGTAGATCAGTATTTGGTTCAAAAAAGTTTCAGCTACATTTGGATGAGATCTTTAAGGCTTTTTGAAAGTTACAAGGACCTCTGCAAAGATCTGACTAACTTAAACCCACACCTGTTAAAGTTTCAGGACTTCTAATATTCTGGCTTAATAGATGGACGTCACAACAATCGATCACCAAAGACCAAATTGCAGGACCTACAAACAAACTCTGATCTAAAAAAAAGTCAATTTTTGAAATGATGTAACACCAATTTGTCCTCAGATGGATGTCACAGACCGCAGTTATATGATTTGTTTGTATGTTAGTCCTAACTGCCCCCATGGCCCTTAGCAGTCGAGTAATCATTGGCTCTGACCTCTACCAAAACATGTCAATAACATTCGTTGCCACAGAGCCCCGAATATGACTCTGTCACCTACATCCAGCTGAATAAAACACAGTGGGCCAGTTAGGCTTTGGACCTGCCAATGTTTACCTATGAGGTAACTAATGGTGTAAGTGTGTTTGCAGGACTGGCTTGTGAGGAGGGCACAGTGGGAGGCTTACAAAACGGGGTTTTTGTGGGCGCTAGCTGACAAGCAATAGGAAGGATTCTCAGACTGGGTTATGCAAGACGTTAGTCATCATGGCATGATTCATCTTTTGGTTCACTCTCTCTGTCTCTTGGATGTCTCTTTTATTCTCTCGTTCCTCTCCCCACCATTAAACTCCCTCTCTGTTACGTATCCTTTATCAGCAGGGGGGACAAGGAGGTGACAGAGGGAGACGCTGGCCTATTTTTTACTTTTTACTGTAGGTGGAAACAAACATTCTGGGTCATGAAAGCTCAAGCAAGAATGATGAAGAGTTCATGAGGTGGATGGGGGCTTTGACGTAACGTCCAAGTTGTGAGGAAGTTGTTAGCTTAATACGGAGAATGAAAGGCAGCCAACACAGCATGTAAACCGCATGACTGCTTCTACGTCAGTCATGTCGAATTCAGAAGTTGTTTTCTCCTCATTCTGAGTACTCAACTCGACTTTTTTGTGATTTGTAGCAGTTGATTGTTGGTTACCTGACCTCTTATTTGCAACCTGTTTTTAACGGTTCTGAAAAAGTCTTATGTTACTGTAAAAATATTATGTCCTGGCAGCCTTACCCCAAATTTCCAGCACATGCAGAACGGCACGGCTGCAGAACCGTGGCGATTTTAGCCATCCGCCAATTCCTACCGACTGTGTTCATGAGGCGAATTCACACGCAATCGCGCTATAACGAGTTGTGACTATACAGACAACCACATAACCATATAAGCAGATTGTGTCCTTCCAGAGGAGGAAATCCACACTTTCCAGACCAGTAGATCAGACACTTTTGTGAAAATTGGGAATTAACCGTGGGTAAGAGCAATATTTATCTTTATCTACGAAACAAATCACATTTGTATGGTGTGAAATATGATCAGCCTGAAACACAGTTTTATTTTGAAAAGAAGAGTCCTGTAAGAGGGTCTTCATGGACAAGGCCTGTCCCAGTCAATCACTAATGATGATAACTTTTTCCAGTTTCCCCATGCTTTAAAATAGGAGAAAGATGAAGAAGATGCTTACCACCTAGCTGCTAATAAACTAGCTGTAGCAGCTCTCTGAGAGATGATAAGATACTTTAAAAAACGGACATGTTGAGACTGAATGTGAATCCAAAACCAGTGTGAGAACCTCTGCTTCTTTTTATTGGTAAAATTTATGAAGCGACAGGAATCTGGACCCTCGTCTCGCCTTTCCTCAGTTTGACTGATTGTGTTGTTGTTTTTTGAAGTTCAACATGAACATCAACATTATTGTAATGATATTTTAATGCAATGAAAATTGTGAGGTGAAAATCCGATAACCTGATGGAGCTACTTTAGATTCAACCATAAATGGTGAACACAAAAAAACTCTCTAAGACCTCAAATGTGGATGAAATAAAGATGCTGAAATGTCATTTCTGCTAAAATTGATCATAATGCCAACTTCCTGATCATGGTGGTACTCGCAATTTGCATAAGAAAGGTTTCGATATAAAAAACCATCTATTATCAACATCACAGAATTGACTATGCTTTGTACGCTTATCATATTCTTGAGTTTATTCTGTCAGGTGGCAATCACCATGGCGATTTAAGCCTACAGATCAATTCACGTGAGTCCAAAAGGGGTTGTCATAGCTTGCAGATCTCTCCATCTCTGCCTTTTTAAACTCGTGATAAATCTCTCTAAACTTTCTGGTTTCAGACAGATTGTTCTCTCACTCAGGTGTCTGCGGCTTCAGCTCCCCCGCCACACTGCAGCTTTGTGCCCCTGATCAGAGAGTCTCCTCATATCTCCCAGACTGTCAGTCATTCTGTGAGCCATCACATGTGGGTGCACATGATCCTCTGCACCTCTAGCTTTGTCTCCTTGGTGCACTCACATTCACCATCGATCCGGGCTCCTCTCTTCTGAGCCCTTCATGCATTTAAAGCAGTGTGATACGTCTGATAAGGGGACAATCTTTTATGTTTGTTTCAGTCAAAATAGTTGCAGTCAGGATTTGCTTTCTTTGTCTTTCTGGATGAGGCGCAGTGCACCACTGTTACTACTGAATCCTCCTCGCCGTATGCACCACTTTCCCCCCGCAGCTCTGTAACCGTTGTGACATCACCGATCATCATCATCATCCATAAACCAAACACTGACAGCCATTATAAGGTGATCGGTCCAGCTGCAAGAAGACACAAATGAGATTACTGCAGCTCACTCCCCTCTTTTTCTTCCTCTATCCCCCTCCATCTGCACCCTCCTTCACCTGACCTCACCTCCCATCACCCCTCCCCCTCCATCTCTTTTTTATCCTCTCTCTCCAGCTTACGTAACAGGGTGATCACAGCTATCCACCGGGCCGACAGGCGATCTGAATGAAGAGGAAATTGTGAATGAATAAGCAGCCATTCTTAATCTTGTCTCCTTCTCCTCGCTGCCTGCACAGACTCACATTCGGCTCTCTGTGCATCATCCCTGGGACGGTTTTTAGCCTTACTATCTTGCGCTTTCTCCTCAATTATTATCTTTCTTTCTTCCTCTTTCATTCATTTCTCCCTCTGTCCTTTTCCTCTCCACTTCCCCCCCTGTCAGTTCAGCCTTGCATCAGCATGGAGGCTGTTGCCGTGCAGATTAAGCGCTGTAATCCTGACGTGTGTGCGTGCAATGCATCGCGTGCATGTGAGTGCGTGTGCGTGTGTACATGCATGATCGCCTGCAGAGGACCGGATGTTTCTGGTACCCTTAAAAGATGGCAACAGCGGTGTTTTATGACCACTGCTCTATCCCACACCCGCCTTCCATCATCATCATCAGCAGCAGAAACAGCAGCAGCAGCAGCGCCACCATCGTTATCATCATCACTCCATCTTCTGAGTTTAGAGGGGTGGGGTGGGGGGGTGGCACAGCTGAGCCAACGGTGAGGTCAAGGGATGTTTCAGCACTCATTCAGGAAAACAGCAGCTGGATGTGGGGGGAGGGGGGGAAGCGAGAGAGGTTGAGCGTGAGGGAGGGAGAGGGAGGGAAAAGCATGCCGTCATCAGAGGAAAAATCATTCAGAAAAACTGGATTTGACGGAGAGAGGGAACGAGTGAATGAGAACAAGAGAAAGAGGGAGGGAGGGATAAACAGATGAGTTTGTGGCAGCAGCGAGCATTAAGTCAGTGTAATCGTGTTGTGAACTCCGTTTATGAATGGAGTGGATGTGATTAAAGGGAATGAAAAAAAGAGAAGCAAAGAAGAAAACGGGACAAAATGTGCAGAAAGAAAAGAATTTAAAAAATGAAACGCATCAACAAAAAAACTAAGAAACTTTAAATTAATAACTTTGAATATAAGAAACAGAGTAAGAAAAGCCTCTCACATCCTGGGTATTCTAAGACTGGGTGGATAAACTTTGTATAGTTTGGTTAACTGGTTTATACATATACATAAAATACAGGTAAACATACGCTTAGACAAAAACAGACGTGATGAAAAAGTGCGCGGAGAGCACGAGTCTCCATAGGGAAAATAAAAAACTTTCACAAGCTGTGAGAATTTAAAACCACAGAAAATGAGAATAAAGTTGTTTATTCAAGAGCATTTTTTAAAATACTTTCCTTCCATAACACTAAAGATGTTATGGACGGTAACTGTGTGTACTCACTGACAGGTTAAAAACTAACTAAGGTATTGTTCATATGAAATGCTTTAGCTGCCTTATTTTTAAACAGAGTTCTTTCAGGCCATAAATTGTGGTAAAACAAGGAAGGCCTGAAAATTTAGTGTTGAGGATTAATCTTCAAATGCTTGAAGATGACGCCAAAAAACAGCCTCTGACGATATTCTTGGGATGGACTAAAAATATAAATTGACCGTGAAAAACTTAATTCATGCTGCAGCTTTTCTACATCATAAAATCTTATAAGGTACGACTTTGAATCTAATTCTAGCCTAATGGCGTTGCTTTTATTTGGGGACTGTGGTCTGTGGTTCTCACAAGCTTGAGGGCTCTTCATGCTCTGTCTTCTTAAATGAACATTTTAGGAGTTTGGGCTTTTTTCTCATTGTACAAAACTGTAATTAAAATGTTTCTCACTAATTATTATGACGTATTGGATACATGATTCTGATTGGTCACAGCCCCTTGACTGCAGTTATTGACTCTGGCTAGTAAATCACTCACATCATATCAAATCGATCCATAGAAAAGAGTACAGATGCATTCTGCTTGTTGCAATGAGACGTGTTTGTTTCTGTTAGCATATCAAATTTGTGGTTTGGAGGGACTGGATATTTTAGCCCAGCACTTCTAGCCAATCAGAGGCGAAGGAGGGCGGGACCTTCTCCTACCATCCTACAAAAAAAAGTTCGCGTCCCTGCTGCCAGCTTTTAAAAATGGCTGGTTTTATTGTTGTGGAGAAGTCGCAGTCGTGACTCACACAGTGATGTCGATCCCTGGCCAATCAATGGCCTGCAGTCTGTTGACATCACATTTTCAGCTCGACTCAGCTTCATTGGAAACCTTGGCTAAGTACACGGTAACAGGTGCAGTGGAACCCTAAAACTCAATGCATTATCTGTCACCATTGTCGAAAACAAGACCCTGCCCACTAAAAATATCATACTGTTCTCTAAGACTAAAAGGGGCGGGGTTTATGTGTAGTTTACTTTGGTTATCATAGACTGTATATACTAGTGCTGGGCGATATGGAAAAAAATGAATATCACGATATGGATCATTTTATATCACGATAACGATATATATCACGATATAGCTATGGTATGCTTTCAGTTCTATGAAAAATTTAAGTGTATACAGCTGCACTAGTACAGTACCAGTACAAGACCAGCACTTAAAACTAGAAAAATGAATAAATAAATACGTGGCCGAAGTGCGTTCATGTCTGTGCTCACCCAAAGTTATGCAACACTCACAGAAAACGCCGATAGTGTGAGCCAAAGCACTCCATAATAATAGTAATAATAATAATAAGAATAATAAATTTAATTTGTAATGCACTTTACATTTACAAAAATCTAAAAGTGCTACAGTACACAGTAAAAAAAGAGCAGCAACAATAAAAAAGCAATAGAATGACAGTCACAGATTGGCATAAAAAAAAGAATTAAAAAAATTAAAAACATAGAGTTGCAATGTAAGAGGCAAGGTAGTAAAAGCATAGAGGAAAGTTAACCAAAGGCTATATTAAAAAGGTAGGTCTTTAGGGCTCTTTTGAAGAGGTTGTTCACACTGCTAGATGTTCCTCCTCCAAAGCTGCTCTCTGCCTCCATCATTGTTTACTTTACTCTTGAAGCACGTAGGAAGACCCGAGCATGAATCCGAGCGCTTTATTCGCCTATCAGGGGCAGACAGTTAAGGTGATTTGATTCGCCACGACTCCAGAAATGATTGAAAAACTACAGAATGTCACAAAATTACGTTTCCTCGCTGCTGGCTTGAAGGGTAGAAATGCGCAGCCGCGCTCCCAGCTGACAGGAAGTCAAACCACTGTTGTAGTTCTTTTGTGTTGCTAGCGCGGTCAAGAGTGTTGGCTCTCACTGAGAGATGACTACAAAAATGGACGCACCTGTTCATCTGGTTGTTAAACACGGCTGAAAATGATCCATCTTTTAATGTTGTTCCCGCTCCTGCCCACTCCCGTTGCCTTTTTCCCCGTCCCGTCCCGATCAAGGGATTAATTAAAAAATGACTCCCATCCCGTGGGATTCCCGCGGGAATCACGTGACCCACGGGAATTCCCGAAAAATGTCATCCTCTACAGGGAAGGTCCCGGAGCAGATGAAACAGGTGCCGGAGCGGCTGAAATAGGTCCCGGATCCGATCAAAAGAGGTCCCGGATCGCGCTCCGACTTGCTCCGGCACAAATTAAGCACTGCTTACAATGATCCCCTCACGTGTGTAACCCAGGTAACCCGCAACGGCGGGAGACGCTGGACACGAAGAGGGCACGTAAAGCGGCGCCATGTCGCAAAATCGAAAGAGAAATGCAAGCCTACATGTCAACGCATCCTTTTCTTTGTAAGAAAATATTGTTTTCTTTCCCGTTCGACACCAAATACACTTACTGAATGTGAAATTATTGTTGTTGTTACTATGAATCATCTGATGGCACAAGCCCTATGGATAAAATACAGCCTATCGCCCGAAACGATAAAAATAAAAATGGCACGATAGACATTTTCTATCGTGCCCACGATATGTATCGTCCTATCGCCCAGCACTAGTATATACTATGGACAACTTGGCTTGCTTTTTCACATATAGTAGAGGCTCAACGGTCACTGAATTATATCCAAATTAGCAGGAAATAGACCACAGAAAGGCAAAACAACCTGTTGTAAGCATGTTGTTTCCTCTATACTACACTGCTGCCACGCTCCAAATACCATAATACGCTCAATACGGATACGGAATGTTTTTCAGCTCTACAGTAACTACATGTCAACATCGCAACCAGGTGGAGAAAAATTTTTGTTCTGTGTAATAAATTTCTAAAGTTTGTCCACAGCTCCATAGGGATTGCTGGAGGAGGCCTATCCTATCATACCTTTACTGCAGCCTGTCACCAGAGGGTGCTGTTCTCAGGTTGGCTTCACCCAGCGAGGAGGCACACGACGTCCATTCTATATACAGTCTATGGTGATGATGCGATTTACATCAGACAAGACTCCTCTGCTTTGTGCCGGGGTTCAGTCTCACCCTGTCTGGTTTTAGTTTTACCAACCACCAGTAACTAAATCAGAAAATAAGAGTTCGTGATCGAATATTATATCACCCATAAAAATGTATGTGGAACTTTTCAGCTCCTCAGAGATGAGTTTTATTCAAGAAATGATGTAGGAAAGTATTAACTATTAATGACATGTGGTCACAAGTCGTGGTCCTATAAATAGAGGGTAATAAGAGGGGGGGGGGGGGGGGGCAGTCGGATGAACCAGTTGCAGCTTTTTTCTGCTTCATTCAGCCTCATTCATTAAGCCCACAGCAAGCGAAAGTCAGCTAAATGCCCAAAACATCGATGTAAACTGGGTCAGAAAAACTCACTGAGGCCTGAGGCCATCAGTGTTGACCAGCGCTCACACACACAAACACACACACGCACACAAAAACACAACTATCCGTCACAGTGGTCTTCATTGTAAAGCTAGGTCAGGGTAGGAGTCATGTTAGTGCATGTTTGTGTCACTGTTGTGGTCAGATTGATCGGTCTTCATGGTCCATTTGTTTGTTTGCGTCAGTATCGAGTGCAAGGGGCTAATGTGTTTTAACATGAACATGAAAAAACACTGAAAATCTGCAAAGCGCTGCAGCGACTGACCTCAGGCAGGGGTAACATGTCGACAGAGCTGTACAGGATTATGAGTTCATGTCTTTTTGCAGGCTTTTGGCCCTTACCGAAGAAGTTAAGAGTCCCTGTGTTGCATGTATGAGCGAATGAGCTGTGTACTGATGGAAAAGCCGATAACAAAGCAGAACATGCACATGCTTCCACACCCTCAGCACCTACAGTCACACAGACATACATGAGCAAACAGATGCACACAAAGGCTATCAGCTGATGCCCTTTCCGTCACACTGAAAAGTAAGACCCACACAAACATCTGTAAAGTTGCAGTTTCCTTTTGTTGTAGATAATGGGTTAAAAATTAGGTACATGCCGTTCCACACCAAATAAACATGTTTTCTGGAGTCCTCACTCTCTGAAGTCATCGGGGTCATTACTGCAGCGGTTGCAGATAAGAACAGAGTGATAGCCCACTTTTATGAATGGCTTAATTCTCCCAGGAGTTACCTAGTCTAAATCCAAAGGTCTCTGTGTTGGATTACCAACCATAATCTTGCACTGCAGCAAGATGCAGCGACCTCAAGGGGTTATTACCGCAGGATTTAGCATGTCTGTCCTGTGAATGTAGCTTTGTAAACATTAACTTATGCATGAATGGAGTGTATGTGCTCAATGAAAGAGATTATAAGGAGTCTATAAGGAGGCAGTTTGTGCGCACTGTAATTCTCAAACTGCAGGAGCAGCACATGAATGATTTTTGCAGAGGTGAGCATGAACACACACGGTGTGTCAGGACTCGTACATTCAAATCTTTGCAGTCAAGCAAATTGCATGGATGCAGTCAAGGAAAGGTCCATCAAGATTCAGCGCCACATTGACCAAAATCTGATCAGGAAGAAGGACTGAAAACACACATGCATGTGCATCAAGGCTAACCTGGAATTTTTTGGTTCTTGTCTACTTTTGCGCATTAGTCTTTTTACCTGATACCAAAAAAATTCAGGTGCACTGCTGGACCGTTCCCTCCTGTGTGTTTATCTGAGAGCTCAGCAGTTTAGACAGTGTTCAGCAGATGACTGTCAAACCTCAGCTTAGGATATAACGCCATCTTGTGGACATTAGTGTTCACAACTTTTGAAGTATTCTCAGCCGTCTGATCTAAGTAGTAAAGTATCTGAAAAGCACAGTTACAAAAGTCATCTTCATTTGGTGTTTAATAGACATGATAAAGCTTTGAGTAAATTGTATATGTGAGTTCAGACCGAGGTGTGTAACAGGCCTCCAATCGCTGTTCAAGAGGCTGGGAGAAGCATTGGAGGATCTCTTCTATGGCTGACGGCTGAATTAAGGAGATGTCCAAGCTCTGAGGCAACGTGAGACGTTGGAGACGGCAGCGTGAAGAACTGATGACAACAGCTTTCAGAGGTACTAGAGGCTGTTCTACTGTCATTTTACTGCAGTGTACAGGCACTGTTCAGCATTTATTTAATTAAAAATTGAAAATCTTTATGTGCAAATATCTCATGTCACAACGTGGACACCTGCGGCTTACAGAGAAGTGCGGTTTACACATGTACATTTTTTTGTTTTAATTTAGTGCGTGTGGCTTATACTCAGGTGCGTCCAATAGTCAGGAAATTACGGTATGTAAAATCTCACCAATCAGAGCATCTTTGGGGATCAACTGCACCATATATAATCATGTTATGCTGTATTTGGCGAGTCCTCTCCGGACAAACTCATTGGTTGTCTACTACAAGAAGAAATGACTTGAAATGACTAAAGATGTTCTGACGTGACTCATTTTGTACTTGCTTAAACAAAAATAACCATTTCAACCAACCCTTTAGTCCAAGACCACATAAAAAAAAACAGTCAACATTGACCATAACATATTCAGTCCACATAATCACAAATCAACCTGTAGGTAAACAATGAGCAAAACCCAACTCTACTATGAGATGACGTCTGTCATTGGTGCTGGTTTACATCCTGGTTGTAGAGCATTAAGGCATCAACTGGAGGTACAGTCATGTATAGTGGTGTGATAAACTGTAGCTTATACAAAAAAAAAATACAAAAATATTAACTTCATTAAACTATTCAGTAAATGTGGTGCTGAATAGCAAGGCTTTTATATTGTTAGTCGACAAAACACGTCCCGCTACACTTGACCAATCTGCTGGAAATATGAGCGACCTTTGACTCTGAGCTCTGCTTTAAAATTCAAATCAAAGATTATGAAGTCTAACTTCTCCCTGTGAGGCATCACTGCACCAGTTAAACAGTTTCAAGCACATGGGGACTTCAAATAAGTCATCTTAGCGTTTATCTTAACATTAAATCCAGTGTGGTCATGTGGCAAACAGGATCGGTGTGATTTTTGTTGTGTAACTATTTAAAAGTTCAAGTTCAAGTTTGATCTAAACCTTTGAGAGGGTTAAAATTGTGAGAACTTGATTTTTGAGAGACGAGACTGGCTGATGGCACTAAAGCTGATGACCTAAATGCAGATGGCGATAGGAGGTCTGTTGCAGTCTGATTCTCCAATCAGGGATGAAATCAGATGGAACAGCTAGTATGTAGCCATGTCATTGTCTTAAGTGGCTATCATAAAATCTCTGTAGTGGAAAACCTGACAATGGGTAGTGAGCACAAAAAGTCTGATTTCTATCGCATTGGCATGTCACTCATTTTTCATGAACCAATTTTCCTCCACAGAAGAACCACGTTGTAAACGAACACATGATCTGGATCCTCAAATCATCTTTTTGCACAGTACGTTGGCTAGAACAAGTAGTAACTAAAGTGTGTCAACGTAACAGGAAAAGCACCACTGAGTATCAAACACTGAGAAATTCAGTTATTTCAACTCGTTCATCAAATATGAGCACACCAGGATAACCTTGAATAACTCTCCTGTCCTTAATCCTTCTCTGTGAACGTGTCCTGAAATGACTCCAACCTTTGAATACCATCATGTGAATACCATCACTCATATTTTAGCAATGCTGCTGAAACTGTCCATGTGGACGGGGAGGAAGCTCTTCTGATTTAGATAAGCATTGAGAAACATTTTTACTAGTACAAAGATATTCTACACAAGTAGAAGTGCACCAATTTTAATGAAATTTCACTCAATTACAGGTAAAAATAGTAGGGGTGTAACAATTCAGCTACAACATCAGTGTATCGATTTATATTCCTGTGATCCAACTACATCAATCTGTGCTCGGCAAGTTGGGCTTCCGGATGAGATAAATCAATCTAACATAGTTTTAAAATGTAATAAATCAATTGTATCGATACTAGGAAATTACCCAATAGATTTAAACACAGCAAACTGTATATAGATGTGTTCTTTTTTCACTTTTGATAAAAAAAAGATGTAAAGTGTTATCTTTTCTGTGATGTTATTGCCACATGCCAGCAGACAACAAAACATAGCATGACGGATGGCGGAGGAGAAGTCCACGAGCGAGAAATTTTCAAGCCACCATTGCTGTCCAGTGTAAGTTGTATTTGTATTATTTCTATGCTGAAAAACAACAGCAGAAGTAGTGGAAATGTTGGATGCACCTACCAAACTTTATTGAAAATTTATTAAATATTACAATTGAGAGCAGAAAAGGGTTTGGGTTAGGGTTCTCCTGTTGATTCAACCAAGAGCGGAGGTTGAAATTTATTTAAATAAAATGTAAATGAATTATCTGTAAATTGCTGTTAACGTCTTTGTTTATAAACATAATTAATGTATACCTGATTCCCTTACAAGAAACAACAGGAATCTAGGACATGCCACCTTCACTGTCCAGTATCTGACAGTATTTCACAGTCAAACTGGTTGAATTTTTTGCTAAAAAGTTACTGCATCGATTTCAGGTTACTGAATCGTTTCGGATCGTATTGTTTCAAATGAACCAATATCGTCCTTGAACCGAATTGGGGACTACGGATCATGATACGAATCAAATCGAATCAAATCGTTGTTAAAATGAATCGTTACACCTCTAAGAATTACCTATCTAGTACAGGTAATGCGTCCTGCTCTATAAATGAGGGGAGGGTTGAACAGCAAGACATGACTCCCAAGGGGGACACCAGGACGACATCAATGCGTGACAGGGTTTTGCCGACATACCTCCACACTGAGGTTTTTCAATATTATTGTTGAGTAGAGCGACTAGGAATCAGTTGAGGTGGTTCAGGCATATGATAAGGATGTCTCCCTGTGAAGGTATTTGGGTGCGGCCAATGAGGAGGAGACCTTGAAGTAAGGTCAGTGCTTGTTGAAGAGGTTACATATCCCATCTGGCCTTGAGTGCCTTGGAAAGCATTGCTGGGTTGACTTGTTGAGACCTGCCCCCCGATCTGAACCTTGGTAAGCATACTTAAGTGTACACTTAAGTACTTAAGTGTGTATAAATTAAATCAGTTACTTTTCAATTGGCAAGAAGTGTTTCTTTGTATTGACTGACGGTTATCCAAGAAGAAGAAGAAGAAAAAGGTGGTTGTGCCGAAAATAATTTGTATTAATTGACTTTTTTGGTACAAACGTGGCAAATGAAGGATCAGCCTGATCCTGCATCACCGCAGCTTCTTGTCCTCTAAAGGCCACCGTTGCCTCTGAAGCTTCACTAATGAGAAGAACGAGCAAGGAAGTGTATCAATCTACAATCTGACCACTAAACATTCCCGTTTTTACACAGTGTCAATTTAAGGTGAATATAGTTGGTTCACTTTGGGTGAGATTATCCCCGTGAAAACCTTGGAAGAGGACCAAACATCTGAGGTGTCAAGGTGAGATACTTCATACACATGGTACACTCTGACCTCCCTTTTTGCTTTGCATCATGGGAAATATGATGTCAATGTGGGTTACTCTAAGCTGTCGTAAAGTTTTGCAAGGGACAGTAGCACTTACGCTGATCACTAGTGTCACACTGGCTACTGTGTGATCTCTTTTGTTTGCAGAAACACACAGTGTTCACTTGTTAAGTCACAAGATCTCACGGTTCATCAGCGCCTGGAAATGACACTCCGATCAATTCTATTCGTTGCAGATCTTCCCGGAGGTTTCATTAGTCACCGCTAACCCAGATCACAAAAGTTTGTCAGAATGAAAAAAAGCTTTTTTATTTCACATTATTCTTCTGCAGTTTACAGATTGAGAGTCGAAAAAATTCAAGCTGAAGTCAACCTTCTCCAAAGGGAAGTATTCCCACCTCTCCAGTTTTATCACGTGAAAGACTCACAACGACATTGTTGTGAAATGTGAGAGTCTGAAGATACAAAGATGTCTTTCAGTACAAGAAGCACCATGTCCAATCCGCTTAGACACCTGTGGCACAGAGAATCAACAGGAACCTTGTGGAGGCAAGTCTGTGATTTTTGCATCTGAACGGAAAAGACAGTGGAGGACATAAAAAAACCTTGGGAAATACAGACCATGAATAAGTGGGATCTTTGTAGTGAAGATGTACAAGATGGAGATAAATAAGAAAATCAAAGGGCAGCTGTCCAGGGGGGGAGAACATTGAAGGTCTGTGTTTTTTACCAAACTGCCTCCAAAATTCATCTCCACACCGGGTGACAGGTCTATACGGGACAATCGCAAACTGTTGTCTCTACTTGGACTCAGTCCTATGCAATGACATTCAACCTCAGCCAAGTCTCAGCGGTGTACCGAAAGAAAGGAAACAGACTGCTGTCAGTGGAGTACCGCTCTGACAAGAGACCTGAGGCAAGAAAGTCAGGCACACTAGATCATGGTCATTCAGACACAGGTGAGGATATTTGGCATACTTTTCACTGGGTGCTGAGACAAAGGGCCAATCCCAAATGCACCCCCAAGCCCATGTCTTACCCTTTAACCCTGGGTTTTGCAAGTTCACGTCAAGCAAAGGGGCGTCCCAATTCTCTGTAAGGTTAAGGGGAAGGGCTTAAGGCAAGGGGTACACAGCCCTTGAAATGAAGACAAACCGGGACCACACTTGAAAAGAAGGGGTAAGATTTGGATATGATTTTCATAGTAATGACTCTTGTTTTTTTTTTTTTGTATCAGATATTCCATCCTTGGCTTCTCCTCGTAAATATTAGCTACGTTTTGAATTGTTTAAAAATCATATGATGAGCTTGCTAACAAAGCTATTGATAGCTACACTGATGTCAGACTCAGGTGACAAATTCACTGCAAACGGCAAGGCACGATGATGTAGCGGGAATCAAGCGGCGTCTTGTTTCTTAGAGGCATGTTTTCACCCCTTACCCTTGGCCCTTAAAGGGGTAAGATGACGGGGAAGGGGAAAGAGCGACAATTGGGATTGGCTATAAAACTGGGTGGGAACTATCTCCAGTCTTGGACCCTCATTCAAAACAGACTACAAGACGTGCAGCTTGTTTTTCATTTTAATCCAGGTTTGGCCTCCTGTGACTTACAGAAAACACTTTTACTTGTCCTCTGTTATTAAACAGAAAGACAGCAAAATAAATGTTTTACGCACCTAACTTTGAACTCACAATGGTTTGGCTGCAGGTTTGAGATCGTCACCATCCATGATCCCACAGCAGATTGGATGAGTGCGTCCCCTCAATAAGATAATACAAGAACTTTATTAATCCCCGAAAGGAAATTCATTTGTCTGGAATCTTGGGAAAAAATTTCTCTGGTAGTACAGTTAACAAACTGTGTAAATTCAGTCAGGTGAGAGGAGAGGGTGACATGGTTGAAGTCTCCTGGAGTTATTACAAGAGCCTCAGGATGTTGAGTCTGTACCTCAGCAACAGTATTATGGAGAATACATGTATACAAGTATTGTCATGATATAACTGAACTCTCCTGGAACATAACATGGCCAAAGAGCAACTGCCAACAGTTCAATATGTGGACAACACAACTTCTCCTTTACAGTTATGTGTGAAGAGTTACACCATCTCTTATTATAATAATTATAATCATAATTGTGCAATTAATTTGCGATTAATCAAGAGTTAACTATGGACTAACATGTGATTAATTGTGATTAAAAAAATAATTGTTTGGCAGCCCTGATAATTTTTACATTTCACATCTACAGTAGCTGCTGTGTGACTTCGCTTTTGGAAATCTTTTATTTTTCCCAAAAATGTAATGTAGAAGTTTAAGATTTCTTCCTTAAGTTTCTGATTGTCCAACCACTAAACTATAAAAGTTTCAGCCCATCAGCTGCTCCGAGTCCAGCTGCCACTGCGAATGCATCTCTCATGACAACTCTCCAAACAGACCGTGACACAGCAGCGAACTGATTTTACATTTAATCAGCGAGAAAACCGGCTCATACTTGGCACGCGGAACAGTGATTTTAACCTTTGTATGAGCGCTTGTGTTCATTTACTCAACTGTGTCCAGTTCTTCAGCATGTGTGGTCATGGAGACAACTCGCCGTCTTTTTTAGGTCAAATGAGGTTTTCATTGTAGTGACATGACAAGAGTTTGACTAAAATAGAGACCATATCTAGCAGTGAAATAAAGCTCTGTGTGATCAGCAGAAGACTGGACTCATTTGGTCTAATTTAGCAAATAGGCAAAGAAATTATTGATCACCAGAGTTTATAAAATTCACTTTTACTATATTTATCACATCACTTATAATAACACTTAAGTCCCTTCCAGAACAATTTTATAAATAATTTGTGACAAGAGTTTGAAGAAATTCTCAAATAAAGGATGTTGTGGATTTTGCAAATATGACTGAATTTGAATTCAGTTTTGAGCCTTTGAAAAAACTTTGAAAATGTGATAAATAAATAAAAAATGTGCATTAAAAGAAATCAAAACTACAACTTCTTAATTTTAGCCCTGTTTTGTCAATATATGTATATATATATATATATATATATATATATATATATATATATATATATTACTGCAAAAAATAGTTTAAAATAGTACAATTTCCCCTTTTAGTGTGCACTATGAATATCAACAAATGGACATGTAGTATTGGGGTAATATTACAGAAACAAATGTTTAAACATTTTTTAATATTTTTTTAGGTCATTACAAAAATTAGCACGTAGTAAAAAAATTTCTCAATCGTGATAAAGTCGGCATATTAAAAAAATCGTTTTTTAAAGAAGAAATAATAAAAGTGAAATCAGAATCCTAATGAGAATAAAGTCATTACTTTACAAAAATAAAGTTAAAACATCAGTTTAGACGATTAACCCTAACCCTATTAATGTTCTTTGAAAACGGACAGCACATGTCTCAGCGTTTTGCTCAGTCTTTTCAGAGTCCTGAAACTTACTGTAGCTTTAAAAATATTCTGCTAATGTGCCAAAACATTAGGGACAATTTAACAAGATGTTCCTGCTCACCGTAAACCACAACTAACATTTAATCTTGCTATTATTCTCATTACATGATGACTTCAGTCTTGTACTATCATGACTTCACTATGACTTCATTGGTAAAACTACATGACTTTAATTTTGTAACTTTATAATTTGATTTTCTTAATAAAGGACCAAGAAAAAAAATGTTTTAAATCTTAAAAAATGAAAATAATGCAGCCCTAATACTCCGTTATAGTTTTGTGGTGGTACTTTAATAGATGTGTACTGTCAGTGCTCCCTGCATGGTCAAATTGGAAGAAGTGTTTCCTAAAATTTTAACATTGAAAAATGGATTTCATTCTCTTCTTTAAGGTGGATGTTTTATTCAGTGTTTGCATGGACTCGTTTATTTCCTCTTTATATTCTCTAATATGTAAAAACAACAAAATAGTGAAAGATGGTGTCATAACAGTGTTATGCATGGATCCTCTCCCTATCAGTGGATGTGGTCCACATGGGACAGAATCCTGATTATTTCAGGTGTCTGGTTTCTAGAAACAGGGATCGGGAACATTAGATAAACATGATCCAGTAATGAAATACAATCAAAGTATCCTGTTCACAAATTCAGAGTCAAACTAACATTAACTACCTTCAGTAAAGGAGAAAAACACAAACTTTAAGAAGGAGAATAAAGATAACTTAATGTAGATATCCATTCATACAGTCAGCCGCTCATTGTGAACTCTAGGTCAATTTCACAGTAGGAAACACTGTAAATGGTATGCATAAAGACATTCTCAGGCCTCAGATGGCTTCCTATTCATTGCATGTGATGCTTGGATTCTAAATTGTAGGAAAAGTAAAAAGGAAATAGAAAAAGTTAAATTATACAGTGAAAATTTAGAACAACAAACTGCTTCTAAAAACTTTTGAAGCTGCTGATGTGCAAGATGTTAGCCTGGCAGTTTTTTCAGTTCTTGGGTTAATTTAGGTCTCATTTAGTCTCTTACCTACCAGAAGGGTTCGACCCCCTTCCTCTCCAAAAACACAAATGATTAAACATCATTCTTCCCAGAAGCACAGTAGCTCTGTTAATAAGTGACACTGAATCACCAGCAGGGATGAATGTGAGCGTCAATGATTATCAGCATGTTTACACTTGGTTTTGACGTGACTTCAGAGCTGTCCATCACAGACCACCTCTTTACGCCTGCAGACTGTCGTGTTCACACCAAAAGGTCCGTTTTCTGATACAAACCGAAGCTAGGATGATACACTGATGATACATTATTGCAGTTTCTCAACTGGTCCGGTTCGCGTTCACAAAGGCCAAACTCATACAGTCCCAAAATTGTCACATGGCAGAAAAAGCCATTCGGTGATTGCTTATACAGTTTAGGCGGGTAGACGACAAATCCCTCACAGTTTTTACTGTACATCATGGAGCATCATCTGCTCATTTTTTATGTTGGTGCCGATCTGGACGGCATATCAGCAGACTTTAACCCTCGGCTCCTACTATGTCCGTTTTGAGGACATTTGTCATTTTTTTCATCTTTATTTTGAGCTGACAGTCACATTTTTAAAGATTGGGGCATCAAATTTGGTGAGAGTTCTCATTTTTCTTCATATTAAAGAAAAAAAAAACTGTCACCTGTAGTTCTTTGTCTCTGCATTTTTTAATGGTTAGGGCTGAAATTTTATAAACACTTATCTGCATGTCCGTTTTGGGGACAAAGTAGGCTGGATGGAGCTTAAAATGAACAGGAACCGAGGGTTAACAGACCATGCATATGAACGGCTAGGAAGAATGTGGTAATTAAATAATGTATTAATACACGCACATTGCAGGGGACGCTCTGCTATTGGACGGTCATATCACAGAAGACAACAGGCAATAATTCGTAACTCCACGTTTGTCCCCTGCCAGACATTAGCCACACTTTGCCAACTTTGCTGCGGAACAACCAAAACAGGATATGACGTGTAAAACGGCGTGCTTCCTGTGATTGGAGCGGATGGGGTTCACACCAGAAGTAAACCTCTCTCAACTTCAATTGATAGCGGTCCGAGACCACGCCTACCAGACGAACCTGAGAGCGGTTGACTGGTCCGCACCACCAGCTTTCAGACCAGCCAAAGCGGACTGCACCAAGGAGGTAAACGCTCCAGGGTTCAGTTCAACTGGACCAAACTCAACTCAACTTAATTTGTAAAGCACTTTAAAACAACCACAGCTGAACAAAGTGCTGTACATAAATAGACAAAAACAACTAGACATAAAAAAAAAAAAACAATGGATACAAAAAAAGCAGAATTAAAAAGTAAAATATAGTTTCTATGTTTTTAAAAACTAATTTAAAAACACAGAAACAAATAACTAAAAACAAACACTAAAACACTAAAACAGAAGCCGAGTCTCATGCAGGGTTAACAGCCAAGGAATAAAAATGGGTTTTAAGACGAGTTTTAAAAATGGACAGTGTGGGGGCTTGTCTAATTGGGAGGGGTAGCTCGTTCCATAATTTTGGGACTGCAACAGAAAAAGATCTATCCCCTCAACAAGGCTGGTGTGAACACGACCTAAGACTCCTCACCTGTAGGAGCGAACAGATTGTATGCATTAGCTCTGTACTTCACAGGTGACCCGTTGAGCGGCTCTCCTTTTGCTCAGGTCACCTTCAAGCTCCTTCTGACCCTGTATAAATTTTACAGCTCTGAGATAAAACTAAAAAGAAAAGCATAACTATATCAAATAGACTGAATGCTGTTGGCTTTACTTCTGCTGTGAGGATAATTCAGGTGAGCTAATCTGAGTCAGTGGACCACAACAATTTTCTACTTACATAAAGTGGCTCTAATCACAATGTCATCCTGCTGGAAGTGTCATAAGGTGATGCGGGACAACCTGGTGCCCTTTTTTACGCAGGTAAAGAGTCAAGAATCAAATAAAAACCTATTAAATATAAAACACAGTGGTCTTTAATCTCATTTTACATTAATTACAAAGTTTTGACTAGAAATCAGCCTTTCAATGAGTGTGAAAATACAAAGATGCATGTGACAAACTAGCTCCTCTCAGGATCCATCGTCACACAACAGCAGGCACATGACCACAACGCTGAGTAACCAAAGCTTACACTACATTTGCTCAGCCGCAGACCACTAATGTTTCAGAACCAAGAGGAGGTTATAAATCAAGTGAGTCCCCTTTTTTTTTTTTGGGCTCAGTGAAGCGGGTGTGAGGTGGTCACTCGGTCTGACCTTCAGTCTGCTGCCAGTCAGAGTTTCTCTCCCGTTGTGTGCACTTGTGTATCTGTGAGGAGTCTTGAGGAGCAGCTGACCAGTTCAGGAGAAATGCATCTCACCACAGAGGACAGGATAGAGCTGGGACTGAGGGAGCAGGGGACCATCAATCCTGCATTTGGGGTAAGTGTCGAGACATCTAATGATCTTATTATTCAGTTTTAGTGTCTCGAGTTTGAAGCAAAAATCTAAATTATAATAAAATTCAGAGGAAATGTACTTTCCAAAGTTGTGAGTCACCAACATTAAATGATTTTGCTTGTATTTTTCGACTCAAATGAAAAGAAAGAGTGCTGTTTGGTTTCATTTCAGTACTTAGAGCTGAAAGTAAGCCTCAGAGGAATGTGAAATGATCAGAGCTGCATGTGCTCAACAAACAGGGGATATTTCAGAGGAATCGATTGTGAGGTTTTCAGAAAATGAGGCAAAGTTCAGGCATGAGACGAAACGAAGAAGTCACTTCAAGCTCGAATTGGAAAAGCTTTTGATAAAACTTGAAACAGAAAGGCTGAATAAAAGGCGTTGGAGTCAGTATTTGTGGTGTGTGTGTGTGTACGTGTATGTGTGTGTGAAAGAGTTGTGAAACGTCCGGCTGCAGGGGGTGTGCAAGTGTACACAGCTGAGCTCTGCAGGTTGATGTTTCCCACTTTTTTCTCCACCCCAATTATCTGAAGAATTTAGAAAAATGGGATCGCCAGCTTCAACAACCCATCAGTCTGTCAACATCCAAGAAATAATACAGGCGAAGGCATCTGGACTCATTAATTACCATGATCCTTACATTGTACGCCGTTTGACACTCCTGAGAGAGGGATTTGGACTAAACAATGAATCCAAAGACGTGGACTTAGACTTCGTATTCTGGCATCCAGAGTATTTTTTTAAATCATTTTTGAGCTTTGATCTTGTAGAAATATTACGCAACAACTTTTTTTGTGAATTTTTTTTAATCCATTTACTTCTTAAACCGTACAAAAGTCGTCTTCAACCGAAACTTTAAGCATATCTTCACTGATTCGTTTGCCATCGTTTGTGCAAAATAAACTCAAGCTCAACAATTTCAAGACCACAGTGGTGTCCAAATCAGTGCAACTCTGCAGAAGACTTTTCATTCAGTTAATACATTACACCTCTAGCATGGGAGAAACCCCAACACTCACTTCTCAAGGCTAATAATAGCAGCTAATTGATTCAAAGCAAAGCAGAAAACTTCACGTGATCTTTACAGTGAAACCAAACAATTCTGGAGAGTGTGCAGGAGTCACGTTTAGATGGTAGAGATCTGCTAATCAGCTTGTAGGACACAGTCTACCTCCACTGTGCGTATAGATGTCTAGGTTGTTTCTTCAATGCATGCATGTAACAGGAACACCTGATTCGCAGAGTGTGTTATTTCGCATGGGTTACATTAGGAAGTCATGAGTGCACAGCAATCTGGGGTAAAAATGTGGATTGTGCGATCAAACAAGTAAGCGTTTGTCTCCAGAAGTCCATTTAGGGTTTCAGGTATCACTGCAGGGTGGAGGTTACACTCCAAAAACAAAAGCTCACTTCACAAAGTTTTGACTCTCGATGTGGAGGGGATTATTCCTGAAAACACTGACCCACTGATAGTTGTTACAAGCAGAGATAGTAAAAAGCTTTTTGGGTCATTTCTGACTTTTTTCTCAGGGAAACTTGGAGGAGTATTACTAGTAATACTATTTTATTGTCCTGACTTCCCAAAAAGAAACTTCCATACAAACCTGTGAACATTGGAAGGAATCTAGGAACTTCCCCGGACAAGCCTGGACAGCCTAGACAGACCCCCCAAAAAAAGGCCATGTATGGGTAAAAGAGGACGTACGGTCACCCTAGTATAATGGTGCGTTCCAGTTGTACCCAGAAGTCGGGTTTTTCAAGCTCAGATGGAAATTCATCTGGAATGCCCCCCTAAAGTCGGATTTCCGACTCGGAAAGTCAGATGATTCTCACCAACCCGGACTTGACAACAACATCATAGTCCAAGATGGCAGAGCAGTGCATCAACAGTAAAGAGTAACAAAGAAAGCTCTCATAATGTATTATTTATTAGCACTTCTGTTTTGTTTTTGTAAAATTAAAGAAGTGGTTTATGTTGTACTGTCCAACGGCTAACTGAGAACACGGTGCTATGGCGTTTGTAAGAGTTATGCTGTGTTCGAATTACCTCAGAAGTCAGATGTCGGAGCTGAAAATGACGTAACTCCCAGCATTTCAGTTACCTAGTTGGATTAAAGTTATTTTAGCGCTTGCCTTGTCTGCATATTAGGCAAGCACTAAAATAACTTTCGTTGATGTAGCCATCTTGTTCTAGGCCTCCGATTTTGCTTTTTCCCGACTTGGTGACTGAAACGCTGGGAACTAGGGTGTGACGTCATTTTCAGCTCCGTCACCTGACTTCCGAGGTAACTCGAGCGCAGCACAAGATTCTGTTTTATGCAATGTTTACATCTGGTATCGCTAACAACACTAACAACAGCGAGCAACATCTAACAACCACTAACAACAGCTAACAACAACTTACAACCGCAAACAACAGCTAACAATGGCTAACAGTAGGCGTCCATCTTGGTTTTCCGACTTGTAAACTGGAATACCGTCAACTTGGGTGTAATGTCATTCCCAGCTCTGACATCCTTGGTAACTGGGACGCAGCATAAGGCACAGGCTATATCTGAAACCACCTACGCACTAGCACAGTGTGTTGTATGTTCTGCAATGCTGCGTTCAAAGGCGGTATGCACTATGATTCTGTTCTGTTGGATCCATTTTGCAACACGTCGGGCCAGGCTTTGCTGGTTTTTAAAAGCAGATGACAACAAAAGACCATGTAATTACCAGACCACTACTGTGTAGTGTTCACTTCTGGTTTGAAAGAAAAGCACAAGTGGCATATTAAATCAGTTTCACAGACATGAACTACCAACTGTGAGATGGATAATGTCCGTGTAACGACTACAAATGAAAAGATTCATTTGTGTTTCTCGCATTACTCCACTGTACATGCAACAAATGTAATAAATATCTTTGCACAAAAGTATCCTTTCCCATAAATGATGCTCTGGGGTGTGCTCTCCATATTTCTAACTTCATAAAGGGGTAATAACTCTGGTACAGCACCTGTAAGCTAAAGCTACCCGCCATATATCAGAGGAAAGGATGTTATCTCTGTGCACTCAGGCAAATATTTAGGCAGGGGGGAGACCGGTTCCCTGCAGAGTGAGCATGACTTGTTACTGGAAATCTGTCTTACTGCATGATAATGTTTATTGTGTTAAGTTAAGTCCACAGAGTGCAGTTTCTGCCCAGCTGTGTGGATCTTTCTCCTACCATTTGTTTTCAGCATGATGAGTTTGAAATCCTGCTAGTTTGTTGATTGTTGTGCACTTTGGACCCTTGATCAATTAGTCCATACGTGTCAAGTTGTGGATTACGAAAAAGGTTAAATTTTCAGACACTCTCCTGGATCAGTCTGGGGACCAGGCGGGTTGGGCGGCTCATTCGTTAAATCCTTGTCAAAATAAATTGTTTTCTAGACATGCTTTGGTTTTTAGAAATGTTCTCGTCTGTGAGCGCACGCTAGCAATCGAGTTCAGTTTGGAGAAGCAGAGTAATATTTTTTATGATGTATTATAACACAGGAGATTAACGGGGAATACAGTAGTTTCCCGGCCAAAAACGAGATACTTGACAGCTATGAATTAGTCTAGACCCCATTCCCTGGTTGTATGTACATGAATGATTATGACCTCACGAGGGTAAAAAGCGGTAAATATTGCTGCGTATCTAAAGGAGGAAACTTGACGAAGTGCCCCCTGGGTTTCCTTCCTGTAAAGAAACGGAAAAGAAGTGCTCCGTGGATGCTCTTTCAGTAGAATTATGGTAAAGAGTACTTATTAGGTTACATTTGGGTTAAAAAAAAAAAAAAAGGCTCTTCCTGATTCCCCCAGTGATATCGAAGGGCAGAAAATCACTTTTAGTGGTTAACTACGATGGTGTACTTTTGGTGCTTGAGCCTTTTTTTGAGTTGACCTTCCAGCTTCGAGAGCTGAGTTTAGTACTCAGAAAGTCTGTCGATCAGAATTAGATCTACATTTCATACTCATTTTTATCAAGACTCAGAAAAGAATTACCGTAATGCGAGTTTAAGCATCTATCATTTGGTGACAATAGTTTGTACTTTTCAATGTCTACCACTTAATGCGGGGAAGTCATGACATTTATCAGGTGCCCTTTTGAATTGTTTTTGCCCCTGACCCTTAAACAGCCTGAGTACAGCACTGTCTGACTTCAACACATCATTGTTGTGTAATGTTTTGTAATAGCATGAACTGGATAAATATAGACTGATTAAACAATTGATCAAAGTTATGTTACATCTGGACCTGTCTATCAAACTTTTTGTTGTTTGTATGACCAAGATGAGCCACCTCCTCTACTTTGGTTACCATAGAAACTTCATCTAAAAACCGTTTTTCTAGTTCCTACACCATTACAGCTATTACAGATATGTTTGACAAACTTGCTCTCCTGTGTCGGTACAAACAGAGAGTTTACCATGAGCACGATGCCAGCTCCAAACCAGAGAATGACATATATCTGTATGAATAGCTGGGGTGGGGTAATATGAGCCTAAAAGCATGGGCTAAGTTGAGCCAATGGGAATAACTTTGTGCACCTGACTGGTTGTTAGACCACGGCTGAATGACAGGACCAGACTTTCATTTCCTTTTGTGCAGTGTACATGAAATTTATTATTCAAGCATCATTTGGTTTTAGTTTGGAAATGGACTCACTTTAAGGATGTCCTGAATTTGTCTTGATTTAATTTAATGGTATATGAGATTAAGATGTGCAGTTTTAATTAAGCATAATGAGTGGAGCGATTTATCCCCCTCATCAGGGGTAATCTGATCTAAGAGCAACTCACTCGATAAGATTTATAAACCTATTTTGCATTGATTTTGGTGCCAAAGTGATTATTTCCACATCCTGAATGTTCATCAATTGTAGGCAGAGACCTTCAGGAAAGACTGGCTCAAATCACTCCACTCCATCTCAGTATCTGTATGTTATCTTATCATAAAAAGGCCGATATTGTAAATGCTGGATGTATAACCAACTACAAGCTTCTCCCAATACTTCAGGGATTGATATGACGAGTATAAGAGGGTCCCTGTACTTTCTTGTTAGGCGGGAAACCACTAGATGGAAGCAAACTTCCATGTAATCACTGAAGCAGCTGTCTGAGTGTACGGTACACACTGATGACTTGTAAACAAATCTGAGCTCAGCGAGGAAATAGGAGGAAGATGTGTGAATGGGGTCAGTCACACTTCTTTTGTCTTGAGAGTAAAAGATGATTGATGGCCGACAGTATTTTGGTTTCACAGCGAGCTGAGCTGTAAAACTTGGTTATGGAGTTTGAAAAATGTTTTGTTTTGATGCTTTCACTCAGAAGAATGAAGCAACACCAAAAAAACAGTCAAAGTGAAACCATATTGGACAAGTGTTTCCAACATATTAAACACATTACCACATATTCTGTGTCTTATTCACTCTTCTTCATCATCATCATCGTCAGAGGAGACAGTCTTTTGTCTTGTTTTGTTTTCCTGTTGAGTATTTAGATGTGTGTCCCTGCAGTACTCGATCTGTTTGCCTTGTAAGACCACCTCCATGAGCGTCTGTCATATTTCAAACACTTCTGACTCTCCTCCACATCAAACAGAAGCATTCTCCTGAGAGTTTGTACAGTCAACAGCTCTTTGTAAATGGATACGTCCTTTGTGGTCTGCGTCAAGAGGGATGTGACCTCTTTGCATCCGACACAGGTCATGTGTCCTATCAAGCGCACAGTAGCGTACAGTAACCACGAATACCAAGCAAATAATTCTGTAAACAGAGAGGAGATAGTTCATGGTGTCAAATGCATCCCTATGTGCAATGTTTTCACTGTGTGTTGTTAATGTGCCTTTAGGAAAATCTGAACATATACTTCCTTACCCCTCAGAGTAACCTCCTTAGAAGTGGTTGTGCTGCCTTAACAGAAACTGATCCGTCCCAAGAGGTTAGTCCTCAGAGAGAGATGACCTCTTTGCATTTGAAGACATCTCCTGGTCATATACCGCTGAATCTGCTAAACCAAAGTTAAAGTTCTTGATAGGGCTGTCCCGATACGATATTTGATATCGGATACCAGCAAAAAAAAAACTAATATCTGATTATATCGGCCTGCATCTAAAATCTCCGATATCAGCACTCCAATACAAGCAGTCTATTCCAGACTCCGCTCCAGCACCTCTATCTAGCAGCGCCCTGATCCAGCAAACTCAGCCCACAAAATCACAACAACAGCGTGTATTAAGGTATGAACAAAGTAGCAATGAGGAGGAGTGATGTTTGCCATGAAGCAGTATTTTTGTCTAAGTCTGAAAAAAACATTGCAGCTGAGTCAAAAACTTGTCATGCGCAATTATGGATCAATACTGAAGGCTACAATATCCGTATCGAATTGGAAGTCAAAAAGTTGTATCAGGACACCTCTAGTTCTTGATACTAGTCCTGTTGTATTTGTCATTTTTTGGACCAATTTCACAGATAATCTTGAACAGATCATCACTGATCTGACGAGCTCATAGATTCACCATCCATGAACATTTAAGATGCTCCTGAAAAAGGAGAAGTGGGGTACTTTTGATTGATTGACAAGCAGGAATCATAACAATGAAGATCTGCCTCGAGCAGCTTTTTGTAAGCTCTTTTCATTCTCTATTTCTCCTTCGCATCCTGTGATCAGACGGTCAAAAATAAGAGTGGGGTCTGGTGACAGTTTTAAGAGGGTACTGGGGGTCCTCTCCCCTGGAAAAAACTTTTGCCTTCCTGCTTTCAAGTGAAAATGTAGATGTCAATTTGAAAAAAAAAATACAAGCTACTGATATAAAACTATTAGCTGAGAAAAGAAATACCACTTCCTGCACGGAGCACACATTACTGCCAGATCAGATCAGTCACACATATAATGAAATTATAGACTCTTGATGGCTAATTCAACTCTTAATTAATGATAATAATAACATGAAAATTTTACGGTTTAATAGACTTATCTCACGATAGTTGCTTGGCAACCAAACTCGTGTAATCCGATTACTACATTACCACATTTCACGTCTGGTGGTGGACATCCACAGGGCATTTTTCCACTTGATTTTGCTGCAAGACTCTAAAGAGGACATTTATTTATGTTTTATCTATTCCTATATAATACATAAGGATCCAACATCCCCACATCCCGACGCAAAGTGTGGAATTTATCAACCTGTACTTGTGCTTAGGAACGTGCGTAAACTAAAGCACAACTCTTACCATGCGTACACTCAAAACCTAGTGATAAAACAGTGAAACTACAAATACAACCCATGAAAGGAGTCACAGCGTTCAGCAATGTTTAACTTCACATGTTCTCTGTTGCCTCTCTACAAAATTTATCAATTAGTTATTGATCAGACATTTTGAACGATCGGTGTGACAATCTATAAAAATCAGCTGTGACAGGACAACCTCAGAAGAAGTCTTACAAGTACAAATACAAGAATCATGGCTTATTTCGTGCTATCGGAGGACTTGGAGAATCATATGCTCTGCAGGGAGCGTGTTTTTAAAGACCGTGCAGATCTGTTCAGTGAGGACACAGTGGCTTCTCAGCAGGTACCGCTTCCCCAAATATTTGAATGGTTTTACGCCGTGATTTACAGCCCGTGTTAGAGCGAGAGACAGAACGCACCAAGGCCATCCCAGAGCACATCCAGCTCCTGTCCACCCTGCGATTTCTGGAACATTTCAGCGTATGATTGGAGACATATGCATCATTTCGCAGCAAACACGCAGCAGAATCAAGCCGGCAGAGTTGGTTGCAATAGTTTCTCTGGCCTCAACTTACATCCAGTTCCCAAACACACATCAACAACAAGCTGAAACAAAACTATTGAAGCCATAGATTGCACCTACATTGTAATAAAAAACCACCTTCACACAATAAATTCCATTTTGTCAACAGGAAAGGATTTCGTTCTATCAATGCACAAATAATCTGTGATGCACATGTGTATCTGTTAAACGTTGTTGCCTGGTGGCCTGGAGGAACACGCGACTCATTCAATCTGCAGAACAGCTCTGTGAGTGAACACCTCCATGATTTTGGCGAGGGGAAAAAATTCATTCACGCATTTTAAAGGGATTGTTGATACCATATATGGTCAATTAGAGGCGTTTCTGAATGCAAATGACCCTAACCGTGCAAGAAAGTAAAGAACAGGTGGGATTTATCACCGATTACTTACTAGTGTGTGTACGATCGCATGTGTACGCATGTTTGATAAATACGGACTTTTTTGTACTTACGAACAGTCTAAATTTCATTCCTGCGTTTTCTACGCACAGTTGGTAAATGAGGCCCCAGGTGAGCACTCCTGCTATTCCTCGTCATTCCCTGACTGGCGCGGGTCTTTCTCTCGCGGCCTGAGAGTGCCGGTGCCGGGAGTGCGCACAGAGCGCGCTCGTTTCCCGCGTAGCCAACCTCCGTTAAACTGTTAAATTGTTTCCCCGCACCTCTGTCCCGCGGTCCTGCACTCCAACCAACCGTTTCCCTTTCTACTTGGACTGTTTCTCCCTGCTGTAGGCGTTTGAGGGTGCACACTCAGCGACCGCCCGCCAAAAACACACACAAACACAAACACACACACACATCCACTTACCTGCTGCCATCTTCAGAGCCAAACCGGGGCACTTCCTGGTCCATCAGTAAATAGCGCAAGGTGGCGCTCTTTTGGGGGTCATGTGACCCCCGGACCCCACCATTATAGTTCATTTGTAGTATTTTGGTCTGATTTAATGTGTTTTCAATGATTAAGTTCACAGCTGTATGGAGGGCTATCAGTGCCTTTTTGTCCATGTTGAAATGTCTGATTTGTTGATGAATTTTTTGTTCTTTTATTGCTTATTGTGTCTTAAACCCCCATAATTTGCTTATGGATTTGCCCAGGGGAGGGGCTAAGGGATATTTAACGAGCGCTTTGCTCACTTGGTAGGGAGTTCTTGGCCTGGTGGCATCGTGGGTTACAAGCAAACAAGTGAACAAGCGTAAGTCCTTCTGATAAAATCTTCTGTAAACACTAGTGATGGGCAAATGAAGCTTTTATGAACCATTGAACCACTTGAAGCAATCGGTTCAAAATGGTTTGAAGCTTCAAAGCTTCAGTGATAATGACACCTGGTGGCGAAAAAGCTAGAACTGTAGTCAAATACTATGGAGGCTTTTAGACAGTAAAACAATAGTATGTATACACACATACATGAAACAATGACTGGATATCTAGTTCTCTATTCAACCAAAGATGTTTTTGTATATTGTGTTATTATGGCAGCTCATGAGTAAATAAAAAAATCAAGCAAATGGCTCATACCTTGTTTAATGTTACGCTGAGAAATATTGTGAATGTCATTTCATTATTTTGTCCCGAAGTCTTAAATAAACAAAAGTGTGAAACAATGTTATGCTAAGAAACCACGACTCATATATTCACACACTAAAGTATAAACATTTCTACGTACACAAAGTAACAAAAATTATGGCACAGGTAGAGTATATGCATTTCAAAGATTTTTATTCAAGAAAATTATTTTTTCCACAGTCTTTGGATTTAGACGGTTTCTTTTTTTACTGACAATGTCTCCACATTTTGAAAGTATGCGCTCACATGGCACAGATGTTGCCTGTGTGCATAAAAATCTTTTGGAAAGCACATAAAGATGCGGGTAGACATTCTTTTGCTCTGTCCAGTAAACCAGGGGGTCTTTCGTTCTTTCTACTGGTGGATCTGTCATATAGCGCTGGACCTCTACATTCGCATCAGCCGTTGTGCTCCTCGACCTCCTGGCTTCATTTGCATCTCTGTCCAGCAGCTCCCAAAGGCTCCCTTCAAAAAGACAAAAATCACATTAATCAGTCTATATCAAAATAAACACTTTTCTTTTACCTGCAAGCCTGCCTCCCGGTCCATCTGTGACATATTGAAGGTGTATCACTGACTTTAAGATGATTTATAATCCCACTTGGTATATATAGTTGGTATATATAATCTTTATGATATAACCTGTGGATGCTGCTGGAGTTTCATTATCTGCTGATGGCATTGCAGGATGAGCTGGTTCTGGCTGATTTGTTGTAGACAGCTGTAGTGAGGTTCTCAGTACAGATGCACATTCTGACACCAGTCGTCTCATCGCTGCTTGGGCACGACCTTGATTGCGGAACCCAAGCATTTTAAATCTGGGATCCAGGAGTGTGGCCAGGTTGCAAGCTGTTGAATCCTCCTGGCCATCAAATCTTGATGTCAACTGTTGAACCAGGTTCTGCCCCAGTATTTTTGCAGTGGCATGGATTGTTTGTCCAGTAAGATCTATTATAGAATGAAAGAGCATTTTGGTCATTGGGATCGCCACTGTCCCTGAAACTCTCTTTTCCTCAGACAGTTCATTTGTTGCCTTCTTGAATGGGTTGAGCATCGCTATGCAGGCAGCCATGGTCTCGTAGTCTTCAGAGGCCAGTGGTCGTACTTCTGTGGTGAGCACGGCAAGAGCTGACCCCACAGTCTGCCTCTCCTCGTACAACCGCTGGAACATGTCGTAAGTGCTGTTCCAGCGAGTGTCCACCTCCTGAATGAGCTTCATGGTCTGGCGTCCTGCGGATTTCTGCACCTGTTGCAATACCTCTTTAGCTCTAGTGCTTGTTTTAAAGTAGGTCACCACTTTACGTGACCTTGTTCGAAGGTCTTCCAGTCCAGGAGTGCTCTCAATGGACTTCTTCACCACTAAATTCAATGCATGCGCATAGCAAGGCACAGACCTCAGGCCCAACTTTCTGCCACTGGCAATCATATTTGCTCCTGCATCTGTCACAAAGCTTGAAACTTTCTTCTCAATGCCCCACTCCATCATGAGACACCTCGTCGAAGCGGCTATATTATCCGAAGTGTGTGCTTCTGGGAATGGCAGCACCCCCAAAACCACTGTGGCCAGCCTGTCAGAGGCATCCACATAATGGGCCGTCACTGCCAGATAAGCATCCATGTTTATGGAGGTCCACATATCGCTTGTCAGGCTGACAGCTTCCACACTCTCCATGACGGCCTTGGCCTTTTCCTTCTCCTCTGTATAACGGCGCACCACCATCTTCTTTAGGTCTGTCCTTGATGGCAGAATGTATGTGGGATCAAGGAGTGCCACAAAGTCCTTGAAACCACGGTCCTCCACAATTGAAAACGGCTGAGAGTCTTTCACGACCATCTCCACCAGAGCATCATCCAACTGCTGCTGCCGGCCAACTAGACAGAAACAAAGAAATAAATAAATTACAGTACATACAATGAGGATTTATTTGAAATTTTGGGAAGATTAAGCATTATGTCATAGAATATAGTCATATATATTAAAATATGTTATTGTAGTGTGTTACTGTTTCATCAATAATATAGCCTACCTCTTCCTGCTCCTGCTCCTGCGTTCTCCTGGGTAACACCAGAAGTAGCTGAAGCAGCTGCAGAAGTTCCTTGGTCGGAATGTTTGGCAGTGAAATGCCTCTTCATAGAAGAAGTATTGTTGTGATACTTCAGCTCAGAAGTACACAACAAGCACCGAACCTGAAGAGAAAAACATTAGATAAAAACTAATGCCCTGTCCGAGATTCGAACACACAACCTACTAGTTGAAAGGCGACAGTGCTAACCATTACACCACACTGATGCCTATTTCAACATTCGTGCCGCCCGTTTCTTATCTTTTAGTATTGGAAATTCCGACGACATCCTCTTTTTTGTATGTTCTGGGTCACAATATCCAGAATGTTCGGACCACCAAAATTTAATAGGATCCTCCTGGGGCTGAGACGTGCCTCTGGTGAAAATTTCAGGCCAATCCGTCGGTTACTTTATCCGTAAAGTTGCTAACAGACAAACAAACAAACCAACGCTACAGAAAACATAAGCTTCTTGGCGGAGGTAATGATGAGTTGTGCTTACGAAACCTGCTTCATTTCAGCGAGTGTCCGTCTCCAAAATCTACCCGGATACAGCAATGCTACTTTTTGATTGGCTGTTCGGTAGATATACTTTATTTGATTAGCTTTCGGGTGGCACGCAGCCTCTTTACTCTCAGTGGAACTGACTTGATTTCTACCTGTTCCATTGTTAAAAGGTTGCTACTTGGTGGACGTCACCGTGGTAATATTAATATGTGAGAAACACAATGTGTGGCAAGTGAACGGGTGGGATTGCGTGTGCCGCACGCCGAATGCGTGTGACTTGAGAGCCCTGAAAATGAATACTGATTGCTGAACATCCATCCGACTATTAACCAATCTATCTTAAACAACGTGGTGTTAATGTTTGTAACGTGAAGCTTAATGTCAGAGAATTTGTGTTATACTGCCTCAGTGGCTGCATAGTTCATGTGCTGTGAAACCTCTTATAGAGGATTAGCGCAGTTAGCGCACATAATCAAACAAATGACTCCTCCTATAATAACAAACTCACCTTATCATGGGCAATGAGTTCAAAGTATTGCCACATTTCAGAACGGCCCCTCTTCCTGGCTGGCTCCATGTCCACGATGATGATGATCAATACACGCAAAAACGCAATGTAATGATAAATCAACTCAACAACTATGCAAACGCCTCTACTGCAAACCCACATTTTGTTCATTGTTTGAAACGCTTAAAAAGCTGTCAAGGCGCAAAATTTGAAAATGATTCAACCTGTCAGAATCGAGAGATCGGCAAACTGGCACTTGGTTAGCACAGGGCCAGTCATATGATTCATTCCTTGGATCGAACCAGGGGTCGTGGCTTCGAGACAGTCAAGGGGTTACCAGGGTTCATTCAGAGAATGAAACAGTTACTGCTTCGGACGTCATAGGTCACGTGGTTTTTTCCAAATCGAACGGAGCGTCGGAACAGTGTTTCGAGGCAATTTCATTTCCGGATTTGAAACGTGCGCCGGAGCGTCGGTTTCAGAGCGCCCATCACTAGTAAACACGTCATTTATTTGCCTGTTTTGTTTTCTGCACTGTTAATATTTTTGCCACTGTTTGCTGTTTTGGGGGAGTTGGTGTGAATAAAAACCCACCACAATGGGGTTACGACTGCACCATAAGTTTTTTGTCCTGAATGAACCCGTGACAGAGAGAAACTGGTTTTGGCATTTGTGAGATTTTCAAAAACTTTTTAAAATAGCTGATTTAGATTGTTTTGAGAAATTATCAACTAACTTTAAAACAAGTATTTGTGCCAGGCTATGAATTCACTTGTCTCACCGTTCGAATCTTTATTGATGACTCTGTTATCTCTCTTCCTCTCTCTCTCTGTACATCCTCCTGATGTTCACAGACATAAAATAATTGGTGTATTGATGAATGGATTGTCCTCTAATTTTCTAATCAATCATGAAGCAGTAAAATTAAAATCATCTGTTTTATGTTTGGCATTGTAATTACTGACAACCTAACTTGTCCCTTTTTTTTAGATGAGAAATTAGGTCTGATTGGATTAAGTTTCATCTGACTTAAATGTCAGTTAATTTCCTCTTAGTTTTTTTTCCATGTGCACTTGATTTTCTTAATCACTGTCTCACTGTCTCATTTCCATCAGGGGAGAAAGGTCAGAAGAACTACTTCAAACTTCCCCGCATATTTACTTACTGTGACACACAGCCCATTTTAGAGATATAACTACAGATGTTTTACATTGCTGTCTACAAAACATCCCCATTGACCTCATCAAATCAAGTCAGTATATACCATAACCTCTGCTACACTACTGTGGTTTCGCTTGTCTGTCAAGATGTCCAAGTTTAGAGCCAAGACACTGTCTGCCCCCATTGTTGGGTCACACAAACTAACACAAATGTCTTTATTCTGTCAGTAGATGCTTTTTGGATTTAGACAGCATGTGCCGACTTGAACTGCTTTTACAACAAAGGCTGGCTACATAAAGTTCTACTCATAGAGCCAGAAAATGAGAGTTTGACTCAAAATCATAGACCGTATATACTATGGACTACTTGGTTCTGCTTTCTGTCATTATATGAATTTGAAGCTGAAAAGCTTGGATTTTGGGGGGATTTTCTCCACCTCCTGGAATCACCACTGGTGCAGTAGCGTTGTACGCATTCAGTGGGAGAGTCGCTGTGATGATGCTCGGCTCAACTAGTGTATCCCCCGGGTGAGCTACGCTATCTTCGTACACCCATAGGCTGTATCAAGTGTCAATCATAGAAAACATGAACCCCCTAATAACTTAAAAAATTGAACCACAAAGAAAAAAGAGGACTTGAGCACAAACCAGTCTGACAGTAACTACTTGTCAACCTCGCAACCAGAGGGGAGAAAATTTTTATTCTGTGTAATAAATTTCTAAAGTTTATCCACAGCTCCATAGGGATTGCTGGAGGGATTGGAGGTGGGATTAATAATAATAATAATAATAATTATAATAATAATAATAATACAGATAAAAATAATTGAAAAAATAATACAAATAAAAATAATTGAAAAAATAATGCAAATAAAATGATACAAAATAATGCAAATAAAATGATACAAAATGATACAAATAATGATACAAAATAAAGATAATAAAAAATAATACATTTTATTTATAACGTGCTTTTACAGGTGCTCAAAGACACTTTACAAGCAAACACAATTTAATGAAAGTATGGGGGTCCGTACAGTCTCAGATGAGTTTGGGGAGTGAATTCCAGAGAGTGGAGGCGGCAGAGGAGAAGCTCTGTTATGACCTATACTGTAGACTGTCACCAGAGGGTGCTGTTCTCGTGGTGGCTTCACCCAGCGAGGAGGCAGGTGGCATCTATGTTCAAAATTTAATATACCGCTCGGAATGAAAACACGGTTGGATTCAGGTTCTGAATCATGCGTGTAGTAGTTTTGGTGTTGATTCTTCTAGAGCACTCACCATGTTTGTTTTTGGTGTTTTTCCGCCTCTGCATCCATCTGCAAACCACCGCAACCACCACCACCTTAATCAACATTCAGCCAACTCATAATCATAGCATCTCGTACCCCTCAATCACCATCTGAGTGATAATGTTAGAAACTGAGATGCTGCAGGTCCCCCACAGGAGCTACATCTGTGATCCGGATCCAACTATGACGCAATCACCCCAGCACACACAGGTTCCAGTTTATACGATCTTGATCGGATACTAGAGAAGTTTACCTCAGCTGCCACCTACTGTGCCCACATGGATGTTGGACATGCCATAACTCACCTTAACCCACCTTTTACGCTCAGTGTTTGTGTCTTTCACCTGCTAAGCTGGAGCATCAGCTCTTGATTATTGTGAAGATAGACAGAATTTTTTTAAGCTTTTCCCAGATCCAAAGACAAAACAACGAGTCTTTAAGAGTCTCTGGTATGTGTAACATCAAAGTGTGATAGGTTAAGATATGAAAGCGTGTTATCTGAAATCTAGTTCTGGGAGATGATGTCAAAACATTTGATTGGAGTGTTGTGTTCAGTAATTTAATGAATTTAGTGACCTGAAATGTCTTTGTGTTACTGTTTGTACTTCCCCTCAGGTCAAAGACAGCGATGAACAGCCACAGATGACAGTTGATGTTGAGGAGCCACACACGGAGGCCTTGGAGGAGACGGTCGACCACAGTGCAGATTTGGTTTACTCCCTCAACGACAGACCACCGTGGTACCTCTGTATTCTGCTCGGCTTTCAGGTAAATTTATCTCTGGCCTTGAAGCATTCGACATTGAGCCCAACCTTCCAGTTGGGGGTGTGGATCTTCACCAAAAAGGATTGTATGATAAAATGTAATTGTCTCAAGCTGTTCCTACTAAGCGGCCCATTTTAGTCCAACAATCATGAAACATGACTCCCTTTCATGTATGTTTTTACTCATATCAGGTAACACTGACAGGTGTCTTCGCAGGAAATTGTCTTATTTTCAGACTCAGAGGTTTTTGTGTTTGTGTTGTGGATATCTCTAAATCCAACTCGAAGAGCTGTGCTACATGTACTGTTTTAGAAGACAATGTTCTGTGTGAGAATAAACACCAGATGAAAATTACTACACTTTTAGTAACTTCAAGTGTAACTGCACATAACCTGTTACCTTTTTTGAGTGTCCTTGGCGCTGTTTTTGGCCCTGATGTTTTTCCCTAAACCAAGTCCCGTAAATTAACCGAACTGACATGTTTTTGTGAGAGTTTCAGCAGAACGTTTTGGTTTTTTTATTGGTCTTCAAAATCGACACAACACAAAACCATAACTTTTCAAACTGGTAGAAAAATCTTTCATTTCTAAGAGGTAGGGCTTAATGTTGGTATTCTCTTGAAGCTGCCAAGGCACATATACTGCGTTGCTCTTATTAGGTCACAAAGACTGTCTTGGAGCCCCATCTTGCTAATACACATACTATCCTCCCATTGACAAACATGCGGTGCGATTAAGAAAAAATCTGGTAAAATTCCTCTCTTTATCCCTCTTAAACTTTAAAGTCTGGATTAAGTCCAACCATACCTTTTTAAAGCTTCATTGCATTGTTGAAATAATATTGAAGAGAGCTTAAACAAATAGCTAAACAATAATCCCCTGAAGGCTTTGATTAATTGCTATGGATAATCTGCAACAATAGCATTCCAATGTATTTACATTTCTGCATATCGGATGAATGAGGTCATGTTATCTTTGATTTAAACACTCAGCAGGTAGCGAACTGTCTAAGAGTCAGTTGTCTTTTTCCCATTTGGTTGTTAGGCTGTAAACCAAAAGGCCGAGTTTCAGTGTCAAAGGATAACTAAACTTAGCTCAAAAAGCTAAAAGCTGCTAAAAACACATGAATCCATCAATGTCTCTAATAAACCCCCAATGATTAGGCATTATAATATCAGGATATCTCAGGTATCATGTGGGTGTCAGTTAGGGCTGCGGGATTTTGGCAAAAAGTAAAATAAATTTTTTTTCTCTGAAAACTCAATTTTTGATTTTGACTATTTATTCAGTGACAACTTTACCAAACTTCACTTTAATTAAAACTTTTTCTATCATCTCTCAAAGCGACACCACTGAAGCCTCTGTGGCAAGTTGAAGTGTCCAGGGGTCTTATGTATCAACGCTGGCGGCGCCAGAAAACCTTGCGTCCGCCAAGATCGGCGCACACGTCCAGATTTATCATCGCGACACGAGCGTCGGTTCCAGCGCTAATCAACGCAAAGTGAGGAGGTGGTGTAGAAGTTGGCGTTGAGCCGATACTTGCGTTGACGGCACTTTGGCGACGCTGTGTGGCGGTGTTTGGTGACTCACTATGTGACAAGCGTGCACCACATCACCGTGGCCGAACAGCACGTCGCCCCACATGACGAACCAGCAGCAGACGGAGGGATGCGAGCTGATCACTGCCGGGCCGCCGTCCTCGCGCGGGAGAATCTCATCGCCACAGTGTGAATGGGTAAGAAGTGAATACACAGTTCAATGAGCCAAATTAATTTATTTTCGCCACCAGACGCTTGAGGACATTTACGAGCCGCTCGTTGATCCCCCTGATGATTTTTTTCCTGCGATTGCAGGACCGCCTCCGTGAGGACCCTTCCACTGCGTCCGGGTGGTCCAGCGGAAGCGCCGCGGCTGATGGACGCTCCACTGCTTGTCGGCGCGCTGGTGCTGATGCTGGTGCTGGGGCCGGGGTGGCCCGAATGCCGCTGGTCCTGGCCAATGACTCCGAGCCGGCGGACGGGCTGCCGCGGGCTGGGGTTCCGCAAGCCGGCGACACGGCCGACACATTGATTTCTGTGACACAATGAAAATATTGGTTCATTTCAATTCCTGCTTCTGTGTATCTGTTGCATTTATATCTCTCTCCGCGGTATCATAGGTAATGTAATCCAGTATTTAGAGGTCAGTTATGCACATTACAGTTGTTAATTACATAAAAAGTTATCGAAAAATGAAGTTGAGGGCGAAGTATAAATCACATCTAAAAATAGACTGAATCCCGACGTTGAAATGAAGTATAAACTTAGACTAGACGTCTAATATACGTCTTCTGCTCAGTGGGATGGCAAAGCATGTGGACATTTGTGTGACACGCCACTTATCCTATAATAATAATCAACACCACCCGCTGCTCAAACGGCGTGAGGGTCTCCTCCCCCGGACCCCGACCTGTCTGGCCGGTACTCCTCCGGAGGGCAGCTGTACGCCGCTTGACCTCCACCTTGAGGTCCGACCACTTTTTTTTAATCTCCGCAGGGGTGCGTGTCTCGGAACCCACCGCGTTCACCCTCTCGGAAACTTTCTCCCACTCCAAGTGTTTTCGTTTTGCACAGACGCCACTGGACAGGCTGCCAAACAAAACACGCTGTCCCTCCTCCACCTCCGCCACCAGCACCTCCACCCCGCACGCCGTAAATTTAGTTTTTCTTGTCATTTTCTCTGCGTGCGAGGACAGGGAGACCCTATTTAAATAAATCTGCATATTTATAGGAGGGCGTAACGGGGGCGGGCCCAGTCACTCCAACATCTGCGCTCAATTCCACGCTGATTGGGATTTATCAAGGAAACACACGTGGCTTTCGGCGCCCGTACACATTGATACATACGGATTTTTTTCAGCGTGACGGACCTTGCATGCGCTCGTTTCTGGTATGAGTTCCATGCAAGTGTTGAGAAATGAGGCCCCTGGTCTCTAGTGTATGCATCTGTGAGTGTGTGTGTGTGTGAGTGCTGTATGTGTTGAATGGGAGTTGGGAGACATTCAATGTATGAAAACTGCTTTAAAAATAATGATTGATTGAAAAAAATGTAGTGCATATGCCAAGCCAGTAAGTGGCGCTGTAACGCTGCACAGGAAATGCACAAAAGACAGAAGAAGAGTACATAGCATGTGTATAAAAGTTGTTTTGGCCGGACAAGCGCAGGCGCCGTAAAAATAGTTACGCTGTGTGTCACATAATCGTTTCGAGAGATGCAGATAGACATCCACACGGAGATGAAATGGTAGCCATATTAGATTTATGCACTCTCTGACCCATTTTCCTGTACCATTTACAGTCACCCGAAACGCCGTTTCCATGTAGATGAACCGCCCATACGACAAAAAACGTTTGTGGTTTTGGACAGGTTGCATGTGGACGGGTTGATACCGCCTTCAGACAGACTTTACAGCAGGGAGTGGTTTGCTCTTTATCCAAAACTGTGAAGCCGTACCAATTCAACATGACTGACTTACTCTTGCCCTATTTAGCTGAGAAATTATCGCCTTCTTTTGCAAACGCCATGTTTGTTTACACTGGTGTGTATGAGAACTGGGGAGCGCTCCTGCAGGAAGGGGGAGCCTACGGTGGCCTGGAAAGAAAATTTTAAAAAGCAAGGTAAAAGTTTAGGAAAAAAACTACAAACTAAAACGTCCCGCTCACTGGTGTTTAAGGTTATGTAAGAAAATTGGATGCCAACAGGTCGTAAATTTCTATTCAGTGAAGAGCAGCCACGACTCTTGAATCAGGCAGTAAAAACTTGTTAATGCAGCCTTGTAAAATGTTAGACTTGGATAGTTTTTGCATTTTTTCACACTCTGTTTCCGTGTACTATTAAGGCTGAGTTGGAAGGGATGCTCTGCATAAGCGGATAAAAAGAGAATTTAATGGTTAGTTAATCATCCAAAGACTGTATTTGAAGACTTGTGAGGACCTTTTTTCTTCCCATGTAGCTCCTCGAAACCCTGGGGTCTCTTCTGTTGTATTTTTTTTTTTTCATGATGGGCCAAATGACTCTTTTGAATCATCTTTTTTTTTTATGGTTTCCCTCTTTGCACCTTTGGAGTTTGGACTTGCTTTTATTGATGCAGCAACAAACCGTGTTTACAGACATGTAGCTATCATCCACATGTCTGTGCTGGCTGGCTGCGCATTATAGGCAGTGCTGACTTGACTAGACCCAGCAAGAAGCAGCTGTATCTCAATTTTCTGCACCAAATACTGTCTGACAGTGCTGCTCTTTGACATACAATTGGTCATCTGTGTTTGTTTACAGCCTAATAGATGATTAAAAAATCATGGGATCTGCCAATTACCAGAGTCACAGCTAACACACAACCAAGAGTAATTACAACTTGTTTAACTAATTCCCATCTGGTACAGGACATTTTTTTGTATTATTTATGATTAGATTTGTAAGTTTCTTCCCCTCATTTTAATGTGAGTTAATTGATGTATTTTTGGTGGAGGGAAAAGTTCATCCATCATACCAAAGAGTGTCATCTTGGGCTGTTACTTTTACAGCCCCAAACATTTTTAATTCCCCTCAGGGATCATGACATTTCTTCAGCCGTTCAGTGATTGCTGCCCTTTGCACCTTTGGTTGTCACCTTAAACCCCCCTTAGAAATCACTTGCAGGAAACGTAGAGTGTGGATTTCATCCTCGAGAGATGGGGAGGACCACATTTCCTCACCTCCCACTGAGGTATTGTTTGTAAAGTCACTGAAACCTGTCTGCTTAGATCTCCTTCGACAGAAATACGTGCCTTTTATTTGGTGTAAACTTTTCCAGGGTTTTAAAAGGAGGTCGAAAAACAAAAACAAAACTTTCAAATGCAACTTCAAGAGCGAAGACAACCGTGCAGATTTTAGGATGTTTTATTTTTTTTGCCGGGTGCAGAATTGGCACCTGAATTGACACCCTTGAGCCGCATGCCATGCCAATTAGTCAGGCATTTATTAGCCTCCTTGTTGATAGCATGTTATGTCTCATTTCTCAGTATTTGTGGTGTGTTTTGGAAAGCAATAAAAACGTTAAACTGCAGACAGGCGATCAAGTAATTTAATGGAGGTGTACACCTACAATAACAGGAGGAGGCATGTTTTACTGGGGACTTTTAAGACTGTGTATTCCAAACAGTAAATCTATAATTGGAAGATAAATGAGCTGTTAACTCTTTCTGGGTAGACTGTACAGGGACCACATGTCTTCATGTCACCAGGGTCATCTCACCCCCACCCCCCCAAAAAAAAATAAAAGCCTGAGTTGAAAAACAAGAATTCCAGGTGATATTTCATCTTGTTTTATCGCGTATTTCGAGTCTACAGGCAGGGAAGCATCGACCAAACCTAGCAGGAGATTATCCACTTGTCTTTTTCCTGCATTTGCCATAATTCTCAAGAGATTGAATTGTTTTTCCTCAGCTGGTGACCTTTGACCCATACTATCTCACACCTACGCACACAGTTTTAAACTCTCCTTACTTTCCAGGAGTAGGTCAGCGCAATCTCTTCCAGCTGGCACCTTATCTAAGCTGTAACCTTAACCTGCGCTCAGATTGAATGCCTAATAACCAAGATTTACAACCTGTCTTACCACTTGTTATTATTTGGTAAATTCTGGACAGGGGCGGTGTGGATTGAGGTCAGTTTAAGGCCAATTCGCATTTCCAATATTCATCTTTGCTCTCTGATGCAATCCTCTACAACAGCTCTACTAACAAGATTAAAAGGTGATATCTGTGCTCGTGTGGAGAGTTTTTGACGGGTTATAAGACAGACCGAAATGAACAGTGACGTGTCCCTATGATGTGCAAAACCAAAGTAAGATTGTCATTTCAATATTGTTATTTTTAATGCCACACCCAGCAAACTAATTTGGCATTTACCTGCAGACTCTGTGATCCTATCGCTTTAAAACAGTAAGTCATCGACACCAAAGAAGAGTAAGGAGTAGGACTAGGCCATTTAATATATTTCGTCATATCCTCCAAGCTCTATTATTATCATGATTTTTTTTTTTAACTGCCAGTTAAAAAAAGTACCAAAGCATCTGTACTAAAAACTAAAGAAACTAGATGTTAGTTTAACATTTTATTAGCATAAAAAGTAAATTAAATACTTAGAAAAATATGAAAACCATGTTTACCCAACAATATAACAAATGTATATAAATACTAAATAATACAGTGAGTTAGTTTAGAGTGTTTTTGCAGGTATGCCTGACCCAAAATGAACAGATTTCTCCTTCAGGGATAATGAAGACGCCTTAAAATGTAAACATTAGATGATGTAAACGTCGATGATACGATTGATTGCTGCTTCGGTCTGGTGGCTAAACTGGCAATGCTACTTGTGCCGTTGGCAGTGGCAGGCTGCGCAGACTCCGCTTGCATTTTCATGCTTTCCGCATAATCAGCTAGAAAGTACTTCTTCAAATGACTAAACAGATCTGTTGGGCACCGACCGCTGACATACCTCGCACATCGGCTTAATTGCTCAACATCACTTTGGAGATACCCGAACCACCGCCACACAAACGAGGTTGAATAAAAAATAAGAGTAAGAAATTAGAAGAGCTTCATTAATCTCCTAAGGGAAATTTAATTGTCTGTTGTCTCACATAATAGTTATCTACTATTTACACAAGAGTTATAAAGTCTGATGGCTGTTGGTACAAAAGATCTTCTGAATCTTTCTGTCCTGCAGCGAAGAGAGAGGAGCCGTCCACCACCACTGGCCCTTTGGTCCATCAAGGTGTTATGAAGTGGGTGATCCATGTTCTTTAGTATAGTCTCCACCTTCCTCAGTGTAGATAACTTTTAACTTAAATAACTTGTCTTCTTCTCAACAATGGCATCTCCAGAAGATGACTCAAAGTCTTGGCTGACATCTTTTTTGCTGCCTCAGCTTCGTGTTTGACTCGGAGCTCGACTCTGATTGGCTTTTTTTTTTCACGCACATTTCCGCCATGTTTGATCGAGTGAACATGCTCACAGCTGATCACCGTGATCGAACTGAAACTTATCACGAGCATCAATCACGATCATATAATCACTCAGTCCTAGTAAGGAGACACACTGACAGGCAGTATTCAGTATGTTACTACCTTGCAGTCTGAGTGCAGTGAAATTAAAAGTTTTATAAAGTAATTTTTTTTTGGAGCAAGGAGGAGGGAAGTATTTCAAAATCTCCAAAAAGGGGGATCGTGGCCTTTAGATGAATTATTCTGCCTTTTTTTTCCCCCCCTTACTTTACTCTACAGGTGCAGAAACACCTGGGCATATGGCCCAGGCTTTGGCCATTTTCTGCCTAACCAATAGTTTTCCGCATCAACTATCCTTCTTTGTTGTGCATGCCAGAGTGAGTGAGTCTGTCTGTTCCCAAATGTAATTTGTAGCTGGAAGGAGGAGTGTCTGTGGCTCAGATAGATAAATCATGGAGGCATGAAGCAGTGCAAGCTCCAGAAAACCTCCTTCAGCTCTCCCCTGTCATAATGCTGACCTCCTGGATCTCCCTCTGACCTGCAGGAGTTCCAGGTTCCAAAATATTCTCATAAATCAGATGGAGTCTATTAACATCTGCCCCCAATTTTTTAAAATTTTCAACCTCAACACATTTGTGCGGTGTGTGTCTGTGAGGAGAATTTAACTGGTTTAGGCTGCACAGGTTTAAGAGAGCCACGCCTATAAACATTAAAACAATCATAATAAATCACACATCTGGGACTTACAATTGGGAAAAGAGGACGTAAACTTCAAAAGGACATCTCCTAAAAATTTTTACGTCTCCTTGGGTACTTTTGAGTGCTCCTAACATCTTCAAGCAGTCCTGTCTGCGATCAATTGAAAACACTTGACCGCCAAAAGTTCAGGAGGCTTCTGTTGAAACGGGCACACATTTAGACACTTTATGAGAGTCGATTCATCAATTCTGTTCAGGACTAATGGAAGCCTACAATAATGTTAACGTTAAATCCTATTGACAGTCGTACGATCTGTCCTCTCTCTGCTGTAACAGAGAGGGTCACTGAGATTCAAAGGTCTGCTTATACAGGAATGAAAACCGGTTAGGGGTGGAAAAGGTGAGAGGGATACAATTCCTCGAGGGGAGTACGGGGGCAAGCGCCCCTGGAAGAAAATTTTGGACAATTTATATTCAAAAGCATCAACCTGGTGCAACATAAGCACAACTTAAAACTTTCACTGGTAAGTTACTTATTTTTTATCTATACAAACTTAATTTATCCTTATCTAATGGCATAGTACTTTAGTCCTCAGTCACATCGCCAGCTGGTTTCTGAAAGCCTGGTCTAACAGATGCATGAACTGTGGATTGTTTTTGTCCACACACACGAAAAAAAGGAAAAAAATACACACAGGACAAATCTGAGGAGCTCATTTTTCTTCATTTGAGATGATAGGAAAGTGGATAGAGCAGAAAACACGGAGGAAGAAGTGGGGATGACATTCTAGGAAGGAGTTGCAAGGAGCCAGATCACACTCGGGGCACGTGCTGTAGGCTGCTCAGTTTTCACAGTGAATCCTCGTCGCTTCAAGGCGTTATCTTTAGGTCAAGATCACAGCATTGATATTTAGACCACAAGAACACAAACGATTCTATTGCAAAGATACCCACTCAGCAAAAAGTGGTTAAAAAGAAAATGGAAAAGACATCTTTATCATACGTGTAAACATGTCTAGATTTTGACCGTCTAAATGAAGCCCGATTTTTTACATCTTTTTTTTGGGTTAAATCGGGACGAATCGGACTGTCCACATAAAGCCCAGTTTTCAACGTTTTTTAGGGTCTAGATTAGGACCGAATCAGACCGTCTAAATCAAGCCCAATTTTCAACATCTCAGGCATGCTCAGTACAAACCTGACATCGTTCTTTTTCTCCAAACCTATCTGGAACATCATCTGAAAAAACCTGTGAAGGTGAATATTCCTATAATTAATATCAAATGTTAATGTCGCCGATATTGCGTTATTAACATTGACGTTAACATTACGGTCACTTTCACAGGCTTTAGCTAAATATTTGTGAAACTTCTCCTTCGTCTGTAACTTTCTCTCACTCTTCTCTCTCCTTTGACTCCGCTCTGTCGCCTCTTCGCCTCCAGCTTTAATTGAATTAAATCGACTACTTTAGTATAACCCAACAGTTCTGTGAATTTTGAAGATATCAGCACTTCTGTCACCATTAAGTTGAAGACGTATGGCTCTGATTTGGACTAACCGTGATTCCTCAAAGTCCATTTGTGACAGGGGAGTAGGTCAAGAGAGTGATAACTAATGTTTGTATAACTCTAGAAATGCACTTACAGGGCACAGCCAGACCTCTCTGCGTGACTTTGACACTTCTTTCAATCTGCTTTGACCACCTCAATCTACCATCCGATACGAAACAGACCATCACTCACAATGCCGGTGCTCTCTGATCGGAAACATAAAAGTGATAGATAGCAGTGATAATGGTCTACTTTAGAGAGCCCATAAAAGGGTTTATGCTTAGTAGTAAATGACACGCAAGTATCAGACATCAATAAACATTTCAGTACGTGGATAAAGACGTTTTCAGTTTGGTTGAGGCCCGTGGCGTTCATGTGTCTGTTAACTGTGCACAAGTCTTACCGAGATATAAATCTACTTTTCCGAGATGTGATCTGTGAGACTTTCCATTGAGATGAACGGGTGAGGAAGGTATGTGGTGCCTCAAGCTAGAGTTTTCCCAGTCATGAGGCTTGCTCCCTTTTAATCTTTGACCCCTTCACTAATTCTTCTCCCGACAGTATTCTCAGAATCAGGATCAGGGCAAAAGGAAGCCAGATCAAACAGATGAATGAGCTGTGGACTGTTCTTGCCCACACACACACAAAAAAAAGGAAAAAAATAACACAGGTCAAGTTGTTCGCACAGAAAAGTTCAGATCTGAGGAGCTCATTTTTCTTCATTTGAGATGATAGGAAAGTGGATGGAGCAGAAAACACGGAGGAAGAAGTGGGGATGACATTCTAGGAAGGAGTTGCAAGGAGCCAGATCACACTCGGGGGCACGTGCTGTAGGCTGCTCAGTTTTCACAGTGAATCTTTGTCGCTTCAAGGCGTTATCTTTAGGTCAAGATCGCAGCATTGATACTTAGACCACAAGAACACAAACGATTCTATCCCAAAGATACCCAGTGGTTAAAAAGACGTCTTCACCATAAACAAAATAACGTCTAAACAATGTCTAGATTCGGACCGTCTAAATAAAGCCCAGTTTTCAACGTCTTTTTTGGGCTAAATTGGGACCGAATGGACCATCTAAACCAGACCTGGGCATTTTACGGCCTGAGAGCCACATCCGGCCCTTTGGATGTACCTTCCCGGCCCTTCGTGAGGTCTGTCAATCAAAACATGAACATGCTATACAAGTGTACTGCTTTTATTTTGAAAAACAAGCTGTTGTTTTATTTTCGTTTGGACGCACATGCGTACAACCTAGACCTGCATTTGTGAACAGAGACTTTTAATATTGGCAAATATATATGTAGACACCTTATAGTTGCCAAGTCCCCTTACTATAAATTGGCCTTTTGGGGCTTACTTTTAACTAGTAGTTGATTATTTCGGCTTTCTTTTCTGTCTGTGTGAATCCCCCCTGACTATCCCAAGTGCGGTAGGTAGTTTGTCTTTTCCTGACCACTGTTTCCTGAATCGTGCCCGCTCGAGAACTTGGCACACCCCCTAACCAACCAGATTACGAGCTTGAACTGAGGAGACCCATCCGATATGGTAGCAATGCTGGATTACGCACCAGCAAGTAATGAGGCGTTTCTGTATATGACGTCTGTGGGTTTAAATTACTGCTTTTTAAAACGGGAGACAATGAATATTGAGCAGAAAAAGGTTGAAGTTATTGTTGGTTTGACCCTCCAACACAATTCAGGTTTCTCATGTGGCCCTGTGTAAAAATTAATTGCCCACCCCTGATCTAAATGAACCCCAGTTTCTAATGTCTTTTTTGGGGCTAAATTACGGCCATGATGGGCCGACGTGATTTAGCCTGAAAAAAGACGTCTAAATGACGTTTGAAGTTTGGTGGGTACAGCTTTCACACACTGATACTTAATACCAGACAGAAATCCATTTATACTCAGTGAGATTAAACAATACAAAAAGGGATTAACAAGTACACCAAAGATTGAAAGCAGAGTCATGTTTTTGCTGCCCAGAACCTTGACTATGAATATAAAATATTTATTTATTCATAGATCTAGTAAGGTTCCCTCTTTGTATTTTGCAGTGTTTATTCCTATTTCTATCATAATTGTGCTGTTCGACATCTGTAGACTATTATAAAAAGAAATGATGAAGGTTTCGACTTAATTTCAGACATGTACAATGGTCCAAAAAGGAAAACCCACTCCATTAAGATGCATGTCGTGTTAGAGCAACATCACAAGTCAGATCTAAGCCCCTGACTTTGGTGGCATGTCATTATTTCCAGATTCACGTCACATATCTGTACAGTCAATTTAAGTAAAAACATCTTACGCTGCAGCACTTAATACAAAAACCATTCAAGGGATTTTCAGCTCTATTTATTGTATATTGATTTAATATGACTAATCAAAATGAAGACAGTCGTGCAGTGATTCAATGATACTGAGATGAATTCAGAGTCACGTTTTTACCTCTCTTTAGAGTCCTAAATCTCTCTCTTTCTCTCTACAGCACTACATTCTGGCCTTTGGTGGCATCATCGCCGTCCCCTTGATCCTAGCCGAACCCCTCTGCATAAAAGACAACAACATCGCCAAAAGTCAGCTCATCTCCACCATCTTCTTTGTGTCGGGATTATGCACGCTGCTGCAGTCGACGTTCGGTATCAGGTAAAACTCACGGCAGTTCACATGCAAACAAAGAAAATACCGGGTCACATGGAGACAGTTAAACACATATGTGAGACGTGTTGTTGGGTGAACTTTTAAGTTAGTCTGCCGGACGGTATCTGTCAAAGTCCAATTAATCGCCGGGCCGCAAATAGCCGCCTGGTTTTATGAAACGCCCTTTTCAGCACCCTTTTTGTGAAATAAACACCCACCGAGTAACCGCCGGTGCAATTATTTGCATTATTATTTTCGCAGAAGTAAACAGTTGGCACTTCAGTTTGCTAGAACTAGCTAACGTTAGAACAAGGGTGTACTGTAATCTTAAATGAAAGTGTCAGAGGGAACGACTTGCAGCATGCCAATTTGACGCCCCACCTTCACACACCGAAGGAGAATGGACAGCAAATGGACATAAATGATAATGAAAAAGGAAGAAAAAAAAAGTTTGACGCTACGTTTAAGCTTGAAGTTGTAAAAAACATGGAGCAGAACTCTGGAGAAGCAGCTGTTAGAGCGTTTAACGTGGACCCTAAGCGGATAAAACGGAGAGCTGAACTCATCTCGCAAGCATGCGAAGACGGCAAGCTAACCCGGGATTTCCAACGCATCCGGAACAGCTGTGATTTTCGCCATACGCCAATTCCTACCGGCTCCTAATCTGTGCCGAATTTTTCCGGCATGCTCCGGCGTCTGGAAAATATAGAACTCTAAATCAGCTGTGGATGCCGGCGATCCGCAGCGGAACGGAAAGAAGCCGGTGGAAATTGACACGTTAACTTGAATGGTTACGATCAGCTGCGATCGGTGGATACGGCCTTTTCGTCATTGTTCCGGATGCTGTGGAAATTGGGGGTAACCCTAACCCTTACCCTTACAGTACTTTTGAACTGAAAATACGTTGGACAGTAACTGTTGTCACAATAATTGCCTGGTGCAGGTCCGTGTAAAAATAAATAAAGGCTTACAGCGAAAAGCCACCTGGTTCTTGTAAACGTTTGGGGTTAAAGTTGATTTCCCGTATTAAACGCCGGGCTATAAATTGGTGAAATACGGTATATCAGATTATAAACTGTTGTTTTATGATTAATAACATGCTAAAACTGGAGGACGGTATTTTCTTCTTGTTATTGTTAATTGCCTGGGTGTCCGCCACTTTACACTACAGATTTTTATTGATGGACATTTGGATTTTTATTTACACAGAAGTACAGAGAAAAAAAACACACGGGATACAGCGACTGCAATAAAACACAGCAAAAGTGACAATTACAGTTTCCATGAATGGATTGGAGGCTGAGAACATGAAACTTTCCACTGTTTTCTGGTGTCTGTCTTGGAGTAAACAGCTGTGACTGTTGACAAACCAAAAGTTACGTGCAACTCTCCGAGACGAACCAAATCAGTGAGGAGGGAAAGTACAGCGGTGAAAAAGTCTTTCCAAGAAAGGGAAATGTTGAAAAAGCCTCCTGAAATAGACGTATTGGAGCTGCCAGGTTACTTTGGCAGGACAGACATCATGTTTAGACCAAGTCTCTGAACAAGCTGTTTAGAGAACCAGGACACTGAAACTTGTCATGTTTTGAAACTTTTTAATAGGTCTCAGTTGAGCATTGGTTTTATCTTGCTGCACCGCAGGCTGCCATTCAGTGGAAATGTACAGAAGTTAAAACAACAAAGTGTTTGTATTTCTATTTTCCTCTCTCTGTCTAGCAACGTCCTGACGCTGCAGCTTACGCAGACAGCCCTGTGGTGGTTCACATGGAGTTAAAATTGTGAGTCAGTCTGCCGCTGGGCTCGGTGTGACACTCACAGCGGGTATGAGATTTACCTCAGGATAAGAAACTGAAACTGTCTTCCTCAAAGCCTCATTATCCCCAGTTTACGCCGCATACTTAGAGTCTCCTTTTTGTAGCAGAGATGTGAAGTCCTGTTTGCAGCTTTGTGAGGAGAAAACCTTCAGAAAGCGATGCATCAATCTCTCTGCTTCACCTCGGTGCAGCTGCCACCCACACACAGAGTACTGTACAAAACATAGCAAGGCTCCACACATACTCTCTGCCCCCTCAGCACTACCGTAACATTAAGCCTGAGCAAATAGCTAATGCTTTTGTTTCAGTTCTCTGCCTACGCAGTTTGGCAAAGGCTTAAAAGGACAAAAATGTGATCCTAGAACACTCTTTGACATTGAATAATAAGTAAGTTAATCTTTATTTTTACTGCAGCCTTCAACACTGCGGCTGCTTTTCAACACTGGCTTTGTGAAATTAAAGAATACGGGGATCAAAACACAAACATGCAGACAAAAGTGCTCAGAGATATGTTTGCTGTAACACAACAAAGGCTAAGACGATAAATCCATGCGTGGGTCACATGACTTCATGAAAAGCTCCTGTGAGAGAAAAAAAACCCCTCCTTTTATCTTTTAAAAAGAAATGATATTGTCAACCACCTCAGATAAAACTTGCCAATTAAGAGAAAAATTATTTACTATATCAATGATAAATCTATGAAAAGTTTAACCAGCAAACCAAAGCAGTTTAAGGTCTGAAACTCAGAATTCATGATGTGGTGCAAACAGAACTTTTTCTGTAGTGCTCTGAAATGCTGTTGTGCTCCCCTCTCATGTGGAGTCCCCCAAGGGTGTATCTTGGGTTTTCTCTTGTTTGCTGTATATATGCTTTTCTCCCTGAAGCAAATCCTCATTAAGCAATGTGTCGGCTTTAACCTCAATGCAGATGACACTTTAGAATTCCAGGTGACCAGAGTTACGCACTCCTGCTTTGCTTAGATTAGACATTCACAAAAATCTGGTCTTTTTTTTCTCCCGCCGACTTAGTAAAAGTCATTCATGTGTGTATTTCCTCTGGACATGACTACTGTGCTACGTTTTTATCCCGGCTTCAACTTCCCATGACCCTGACTGCAGCCTGAGGTCCCCTGTCAGGGTCCTTCTCGTGGTTGTCTAGTCACAAGAGGTGACCGAGTGATTGCAGTTTAAGCTCAGCAGTCGAGAACTCCCTGCCTGAGGATGTCGGACGGACAAACTCGGTGTCCTCTTTTTAACCTCGGTCAAAAAGTCACTTCTGTTGTTTGAATTAAGTGTGTCTGCTGATGTAAATTATTTTTGAAGTACTTGATCTCGTTTTTTTGTTCACGTTTTTATTATCCTTGTAAATATATTGCTTTTAATAACTAAAGCCAGTGACTGTTATTATGATTATTATTAGTGATTATTATTATTATTTTATTATTATTGTGTTATTATTTTATTATTATAGTGTTATTATTTTATTATTATTGTTATTATTATTTTATTATTATTATTATTTTTATTAATTGTTCTTGTTTTTATTTTCATTATTTTTTTAACCATTTTTTTCACTACTATTTTTATTATCTTTATTATTACTATTATTTTTATTATTATTTATGTATTTATTTTGCATCTTATCTTTTTTTGAATTATGTATTTATTTATTTATTTTAAATTATTATTGTTATATATATTATTACTAATATTATTATTATAGCAGCAGGAGGAGTATGATTTCAATGAACATGACAGGATTTGTTTAAATGACAGTGAATGTTCCTAAATTGGTCATTATCTTAAACTGCTGCAGTGTAAGGTGAATTTATGTCTGCAGGTTAATGGTGTCCAGCCACAGGTCAGAGACTCCCCAGAGGAGTCTTAAGTTAAACTGTGAGGTGTTGACAAGTGCACAGTCAGAAAAAAAAACAGAAGGAAAACATGTGACCCTCACATAAAAAAATGTCTATTAACCCAAAGTTTCTCCCTTTTGAACACGAAGACGGTGAGTTCTTGGCTCACCTAAAAGCATCCAGACTGTCTCTGCGTTATTCGGCTCCAGAGCCCCACTAATTGACCTCCTACAGTCTGAAAACAACCCGCTCATTAAAATTTTTGCTTAACACTAGCCTACACTGACCTTAAATCATAATGTGCAGCGACCTCTGACCTCTAACTCTTGACTTGCAGGTTACCAGTCCTCCAGGGTGGGACCTTCAGTTTTATTACTCCCACTCTGGCCATTCTCGCCCTGCCCAAGTGGCAATGTCCTGCTTCGAAAACATCTGTGATGTTGCCGCTGCAGCAGCTGCAGAACAGCAGCAGCCAGCTGCACGTGGAAAACTCTGATGAGATCTGGATGTCGAGGATGCGAGAGGTATGTGAGATAGTGCTTGATAAAGTTTTGTTTCTGTAATGAATCAGTGAATTCATCAAAAACACAATAAAATACCAAAGACAAGAGCTTAAACTTGGGAAAACTGGTGCACAGAGAGTTGAAACAATCTCTGGTCCATTGGCATCTGTAAGAGGAACACACGGCTGGAAAATATTAACAGCTCACTTTTAGGGAGTGTGAGAAGTACGTGACTTCAACAGACATCACCCAAAAATTGGTGAAAGACAAAACAGTTCTGTTATCATGAATCAAATCTGCTCTTCCTCCGACGTCCATTCCCACGGGCTTTGGACTTAATTTTCACCAGATTGTTATTACAACCTTACAATTTCATTTAGCAGATGTCTTTATCCAAAGCATCTGCTGAATAATTTTGCAACTAGGGCTTCAGGATTAATCGATTTTTAAATCGTAATCAGATTATTTGATTATGAAGATGTTAAAAAATTTTAAATTGTCAAATCCATTTTCCTCTCGATCATGTCTCGCGCCTCCAGGCCACTGTAGGCTCCCCCCTTTCTGCAGGAGCACTCCCCAGTTTCCACACACACCAGTGTAAACAAACATGGCGTTTGCAAAAGAAGGCGATAATTTTGTGGCTAAATAGGACAAGAGCGAGTCAGTCGTGTGGAATTGGTATGACTTCGCAGTTTCGAATAAAGATCAAACCACTCCCCGCTGCAAAGTCTGTCTGAAGGCGGTATCAACCCGTCCACACGGAAATGAATTCAGGAGTAAACACAAAAGGCTTTTGTCGTATCGCGGTTTCATCCACGCGGAAACAGGTGACTGTAAGCGCCACTTTTTGAAAATGGGTCAGAGAGTGCATGAATACGTAAACGACGACCGTTTCATCTCAGTGTGGATGTCTATCTGCATCTCTTAAAACAATTAAATGTGACACACAGCTTAACTCTTTTATAGCGCCTGCATGTGTCCGGCCAAAACAACCTTTATACACATGCTCCGTACTCTTCTTCTGTCTTTTGTGCATTTCCTCGGCAGCGTTACAGCACCACTTACTGGCTCGGCATATGTACTACATTGTTTTCTATGGTTTCGTTTTGAGAGATGATAGAAAAACTTTTCATTCTTAAAGTGAAGTTTGGTGAAATTGTCACTGAACAAAAAATCGAAATCAAAAATCGAGTTTTCAGAGAAAAAAAGAGGAGGAATTTATTTTCTGCCAAAATCATGCAGCCCTAAATGCAACTAACGCAGATTATTGTGTACAGCTGACATGTGTTTAGCAACAGAAGTGTTGAGTAATAAAAAAGTATATAAAACTGTGAGATGTTTGGGTGCTTTCCTGTGATATGTCCTGCTTTAACATTTGTTTTTTTTGTTTAATGTAAATACCCGCCCCACTATGGATGAAATTAGTCCCAGGCTCCAGACTGAAATAGAACAATTCCCTAAAAAGTGGTTATAAAATGTTTACCTCAGGTCAAACAAGAGCCAACTTCCTCGCAGAGACAGCAGAACGTCTCATTAAAGCAAGAAAAGCGAGACCCTTCAACTCTGTTAAAAGGGCAAACGTGTGTGGAAACCCCTTTAAATGTAGGTCCTGGTAATTACGAGTCATAGTATCTTGTCTCTCCTAAGACGCCACATTTGTAGTTTAATTCTGAAATATTTGATTTATGTCCAGGTGGTCAATTTAGAGTACAGAGTGCCTAAAGAGGCAGAGAAAATATACTCCCTTTGCTGGGTCAAAGTCCTGAAAGTCAAATGCAACACAACCAAATAATAGATCATTTAAAAAGAACAAAGATTTAAAAGATACCCACCCACCCACCCAAGTTCCCTGAAAGTCTCTGACTCAGTATTCACAGTTTAACCCAAATCACATCAAGTATTTTCTTCCACACTTTTTGTCAGCAGGGATTTGAGCAACTAATGTGACTTTCCCCTTTTTGGCAACGTCTGCACCAGTGATGTTTGTTTCAATAGAGCGACTCGTGAAAACGAATGATAATTACGCGACCACACCTTTACACAGCTCACAGGCTGAGAGATTTATGAAGTGCCTCAGCTCTGTGCTGGGTATGTTCCAGCACTTGCACTTCAGCTTAAAAATTAGTAAATATGTTTGACTTACAATCATGAAAAAAAACTTTTAAGACGAAAAAGAAAAAAAAAAGTCATTACGGACCATGCCTGTGCAGGTTGAAGAGGTTTCTTGTTACATTTTCTTTTGCAAACTCGTCTACCGTATCGTCATAGGGAGGACTGCAGACGTGACAGTTGTCTAAAGGATGATCACTGACACCCTGTATAAGGAGCTGGTTGCTCACAGAGCGCTGTATCCAGGTACATTCATGGAAAAGTTGAATGGAGGAAAAAAAAAAAAGTGGTAGGAAAAGGTGCACAAGCAACAGAGAAGACCGCAGCCTTGAGAGGAATGTAAAACGAAGCCCATTCAGGAATTTGTGGGAGATTCACAAGAGCGGACCGCTGATGGAGTCAGTGCTTCAAGAGCCACCACACACAGACAGATCCAGGACATGGGCTTGAACCAGAGACACCGTTAGAGGAGTCTTAGCTGGGCTAAGAACAAAAAGAACTGGACTGATGCTTCTGGAGGATGAGAGGAGAGGTTGAGATCCAGTGCTAAGCTTCCCCGGTCAATGGGGGTCTGGGGAGCCGTGTCATCTGCTGGTGTTGGTTTATTGTGTTTTATTAGTTCCAAGGTCTGCTCAGCTGTCCACCAGGAAGTTTTAAAGCCCTTCACTCTTCTCTCTGCTGACTAGCTTCATGAAAATACTGATTTCACTTTCCAGCAAGACTTGGCACCTGCGCACACTGGGGAAAGTATCCACACCTGGTTTAAGGACCATGGTTGGCCAGCAAACTCACCTGACGAAGCGAGACACCGGACCCAACAAAGCAGAAGAATGGAGGGTGGCTACCATAGACTGTATACAGAATGGACGCCGTCTGCCCCCTCGCTGGGTGAAGCCACCCTGAGAACAGCACCCTCTGGTGACGGGCTGCAGTATAGGTCATAAATCCCGCATCCTCCAGGAATCCCTATGGACAAACCTTAGAAATTAATTACACAGAACATAAATGTTTCTCCCCCCCCTGGTTGCAATGTTGACATGTAGTTACTGTAAGACTGGTTTGTGCTCAAGTCCTAAAAGTTATCAGGGGTTCATGTTTTCCAGGACTGACTCTTGATACAGCCTATGGGCGTACAAAGATTGCATAACTCACCTGGGAGATACGCCGTTTGAGCCGAGCGTCATCACAGCGACTCTCTCGCCAAATGCGTACAACACTACTGTGCAAGTGTTGGTTTTGGGAAGTGGAGAAAATCAAATCTGTATACTGTGGAAGGCGGAGCCAAGTAGTCCAAAGTCTATACAGTCTGTGGTGGCTACCAAACTGGCAAACTGGGCTCATAACACCTTAGCAGAGCCGCAGACTGATCGCCTCCATGCTGTGCCACATTGCTCCAGTAATTTCTGCTGAGCCTTTCTTTGCACAGTGACACCATGTACATTTCTAGATCATTTGCTGCTGCATGCATGGAGAAAAATTGCTACAAACATCACTGGTACACTTACTTGGTCTCCTTTGAGTAGCAGATTCTGGTCTATGCATCTCAATTTCCCCCTCTTGCTTTGTTGTCCACAGATCCAGGGAGCCATCCTGGTGGCCTCTCTGCTCCAGATCGTCCTCGGCCTTTCTGGGCTGGTGGGCTTTGTGTTGCAATACATAGGCCCACTGGCTATAGCTCCAACTATTAACCTCATCGGTCTGTCACTGTTTATCGAAGCTGGAAAGAAATCTGGAGGTCACTGGGGAATAGCTGCTCTGTGAGTATATTTCTCAATATAAAGTAAATATTGTGCATAACACACGCAGACACAATATGTGGTTTAGTAAGCTGCATGCATATGTAGAGTGGTAATACATTAAAGGACAAAACAATCAGCAAACCTAGATCAAGTTTCGGATCGACATTTTTCACTGTCATGATCGTAAATGTTCTTTCCTGTTTACTAAACTTTTCTTCCCTCCACTGCTGAAATCATGTCCAACATTTAAACCCATCTCATCCTTCTACTGCTGCTTATGTTCCTCTTTACCTTTGCTTCTATCTGGTCCAGCCCCCTGAAATCAGTCCCCCCCCCCACCCCCCCCCACCACATTTCCAGATAATGCAGTCTAAAGTCATTACACAGAGTGATCCTTGCGGGTTTTAAAAGGTTCAGCACATCCACGTCCTGGTGCCATATATGGATGGTAATCAGTCATATCCTTCTTAGCCTCAATGCCTTGCCCCCTGCTCAGCAGTCACTGTACAGGATATCCAGCAGCTTACAGGAGCACGGAAAACATCTTGTGGCCGTAATTCAACCCATCCCGTCTGTCACACTGCCAGTCAGTCAGGAGACACAGAACAAGGAATATGAAGTCCATTACCAAAAACCGGATCAGTACAATCACTGTGGGAACTCCTTTTATAACAACAAGTGTTTGTTGTTCGGCTGGAGTAAACACCGGATTTGCAACAGCCCATCAGCTGCTGCAAATCCTTTCAGTCCGTAGACTGTAGACTATAAAGAACAAGGACAGAATGATATTGGTGTTAGAAATCATGACTCTACCCAACTTTACCACAGGCAAAAAGAGGTGGACCTGAGGCAAACAGCTACAATTTACTTATACATTCATATAGGGCTGCATAGCTGCAAAGATAAACTCCTGATTTTTTTTTTTTCTGTGACGATTTTTGATTTCGATTTTTAATTGAGTGACAACTTCCCCAAGCTTCACTTTAATAATAATAAGTTTTTCTATCATCTCTTAAAATGAAACCACTGAAAACGATGTAGTGCATACACCAAGCCAGTGAGTGGCGCTGTAACGCCGCAGAGGAAATGCACAAAAGACAGAAGAAGAGTACAGGGCATGCGTATAAGGCGCCATAAATGCAGAATAAAAGAGTTACGTTGTGTGTCACATAATCGTTTCAAGAGATGCAGACAGACATCCACATGGAAATGAAATGGTTGTCGTTTACGGATTTATGCGCTCTCAAAAACTACCATTTACAGTCACCAGAAACGCCATTTCTGTGTGGATGAAACGCCGATACAACAAAAACTTCTGCGTTTTGTGTTCAGACAGACTTTGCAGCGGGGAGTGGTTTGCTCTTCGTCCGGAACTGTGAAGTCGTACCAATTCCACACGACTGACTTACTCTTGACCTATTTAGCCACGAAATTATCGCCTTCTTTTGCAAACGCCATGTTTGTTTACACTGGTGTGGGCGGGAACCGGGTAGTGCTCCTGCAGGAACGGGGAGCCTACGGTGGCCTGGAAGAATCAATTTGATGATTTAAATTTTTTTAACATCGTCATAATCAAACAATCCGATTACGATTTTTAATTGATTTACTGTGCAGCCCTAATTCATTCAAACAATGACGTAAATTAGTATGTAACAAACTTAAGGAGCTATCGCATCTTTCCCTTATTGAGACTCAGGCTGCTCAAATATTCTGTGAAATAATAAACAGTCTGATTCCTACAGGTGTGGCGTGGATGAAAAATGTCAATCAAAAGGACCCCCCACACCTGCAGCCCTCAGAAAAGGCCAAGACACCCACTCTGCTGCTCTCTAACAGACGTCTTTACTAAGATGTATGAAGAGTTGTTTCAGACAGACACTTTGGATAAAACATGTACAATTACACCGCTTCCAACCAAACTTCCAGAGGCTATAAAGTACAAGGATAAATGACAGGACCTGTTCTTTCCTCCAAAAGCTGCACACTCCTCTCTCAAATGAAATATCGTGTCGGTTCTGAACTTTATTCATTCACAGCAGGCAGAGTTTTCACGCACAGCATGAAGTGTTCCAGCGCAGCGAGAAATGCCATTCAGAGGCAGAGAACTACTGCGTATTTTACTATCCTCACATTGGCGGCATTGCCACACTTTCACTGTTACTTACTCCTAATCCTTTCCACGATGACAAGTATCATGTGGTTGTACAGGCTGTGTTAAATTACATGTTTTCACTTGCTCTGACTTCCCTCTGACTGTGATGTATGGGCATGCCATGCTTAAACACAATTACACAAGTAGCTGTGAGTGAGGGCCAGGCCTCGGGGGAAACGAGTGTGAGTGACACGTTTCGCTCTGTCTTGTGTGTGTGTGTGTGTGTGTGTGTGTGTGTGTGTGTGTGTGTGTTTGTGTGTTTTTCCCACAGCACAGTCTGTCTGATCCTCCTGTTCTCCCAGTATCTCAGCAAAGTCAACGTCCCGATGATCGCATACAAGGATAAGAAGTGGAAAGTTTTCCAGTATCCACTCTTCAAGCTCTTCTCTGTAAGTTTCAGACACTGTGCAGCTCTCATACATCCAGACAAAACAAAAAAAGCATTAGAATTGACAATCTATGCTCTCTAATTAGGGCTGGGCGATATGGGAAAAAGTTTATCACGATATATTTTGTATCAGTCGACATTGATGTGTATCACGATCATAGACTATATATAGAATGGACGCCGTCTGCCTCCTCGCTGGGTGAAGCCACTTCGAGAACCGCACCCTCTGGTGACGGGCTGCAGTATAGGCCTCCAGCAATCCTTATGGGACTGTGGAGAAACTAAAGTATTTAATTACACAGAATATAAATGTTTCTCCCCCTGGTTGTGATGTTGACATGTAGTTACTGTAAGACTGGTTTGTGCTCATGTCCTTTTTTTTCTGTGAAGCTCCGTTTTTAAAAGTTATTAGGGGGTTCATGTTTTCTATGATTGACACCTGATACAGCCTGTGGGGGTACGAAGATTGTGTAGCTCACCCAAGGGATATGCTGTTTGAGCTGAGCGTCATCACAGCAACTCTTGGCGACTCTCCCGCCAAATGCGTACACCGCTACTGCGCAATGTTGGTTTCAGGGAGTGGAGAAAAAACGTGGAATTACCGAGAGCAATTCGGCTTCAAATCCGTATACTGGTGGAAGGCAGAACCAAGTTGTCCATAGTATATACAGTCTATGATCAGGATATCAAAAAAAAAAAAACACTTGTCAATCTTAAATGTTCCTTGTTACTCTTATAGAAATTAACATGTACTTTACATAATTTGCAGCGCAAATTACTCTGCTTCATGTCTGACCTCAAAAAAATAAAATTCCTCCACACCAACGACGTTTTTGTGCCAGTGTTGTCGACGATGTCGTCATCTGTCGAGCCTTCATCTTCATTTCTGCCGAGGATAGCACTCATTTTCTTTTTTCTTAACTGCAGTGCTGTCGGCCCCACGTGTTAAAGTGCTATGTTTGCGTGTAGCTGCAGCCTGCTACGACACAGTTGTTTGCTACTTGGTTCTAATTCAGCACATGATTGGTTTAACGCGAAGCGGACCGGGAGCAACTCCTCCTTTCATTGACTATTGGTATAGTCTACAAAAAATGGCAGAATGCTGGCCATCAAAGAGCAAAAGGACCATGTTCATTATCGATATCGAGGGAAATTAAATTTTGATGTATATCATTTTCATTTTATCGCCCAGCCCTACCTCTAAAACTTTTTATATTTCTATATTTGCATCAGATCTGTACAATAACAGGTAAATTTACCGCAATAATTCGATAGGTAGGTAACATTTATGATGTTTTTTGTTCAACCAAACTGAACATCTGGTATCTGTGATTTTATCTGACCTGTGTGTGTGCAGGAAGTGTTGCTTTCTTCTGTACATACCAGTATAACATAATGTACAGTCCATAAACAGGTTTGTTGGAGATAAAGGGATCCTCGCAGCGGGTTCCATCCTCCAGGCCTGGAACAGGAAACCATACTCATGCAGAGTAATTTGATTATGGGCCAAAAAAGAAGTTTGACTGTCTTTGAAGTCTGCACAGTACAATAACTGTCTTGTGAGCCTGGCAAAGTGCTCTCTCTCTCTCTGTTCTCATAGCTACTGACGACTAAATAATAGTAAATGTGACTGAGATTTAAAAAAGAAAAGAAAAATCACTTACTTAATGTCAGGAATATTATGTTTCTGGAAATTCTGCATTCTTGTGGTACCCTGTGAGAAAATTGAAGTCAACAATGAAGAGATTAGGATTTGGTGGGTTCAGTGTGGCCCAGGAGACATGGACTTTGTGCAGAAAGCCCTCCATGAACCTGCATTTTCTCTTATGGTTACCTTCGGGGGTGCTTACCTTTCATTGACAAGTCTTTTGGAAACATTTGTCTGCTTCCCTTAAAACCAAGAAAAATAAAGCAATCCCCTTAATCTTTATTTACAGAGTCCACATCAAATGTACTCCGGGCCTGGATTGTCAGCCTGGGAATCTTCTGGTTCCCATTTGTAGTGAGTCTGCAGTCCAAGTAGCATCGAGCGGTCATGTATCATCAGGCTTTGTTGTGTGCAGAAAAATCTGTCCTGTTTTTTGCAAAATAACAGCAGGTGTAGATCAAAATTTTAAACCAACCTTGTCGTGACTCCTGTTCGAGGAAGAAGAGGACCTTGAAAAAATAATCCTAAAATTGAGGGGAAAAAATCGCTGTTAGATTATTTTCCAAAATCATTCAGCCCACGTATGTTCCAAGATTGGTGATGGCTTGAACCCACAAAACACCGGATGTGGAGTCTAAAAACCACATGGCGGCTTTGTCAACTTCTGCCTGAAATCGATGGTTTTCAGCCATGACTCAGGACTTTATTCCCCAATCATGAGAAAATTAGAAATGAATGTCTAACAACATTAAAACAATAAACTGATGAAGAGAGATTAGAGGAGTGTGACCATATTTCACAGTTATACTTCAGGCATATGTTTGTAATATTTGTTAGTATCCACTGTTGGGAATTCAAACTTCCTGCGCAGCTACAGTATCGTCCACATTTCAGGCAGTCACGGCTATAATCAGACTTTCCTGTATTTTCCAAGAACATAACATTTGAATCTGCTTTTTGTTTCCTTCAGCAAACTTGGACACTCAAAGATTTACAACATAAAACGACCATCTGACCTCAAAACACTCAAAGTCAAATCCATTTTATTGAGATGAAAAGCCTGTCTCAAAATCAAAACCAACAGATTTATAGGTTTTACAATTCCTTAAGGGCAAACATCAAAATAAAGGAGATTGAATGATTGTGACAAAATTGACTGATTCATATCGAAGTTTTCTCTCTGGCAAATGTCTCTCATACGCCAACACACTCCTAATCACATAACCCCGGCTCTAGTAAAGTTTGAACACACTGTAAAAAGTTATTGTAACCGTATTTGATGGTTTAAATGTCACTCAAACTCAAGATGTCATTTAAAATCAGTGTAAGACAACAAATCAAATACTAAAACTGTTTTTTATTGTGTTTTAAAACAGGCTCACTTTAAATTTGACTGAAGCAGAATGTTTAAAAAAAGTAAACGACAAAACACTGAATAAAAAAGTGTATTTTTATTAATAAAAAAAGATTAACCCTGTGGTTCAGAAAGATGTTTACACAGTGTCCTAACCTTTGGGATCAGGGGTTGTAGATACATATATGACATCTCCAGAAGACACAAAACGCGTTGGTCTTTTGTTCATGTTCATGTTAAGAGTTTTTGGGAGCCTTGCCTTTTGACTTGAGCAAACGTCAAAGTCCCCGGCGGGATTAAAAGAGCCCCATTTTTAAGCCCCTCAACTATGACCCCCTGTGATTACAGTTATTATCTGTCAGGCGGAGATCGCCCCTGGTGACGGACACACACAAAGCATTGTTTTCATGTTTTTGAGCTTCTATGTACCCAAAAGATGGATTTCAGTCAAGCACACATGCTCTTTTTAACGTCCGCCCATCTGCTTTACATCATCGCAAACTGATGCTCTGACAAGCGTGACTCCAGTCCTTTACCGTCTGTCAATCTAAAGCCGGTGGATGCACGCGCGTCTTTGCGTGCAGAAGTTATTTACAAGCGTGCCAAGAGAGCCACGTATCAAGGAAATGCGTAAGAGCCAAACTAATAATGGAATGAAACTTTTTAAGTGGTTAATGAATAAAAGGGCAAAAAAAGATTGATTGTATTATCAAAAGAGAGAGAGAGATAGAGTATGCAGACAAACTGATGAATATTAGATTTATGAATTTGGAACAGACTACAGAGGAAAGTTTTGAAGAATGATTTGAATGGGATATTGATTCGTCAGTCATAACCTCTCTGGCAGAAATCTGGAAATCTGGAGGCTGCAGCAACAAATGAACATTTTACTTCAAGTTAAAAAAATATAATAAAAAGTAGCTTAAAAAGTGAGTTTCTTCAGTGTCGTATCAAATCAAATTTCGCTGTCAGGCAATCATCGATGATTTTATCTGAGTGGTTGTTAGATTAGATAAAATAAGATCAGATTAGATTAGATTAAATAGACTTGATTATTCCTTTTGGAAAGGCTCCCTCAGGAAAATTAAAATTCCAGCAGCAACAGTATGTACAGAAAAAAACAGAATTGTCAGATAAGTAAGATCTACAAAAAACTGATATATATATAACAGTGTTTCCCCTTGCTTTTTTGCTTTGGTAAGGCGGGACGTATTAAGCGGACATACACCACCTCCGTAAGATATTTGTCTACGCCATACGAGGTGGCGGAAGATGAGCCAGCGCTGTTTTCGGGGCTGAGAGAGAAGCTTAAGCTAGCATGCATAAGAGACTATGCAGCGTCCGCATCACTATGTACCGTCTTTTTGAAGAATGCAGATATTTCCAGTTGGGGTGCTGAACGTTCGGTGACAGTTTTTAATTGTTCTGTTGGTGGCAAACATGATGGAAAGGAACCAGAACCCCAGGTTGCCAAAACCATCCTGCGCAAAACTGGCAGGTTATAAGCCGCAAGCGCTCGCGACCAGAACACCAGAATCAGTGGTAGTGACACGCTGCGCCTCTAACCACGCGGTGTGGCATGTCAGCACGCATTTGCTGTGAGATAGAGAGAGGAGAGATACATTTTTTTTTTAAAGCTTTGGAGTCTTTCATTGGCCGTTTTGATAAAGATAAGAATTAAACGTTTATATTAATTTACGACTTTAATTTCTGGGTTGGGATCTTGTTGGCAGGGTCGGGGCGAAACACTCTATAAAGAATAAATATATAATAAAACTTAATTAATTCAGTATTTACATAAAAAGTTAGATATTGAGGTATTTGCTTAATACTTTTGCTACTGCTGTTCCTTCCAATCCTTCTAAAAGGTTAAGCATCACTGTGGTGTGATTTGTATGAATTGATGCCAAATGGTGTGTTATGATATGATATATTATCATATGGTATAATAAGCTTCCATATGTGGATGTGGTGTAATGTTGTACTCTTGATGTGGTCTTCTGTTATTCGTTCTCTTTGGCACCCGGGGAGGCTAAATGTATTCAAACAGTCATTCTGAAAACTTCTTGTGCCCAAATGTAAAAACACTTTGGTATAATTAAAACATAATATTAAATAACCCATTTGAAGGTCAGCTGGAGGGTTTTATAACAGCAAGAGGCGCCGTAGAGACATCAATAAGAAACGGCTTTCTGTGTGAGTCCGCCATGAGGATGTTTTTCGTTTTTTGGTGTTTTATTTGTTTTTGTTTTTTTCTTACTAAATGTTATTTAAAACTGTGAGGAATGTGTTTCAGGATGCAAAAGAAAGGCTGAGCCCCGGTGAAGGTTTGAAGGAATGTCAAAAACATAAAAATGAAGACTTGTGAGTCAGTTTGACTGCAGGGTTTAATCTTTGGAATGTCTCATGTACGGCAGAATGACTCACTGCTTGTGAAAAAAAAAAACAGCATTATCTGCTCTCGCTCCCCTCCTAAAAGGCCTCCTGATCTGAGAGCAAACAAAGTGAAGTTTTGACTTTCCATTAGAATTAAACGTCTATCATCAAATGAAGCCGTGGAATAATAAAATCCTGTGGTTTCTAGCATTAAGGAATGAAGCTGGTAAAGAAAAAGAGCCCACCTGCTTTAGAGAAGTACAAACAGTCCCCTGCCAAGTCACATTCATCATTAATTAACTTTGAGTAAGCAATTTGAGTCACAGTGGAAACACGTCTGTCAATAAATACGACACCTATGGATCCCGCTCGATTTATCTTCCCTCTGGATCCTCGGTAGATAACGTCAAAATAGAAATCAAAGAGATGTGGAAAGTAGATTCTCTGCCCTCGAGCTACTGTTTGGCTTTCCTGTAAGAGTCACATGTAGAAAGGAAGCAAACTCTTTGGTCCTGAATAATCCCTTTACAAACGCAAACACAAATGTGCTGGAGGCATGTTGTACAGAGAGACCATAAAGTTATTCAATAATGAAGAAAAAACGTGATAGAGGTGGGAAACCTCACTATGTCATATGATGTTCCTTCGCAGACGGCTTTGCTCATGAAATCTAATCCACGAGCCGAGGGCTCAGCTCGAGGCGGAAGATTAAATTGTTATAAAGAGAGATCGTCATCGGCTTTTTACTGACTAGGATCATTGTTGGCAGACAGCTTTGGATTTCCAGTCTTGAAAACATGCGAGAAAATCCTGTTGCGCTCATAAAAGCAAACATATAAGTAAGGGTGGGCGATATGGAAAAAAAATGTCATATTACAATTTTATTTTTGCAAAATCACAATCACAATTTTAGGGTTACCCGGGATTTCTGTTGCATCCTGAATGGCTCTGATCTGGAACGGCAGTGATTTTCGTCGTATGCCAATTCCTACACACACACACACACACAGCAGAGTGGATGGACAGAGAAAAGAGAGGAAGCAGATTCTGTATTTTGTCCTTTTTTCGGCTGATTTTTTCGCTACTGCAGTTACTTATAACACATGACTTCTGCGTGTAAATTAAAATGTGCTCTCTTAACTTCAAAAATTTTGATTTGAGAAGGCAATAGATTTATTTCGACACATGTAAGGGATACGATGCGCATGACAGATGGTTATACGGTCTCTGTGCTTTGGCAGATCGTCGTCACTTTTTAATCCTTCATGATCAAAGATCATCAGATCGCACGCCCCTACATATAAGCGCTAAAATGTTGAGTCCATTTTCTCCTCGCTCACTGAGTGTCTCCATCTGTCCCTAACACACAGTCAGGGGACCTCCATCAGCAAATTATGTAATTGGCAAAGCACAGATCAATCCACATATCAGCCTGGGTTCAGATTTTGATTGAAGGGTACCATAAAACTCTGAGCCTTAGTCAGATTCAGTTTATGTCTGTTTACAAAACCAAAATCAAATCTGTAGTTTGGGTAAAACTTGATTTAAATAAATTACTTTTTAGTACGTCTTTGGTATAATAGCATCCTTAAAAAAAAGTGTTCCAGTAATATCAGCGATGGCTCAGAGGGGAGGTCATTTCAGAGACCTTTGTCACCTGGTTTTCACCTCTTGCCGGCCTTTCAGGAGACGAGCTGCAGGTCCAGAGTTTATTCACTCATTAAGGAGAATACAGAATTAGGATTGTGTTGTGCCTTGTCTTTGTAAAACAGTTAAATCTGCTGATCAGTTCGTCTGTGTTCACCCTGACTGAAGCGAGAATCTCTCTGCTAGCTCGGACCTTAAAAGATCACTCAAAAAGACTGGATCTCTGCTTCTTTTCCTTCTATTTCTAGGCTTTGTTCGGGATGTGTGGAGCGTGGCTGGTCTGCTTCTTGCTCACCATCTTTGACGTACTTCCCTCAAAGTCCAACGAGTACGGCTTTTCAGCTCGGACAGACATCAGCCTGGACGCGGTGACAAACTCCCCCTGGTTCCACGTTCCCTACCCAGGTACGCACGTAAAATCACCACACCACAAACGTTAAACACTAAAGATGGACGGATTTGATCTGCAGATTATTAAACCGTTACCTTTCTGTCAAAGGTTGCATGGCAACTTTGGGTGTTGTGGTTTCTAATACTTTATGAAAGTCATTTGCCCGTCATTAATCTTCAAATCTTTTGACGAACGGCCAAACCGCAAGCCAACAGAGGACATTTTGTAGCTTCGCTCAAGGTTGCACAACTGCCCTTACGTGAACTCCTAAATCGGTGAAGGAAATTACAGTTATTTGTTGAATAACTTGATGTCTATCTCATAAAATCTTTATACATGTAACGGAAAATAAATCTATTAATAGAGCGCTTCGAATTAAAGTTTTTCACTTGGACTCATAGACCACGAGAAATATCTAAAATAAAAACACGGCTGCACTTCATTTTGCACGTTAACTGCAGCTTGTGGAGAGAGGACGGTATTTGTTCTTTTGAGTCATTCGGGGTCAGGAAGCCTCGTAAAAACAGACATATGGACACTGCAGGATGTTTACGTGAAGCACGCTATGTGTAACCGGTGTTTCATCTTTGTGACAGCAATTAAAGAAATCATAATAATGACCTTTATTTAAGAAGAGAATTTTAAAGGAGCAATAAAAAAAGAGACGGTTCATAAAGTCAAAACTAAAGGCAAAGGTTCAGACATAATAAGATGATTAAGATAAAAACAGATTGAGAGGGATGTGATAATGATCTAAATAAAAGGATGTACATCTGATATAAATGGACAAAATTTATGAAGACCTTCCGAAGGCGCTCTTTGATATGTTGCAGATTTCAGAGAAACTACTGTAGGTTGATTTGACAGTAATTATGAAGGAATTCATAATCAAGTCTGCCGCTAAAAAGCTATTTCCTGTAATGTTGTTTTCTGTCATGTGGATATCTGGGCTGTGTCAGAGTTAATGCACTGCAGTAACATTATCAAAAATTAAAGACTTCATAAAGAGAAGTAATTATCGATATACAACATGAAAAAAACTCAAGATACTTTTACTTTAATAAAAAGAGTAAGGGCTTTAGTGTAGAAATCCAATCCATCACACTGTCTTACTGGAGTTATCTATCATTTAAAGACCCACTCTGGTGAAAATCATGTTTTTCTTGTTGTCTACATGTTCATTTCTGATGCTACAGGACACATCATGAGAAAACTATATTTGTATTTCTGCATTCACATCTCTGTGAATCTCTGGCAGACCTGAACAGCAGGTTCAGACACAGTGAGATTTCCTATGTCACAAATCCAAGCTCCGGCCCCGGCCCCCTGCTCTGCAGACCAGACTCCGAGAAGTCGATAATGTTTGTGTGTTGGCGAATTGCAATGCTTGTAAGAAAGCTAAATATGATATTAAGTTTCATCATGTCCTTAAAGACATTAGTGTCTGAGAGCTTAGTAGATCCATGTTACCTGCCACTTCTGCTGCACCGACAGTGTTAGGCTAGCTTAAAGAGGAGTGTGAAGAGCAGCGCTGCCTCCGCCCACGACTCAGATGCAAATTTTCCAATGAGCAACTGGAGCTCTGCAGAAGAGAAGTCCTTGAAAATGACACAGAGTTTGGCTGAAAACTTCATAATCAAGATTTAAAGACCACTGAGAACACTTTGAATAATAAAGTTCGTCAACATCTGCTGACTGTTTTTGGTACGGTTTTGTCTTTCCACACACTCTCAGTTATTAACCGTTTTATTGTACTTTACTGGCCTGATCTTTACTTCCTGCCCTCACTGTTCAGCTTCTGCCGCCAACTTTCTTTCCCTTACAGACAAACTCAATGGCTGCACCCTGTGATTACTGCCCAACGTCATGTGTTGTCTCCTACTTACAGAAACTGCCACTAAACTTTTCAACACCTTGTAAAGGTGCCAGGAATACCGGCCATATAACAGACTTACCTCAACTGTGACAGAAAAGGCCCCAATGATCTCTGCAGACAATGAGCCTGATGAGTCTCCGTTTACCAAGCGGTTTAGGCTCTTGGATTCTGGTCGCACATAAAAGTATGAACAAGAATTCAGTGCTATTCTCCTTCATGCTCCACATGTTCCTGTAAGTCGGCCTTCTTTTCCTCACACTTTCCCAGATCATCCACTGCCCACAGCCACAGCCCTTACTCACCTTATGCTAACCTGTTGTCAGTGCACCCGCTCCATCAGTCTTCTTCTTTCTTTGACTCAGTCCATGCGGACAAGTTCAGAACATTCTGGTCTCAAAGGTCTCTTCAGCCTGATGTAATTATCCCACAAACTCTGTGTGCTAAACAGGCACTTTTGTTTCCTGTACTGCATCTCTGAAGTTCTCAAGTGAGGTTTCTAATCACTTTACTAACCGTTGTATCATGGCTCTCAACTCTTCTGCCAGACTCATTTTTGGTCAATTGAGCATGTCCTTCTTTTTTAATGTCAAACTACTTTGAGTCTTTTATTTAATAACAGCTGTTAAACAAATTATAATAATTTAATTAGAGTAAGTTATTAAAGTAGAAACAGGAAGTGACATTTGAAAATCTAATACTTAAATCTGCGGGTTTTATTTAACCTTGCATGAACTGGTGGATTTTGATGCACTGAAGTCATACTATGAAAACAACTCCACAGAATCACATATAAAATTTATTACCATGCTACAAGTATTTCAGACTTTCAAACCGATGCTTTAGGATGTATTAAGACAATACAAGGCACTATCAATTATGTGCGTATTTGTGCGTCAAGATGCGTTAAGATAAGAAGAACTTTATTTATCCCTGAGGGGAAATTCGACTTTAGTACGTGCATGCATTTTTACGATGCTCAGTGATAAAATAAGGCACGAAAGATGCTGTTGTTTGAAATCTTATCACTATAGAAACCTTCATTAGTGAGTCTGGTCTAAAAAAAAAAACGGTATATTACTGTGTTTTAAACTTATTTTTCAGATATACTTGAGGTGAGCTTTGGATAACCATACAACCTCACTTTTGGGGGAAAAATATGTCCTGCAATGACATGCATATACAATAACACCAACAAATACTTTAACATATGATTCACAGTACAGTGCCGGGGGACAAATCAGACACATGCCAACTGGGTTTTATTGTACAATCCATACAATCTGGCATGTAGAAGTGATAATATGCATCTGTGTATAAATGCATAAGCACTTACATGTTCTTATGGGTGCGACCATATTTTCATTTGAGCTTTAAGTCAGCAACAACCTCCTAAAGAAAGTTTTTAGAAGCTGGAAAAAGCTGTCTTGCCTTCTTCATCAAAGTTGTAGTGACCAAGAAAAATGATTTAATTCCAGGAAAAATACAACATCTCCTTGCTCAAGGCTAACAAAACAGAGTAATTTTGTAACAGGGGCATCTTGTACACCCATATTTCCAAGTATTGGCCCTTGGTGACATCTTTAATTTGCTTTTTGGTCCCTGCCACCAGAGATGCATGAAGAGGCACAAGGAAACTACTTGAGAATCTGCTGTCAATGATCACCTAATTACATGAATATGATCGTAAACCACATCAATAAAGCAACAACCATAGCCACTAAAAGTGTGTACAAGTGCAAACCCACAAACTGAAACAGATCCACTCAATAAAGACAATACTACAAACAGGTCAGTACGTATATATTGATGTATATCGTCGCTGACCGATGGAAAGACATTTCCAGTATCTCCATTGGGTGCCAGAAGTGTGAACAAAGCATGTATCTCCGCCCCGGCCCTGAGTTGTTATGTCAGCAAACAGACTTCACACTGTGACAGACTCATTACAGTCCAGGGTATTGCTACACTAATGTCCTCACATCAACTGATGCCAACCTAAAACTTTTTTCTAACCATGACAGTGTTGCTTAACTGTACGTTAGATTTCTTGAGCCGAAGTTCATCCCCAGCTGCTGCTGTTTTCTCTCTCACACTCGGTTGTGAGAGTGGAAATTTAGGACAGCCTGCTGTGAATAGTTTATCGACATAGAGGGAATTAAACAGGATACTCAAAGCTCATAAATAACCGAACGTCATTGGAGCACATTATTTAAAAAACAAACAAACACGTATGTCCATTACTACTCACAATGCAAAGCACGCAAGTCCATTTAAAGTATCAAACAAGTCACTGATGACTGTATAAATATAGATTTTGATTTTAGGTCCTAATTGTATCAAATTACAGTGTTTTGGGTTTATTGTGTGAGATTGTTTATGAATTAAATTGATTTTGAATGTTCCAGAAGAAAAAGAATTTTGGAGATACATGTTTTTTATTGGACAGCGACTATAAGTGCGTGTATATATATTAAGTTTATACAGTAATCTCTCAGGTTGATGAGTCCCTGCCAGAAACTCATTACTGAGCAGCCATGTTTGGAGCTGCTGTTAGTTTTAACAGCAAGAGGAAGCCACCTACCCGCATTCAGTCATTAATTCATTCAAGAAGGATTATGTTTTCTAGAAAGTCTGACTTCTGCTGTGACTGCTTGAGTTCAGGCAACTATAGGGGAATATTATATATGAAGGCGTCATATAATCGCACCACGCGACTTGTAAATAGTCACTGTTTGTTTTCGCGGATGCTAAAGTGTACCCACTCTCTTCCCGTAGGTCAATGGGGCGTGCCGACGGTGAGCGTGTCTTCTGTATTGGGCATGATGGCCGGTGTCCTGGCATCGACCATGGAATCGATCGGTGATTATTACGCCTGTGCACGCTTGTCCGGTGCTCCTCCTCCACCCACTCATGCAATAAACCGAGGTATCGCCGTGGAGGGGATCGGTTGCATCCTGGCTGCACTGTGGGGAACAGGAAATGGCACCACATCCTACAGTCAAAACATCGCAGCACTTGGCATAACAAAGGTACCCACCAGAAGTGTTTGATCCTGTGTCGTAGGACTTTGTTAACATACAGTCACGGTTTTCTTGAGGACGAATCCCTGATCCATGTGGACCACAACAGGACTTGTGGCCAAAATGGCTTTCGAAAAAAGCCCGCAATTGGGCAATAACATCCGTGTGCTTGCCAAATATTGACATTGGGACCGTGAGCATGTTTAATATTGGATTGCATTACCTCTTCTCTCTATAACCCTTGCTATATGTTTGGGAACAGAGGAGACCAGTGTCTGAAGTGTTGAAATAAGAAAAGTCGACCCAGTCTTGCTTTGTATCAGATATCAAGTGCAAAACAGTATAGAGTCTGGTTGGACATGGCCTTCAGTACATGATGTGCTCCAGTTATTTAATGGATGACAAGTAAAAACAGCAGGCAGGCCAGTTTGCACCCATACTCTTTTACTTCAGTATTTATGAGCATATGGGGTCGATAAAATATATACGGGCTTCTCTGTGAAAAAGCATTGTCTGAATAGAAGCACATGTTAAGTATGATAGATACTATCCCAGATGTGTAAGCCATACAAACCATGGGCACTTAGGTATTTGCATTATAATTAGGTTTGTTTGCCCATGAAATGTGCGCACAGGACAGGCGATCCCTAACCTCTTTAGAGCCAAGGATGCAGCATCCATAATTTCCATAAGAATGGCATTTTTACCTCCGCCAAGGAGGTTATGTTTTCAGTAGCGTTGGTTTGTTTGTTTGTTTGTCTGTGAACAACTTTACGGAGAAAGTTACAGACGGATTGACCTGAAATTTTCACCAGAGTTGCGTCTCAGCCCTAGAACGATCCCATCAAATTTTGGTGGTGATCCGGACAAAATTCTGGATACTGTGATCCAGAACACACAAAAATAAGGGTGTCGTTGGAATTTTCAATGCTGAAAGATAAGCAATGGGCGGCACAGTGGTGTAGATAGGTGGCACAGTGGTGTAGATAGGCAGCACAGTGGTGTAGTGGCTAGCACTGTCGCCTCACAATCAGAAGGTCCTGGGTTCAAATCCCTGTCAGGGCATTTCTTGTTTAAGGGGGGACGTGAGCTGCTTGGCGCAGGTCTGCGCTCTCCGAGTGCTTTTCTAGTTATATTTGTTACACTCCTGGACAGGGATTGACTTTTTGCTTACACAGTCTTTGACAGAGTGGTGGACTTTTACTTCTGAGGGCCTCAGCCACCTCTTTCATATTGACCTAACTTCAATTAAGAAATGAAGATACATTCTGTCACTGAGACGATGTGACTTGGGCTTTACTGTAGGGCTGGGCGATAAACTGAAAATTTACTGATAGCGAAATTTACGACTATAACCAACATCATTTTGCCCATGTAAATACATTTGGTGTCAAAAATAAATAAATAAATAAAGTTAGTTTTGGATGTGTGTAGGTAGGCTATGGTCTCATGTCCCTTTTAAGATGCTGTCCTACGTCAGAGACGTGACTCCACCCCATCCAGTCTGTAACAAAGAGGGAAAGACAGGTGAGGAGATGGAGGACGGTTCAAAAGTTGTAGCGGCTGGAGCGACGAGTAGTTATCGTCCATTTATCGTTATCAAGGTGAACTGCTCAATATATCGTGATATTGGTTTTAGGTCGTATCACCCAGCCCTACTTTACAGAGAGATAGGGTGGTGAAAGGGTGTCTTCTTTAGCCCGCAGCACAGTCTATGCCCCTTTGGAGTGCAAATGGATAGGGCAACGCATGTTGATCTGCAGAAAAAGAATGCTTGATTTGAAAAGACAGCAGCGAACAAGAGAGGAAGGATCCCTGCTGTCTGCGTTCCACATGGCTCAGAGCAAACTCATCAGCTAGAGTAGCAGCCTCCTGCAGAGAAGTTAATCAAACTCAACTAGGATGTACTCGGGTTCACAGTTTTTAAGTTCCTCTTGAAGAATGAGGTTGCACATCGCAGCTAAATCCTCATCATTGATTGAATAAGACCTCCTTTTCCTTCACAGAGTCAGTACATGGCTGATCAAGCCCTTTTCTGCCTGTAAGCTTCAGGCACACCCTCAAAGGACCTGAGGATGGTACTTTTTACCTTTGTTGTAGTCCAGGCTGTCCTCTAAACAGAGTGAAGAGCAAGCCTCCTGGGCCTTACCTGATAGTCCCGTATGAGTTGTTGTTTTTAATTCTGTGTTTGACTTAAAGACCCACTCCGGTGAAAATCTTTTTTTTCTCTCTGATGTATTTTTCTGATGCTACAGGACATATCATGAGAAAACTATATTTGTATTCCTGCATTCAAATCGCTGTGAATCTCTGGCAGACCCAAACGGCAGATTCAGATATGGTGAGATTTCCTACGTCACCAATCCAAGCTCCGCCCCCAGAGCCTCGCCATGCAGGCCAGACTCGGAGAAATAGAGAAGGACGATTGTGCGTTAGTGGATTGCAATGCTTGTAAAAAAAGCTAATTATATTAACTTTCATCATGTCCCTAAAGACATTAGAGTCTGAGAGCAGAATAGCTCCTATGTTACCTGCTTCTTCTGCATCACCGGCAATGTTAGGCTATTACAAGCTAGCATGAAGAGGAGTGTGCAGAGCAGCGCTGTCTCCGCCCACAACTCAGAGGCGAATTGCTAATGAGCTACTGGAACTCCGCAGAAGAAAGTTTTTGGAAACAACACAGAAAATTTGATTTTGGCAAAAAATTTTATAATCACCATTTAAAAACCACTGAGAACACTTTAAGTAGTATAACAAACTGATCGGAGTGGGACTTTAATACAACATTTTAATAACGCTATCATATCGATTTAAATTGATGTTTTAATTATTTGCAAATATCAACTTTTTTGTGTGTGTCCCAAGTTTCTAAAGTAGTGAAAAGTCAACCCAGTCCTGCTTTGTATCAGACATTGATTTCTCAATAGTAAGGGGTCTCATCTGACATGGCCTTCAGTACATGATGTGCTCCAGTTATTTAATGGATGACAAGTAAAAACAGCAGGCGGGCCAGTTTGAACCCATACTCTTTTACTTCAGTATTTATGAGCATATGGGGTTGATAAAAAAAAAAAAAAAGATCTTCTTGATGAAAAAGCATCGTAAGCACATGCCTAACCTGACAATCCTATATGAGTAGTTGATTTTGATTTTGATACAACACAAAAATGTAATAATCCTAAACTAACAAAACTTTTTCTTCCAGAATTCCAACTTTTTTTTAAAAACTTTTTTGTTTAAGAATAAATGATACTGACAAAATGACAGCGTCATACAGTTAATGCGGTTCAAAGGCACCTGTGATCACCTCCGAATGTTCACGCTGTAACCCTTTCAGTATGAACCATGAGTTAACCATGTCAGAGTCCGCCCGTGTGTGGGTTCTATTCAGGCCTGGACCGTTTACATCATCCTGACAAGCTAATGCGTGCCCCCGGTAAAGTGCCATCAGGGTTACCTTCCTTTTAACTCTTCGCTTTGAAGATCCAGCTGTCTCTGCTTGGAGTCAAAGAAAACTCAACTGGACTTAAGAGAGCTTAACATCTCAAGGGTCATAAGAGAGGAGAGCTTTGTGAGCTCCAAGCATCAATACATTTGTACTCTGTAGATGTGAAGATGAAGTGATAAAACTGAGGATGTAATCAGATTTAAGTGATCAAACACTTTCCGAGTCGAGTAGGTTTATTTTTCAAAGTTTTTCAGCCTGCTTGATGGCAACTGTGATTGTCATGCTAATTCCACACTCAACCCACAGTCACACTGTTAGAGCATGTGACATACTGTAGTGCTCCTGCACATGTGATGCACACAGTTATGTACTCAGCGCCCAGAGGAGGTGAAAGAGGACAGACTCGGTGACTTTTAAAACCCATAAATCACGCTGATTTACAGGGCTTACATGTCTTTCTGGCTGAGGCCTTTGAAAGCTAGGTGGCGCTTCACCAGAAACCGAAATGCTTTGACTTTTACTATAACTTGTAAAAATCAAATTGTTTGCCTCCCCGAGATCTCTTTTTAAGGGTTTGATGCACCAGATATTTTCAGTGGATGCCAAGTCAAAACTCCTATAAAACATTCAGTTATTAGCTGTGAGCACTTCCGCCTCCCTCTCCCACTATCACAGATGTCGGCTTTCGAACCGGACCATGATCTGTGTCCTCTTAAGAGCAGAAGACATTTACGAAAAGGTTTCATTTGATTTGACATACCACAGGGCAGTAAATCTCCTCACTTTAGTCCGTCTTAAATGGGTTTGGGCCAAGAGAGGTCACCAGTGTCTCTGGATCGTGTTCATGTGCTTTTCATTGAACTTGATACAGATTTAACCTGTGTTTTTACATAAATCTGTCACAGATGATGGACTTGGATGTCTGTTTTTGATGCAGTGTCACCCCGGAGGCCCTAAGATCACAGCTTGTTTCAGCCTCGTCTCTTCTTTATGCCGACATACTGTAGATGGTGGAAACCTCAGTTTCTCAGTTACACATTATTCTAAAGTAGTTAAGCTTTCTCAGGGTGGTGAACGTCTTCCTAAATGCTCTTTTTACACCCAATCAAACCACAAATCTGTTGCAAGTTAACCTGGCTAGTTAGAAGGTTTTCCTCCAGGTGTGTCTTTTTTAGCCTCCCACAGCTTGAATTTAGGGCTGCGAGATTAATCATTTTTAAATTGTAATCGGATTATTTGATTATGAAGATGTTAAAACAATTTAAATCATCAAATCGATTTTCCTCTCTGTCATGTCTCGCGCCTCCAGGCCACCGTAGACTTCCCCTTCCTGTGAGAGCGCTCCCCAGTTCCCATACACACCAGTGTAAACAAACATGGTGTTTGCAAAAGAAGGCGATAATTTCGTGGCTAAATAGGACAAGAGCGAGTCAGTCGTATGGAATTGGTACGGCTTCGCTGTTTCATATGAAGAGCAAACCACTCCCCGCTGCAAAGTCTGTCTGAAAGCGGTATCAACCCGTCCACATGGAACGAATTCAGGAGTGAACGCAAAAGTTATTCGTTGCCTTATCCATGTGGAAACGGCGTTTTGTGTAACTGTAAACTGTACTTTTTGAAAACGGGTCAGAGAGTGCATACATCTGCCAACGACTACCATTTCATCTCCGTGTGGATGTCTATCTGCATCTCTTGAAATGATTGTGTAACATATAGCGTAACTCTTTTGTGGCGCCTGCACGTGTATCACCAAAACAACCTTTATATGCACACTCTGTACTCTTCTTCTTCTGTCTTTTGTGCTTTTCCTGTGCAGCGTTACAGCACAACTTAATGTAGTGTATCTTCCAAGCCAGTGTTTTCAGTGGTTTTGTTTTCAGAGATGATAGTAAAACTTATTATTTAAGTGAAGTTTGGTGATGTTGTCACTAAAAAAAAAAGTCGATTTTTCAGAGAAAAAAATCTGGATTTCATTTTTGGCCAAAATCGTGCAGCCCTACTTGAACCGTGTTTCATTGTCCTCGTCCCGACTTATTCAAAACATGTTGCTGCTATCAAAGTCAAAATGAGCGTGTCTTTTATGAAACAATGAAATGAATCAGTTTTTAAATTTGGCACGTTCACTACTTTGACTCAAATAAAGGGTTTACAAACCTTTGCAAAAAAATGTTTAGTGTCATAACTTCTTTATTGTGTAGGATTGTTTCAGAGAAGAGGAAAAAGCACAATTTTTATGAATAAGGGAAGTTAAACCATCTGTTTACCACTTTCTTCTTACGAGACAGACCCACGGATGTTAAACGCCTCGTTAATATGATGATATGATTCAAAACATAAAGACACAAAAATATTAAAAATGTCAATTATAAGATATTAAAAAAATCATTATTATAGGATGATTGCATCATTTTTGGTCTTGTTTTAAATCTTATTCAGTACGACTTTTTGTCTTCTAATAAAAACCTCTTAAACCGAACCACACGTTTGACTGAGATACTTTTGGTGCCCATTCACATAACACTGAGGAAAACAGGATGCTTTCTGTTGTGGGAATCCCTGACAACTTTCCCTGTAACAGGCTAACTCTGTAACAAACAGTACACTATTTGCATCTCCATGGACGGTATGTGAAAAGTATATGGTACTGAGCTGAGCTGTGTCAGTTTGATGTATTGAAGCCTGTTTAAAATAACAGCCTGTCCTTGTAAAGCAGATTAAAGCCAATGCTGCCGCTGTGTGTTTTTATCTGCCCGGCAGACTTTCTTTTTTGTCCTGCTGTCTTGTATTAGCCTCCAAATAAATAACTCCGTGTAATCACAAATGGCAATAATGGTGTCTCTGTGAGAGTTTAAGGATGTGTGTAAGGGCTTTTCTCCTAAAACGCTTTCTTCTGAAAACAAAGCTGGCATGCTGGAAATGATGGATAAACCCGTCGTGTATGACTCCCTGTGGTCTTTTTTTTTTTTAATGTTGTTGCCAGGTTGGAAGCAGACTGGTTCTCCAAACGACTGGCATTCTGATGATCGTCTTGGGAATCTTTGGGAAATTTGGAGCTGTTTTTATCACCATCCCTGACCCGGTCATCGGGGGCATGTTTCTTGTGATGTTTGGAATGATTGCAGCGGTGGGAATTTCCAACCTCCAGGTAAACAGGGTGCAGGATTGTAAATGTCAGATTTTATTTTTGTGGAAACTGGAACGACAAGTGACTGCCAGTGAAACTTCTCCTTCTTTGAGAACTGTATGATACAGCAAATCTTCACTCATATAGAAGGTTTTCATCACTTAGTGTAATGAAAATACACAAGGGTGCTGCTGTACAGGGAGCCAAATTCCATAATGAATAATAGAGCCAAAACAGACAATCAAACGTCAAACAGAAAATTGTATTGAGTGCTTTCAGATTTGTGTCTTTTGTCGTGAGATTTCATGGCATCAGATGATGTAATATCCAAACAAAGTTAAGGTTATTTTTAAACTGAAAAGCAATGAGCTCATTCAGTCTCCTACAGGATGTTGTTCCTGTCTAAACTTCTCAAAAAACACAAAAGTTTAAAATGACCATACAATCAAGTTTCCACTTTTATCATCTGGTATGTTGTCTTTTCACTAAAGTCAAACATATATAGAAATTAAATGATGTGCATCCCTCATTATTGGGCTTTTTTTTAAACGAAACTTCTTGACCAAACTTTGCTGCCAAAGTTTGATGTGTGGAAACATGAAATTAAAATAATTGTGTCCAGCACAAAGTTTTGTTTCAGACAAAATGTTTTAGCTTTGAAAAATAACACTCTGTTCTAGTTTGATTAATGTTTTCTGCATGTGAACAATAAAACTGTCGGGGGATGTGATTTGAAGCAGCAGAAATTCAAGGGAAAATGAGAAAACTGTACTCAGAATAAATAAATCATCTCTATTTACCTAAGCCTCAGAAATATCTGTAAATCATAAGAAGACATAGATACAGTTTGACTCATAAGAGGCCATATCACTGTGAGAAAGGACTGATGTCATTACATTAGTAAAAATTCCAAACCTGATACTGTTTTGCCTTCATGCTTCATTGATTACTTTGTTTTTGTTGAGAAGCAGCAGCTCCATGAAAGACTCTGTTACAGCTGTCTGAAGCGGGGTACACACATAAAGAGAATCAAGCTGTTTTTGTCCAGATTTTCCCTCTCCTGACCAAGGACGACAATCGGAAGATCATCGTATATCTTCAAAGATTATCCTATAAGATTATCCTGTGGTCTGAGGTGTATTAAGAGTGAATTTGTCCCGATATTTGGGTCTGAAACGAGTCGAGGCCGACAATCATAAATATTAAACTTGTTCAATATTTACGACCAAGAATCTTCATGTGTGTGGGGAAAGCCGACGACTCCTGAATCATGACTCCTTGAATTGTCGCGTGAAACAGAATGTAGCCAATCAAGAAGCGATCTGACTGAGGAACAAGGAACCAAATAAAGCGAATAAAAATAAAGCATGGCCTTAAACACACTTAGCTTAATTTGAGAACAACTCATGTCTAGCTCCGCGTTCACGCTGCCTCCAGGATTTTTTTCCACAGTCTTTTCATTTTTTTAAGTTAAAGATTTTCCGTCAAAAAATACTCCTCAAACCACCATCGTTCCCTCCTCTTGTGTGTCCTCTTCCATGTTTGGTTTTGTGTTTCCTGGTTGTTGCTACGTTTCTTCTTCTTCGTTTTTGTTAATTATGTTTTATCATGTGAGATTTCTGTCTTGGAGGACTAGATTCTAGATCGCTGGTGGAACAGAATCGCTCTGTGTGTGGTGTGCTGTGTTGAGATTATCGGAGCAATCACACAGAGTACGATCAAAACTGTTCAATGCCTGATTTTTCATCTTCATGTGTGGGGTCTGTAACAGATAAAAATTCTCTTACGATTTTAAAAAATCCTTATGTGTGCTCCCCGCTTTATGTAGTTGCTGCAGTTTATTCCCACCAAACATCTGACGTCATCTACACGTCTTTTTTCAGGGTAAATCACATCAGCCAATCATGGCCGTAATTTAGCCCAAAAAAAGGCGCTGAAAACTAGGGCTGTAAAGTTCTAGTCGACTGGTTGACTTATTAGTTGATACGTGCTGAGGCGACAGAAAGTTCTGATTGGTCGACCCCTTTTATTTCGGCGTCAATTTACAGTCTACGGTTAATTTAATCAGGAGGAACGTACCAAGTGCTAATGGGGGTGTTTTCAGAGCACCCCGTTTCACAGGTAACAGCCTGTCTCAGAACACCCCCCTTCTTTTCACCATTTTGGATTCACCCAACCCACATGTTAATCAACGTCCGGTGGTTTGTTTAATATAATATTTGTGTTTAATTGCCTTCTTGTGCTGATTTCAGTATATTTTCACCCCGCCGTGCCATGCTCCGCTGAGGCATGTCGTCCCCTGTTGTGATTACAGCCCTTTTTAAACTTGGCTTCATTTAGACAGTCTGATTTGATCCTAATTCAGCCCAAAAAGAGACGTTGAAATCTGGGCTTTATTTAGACGCTCTGAATCTAGACGTTGTTTAGACCTGTGGTGAAGACGTCTCTTCAACCACTTTTTGCTGGGTGGGTTATGTCTCTTATGCTTTTTACCAAAAATAAGTGCTTTATAGATTTTGCAGAGAATGAAGATGCAAAATGCTGGTATCCAAAAGACTATGAAGAGAAATGAAAGCCCAAAAAAGCCTAGATAGATTTAGAGTCGATTTTGTGTGACCCCTGCAGACAAAGTGTTCCCTTTCACGTCTTTGCCGGTCCTGTCCCTTGCATATCTACCGATGATTTGTCAAAAGTTTTCCCCTCCGCTGCCTTTAAATTGTCAAAGGTATCATTTAGGAAACTTCAGGAAAATATCATCAAAGACACCGCTCATCTTTGTGCTTTATATATTTTTTCCGTGGGCAGCAGTCCCAGATTTGGTCACATGTATTCCTGATAGGCTTGATCGCCGTTCTAGATCATAAAAAGTAATCGGCATCAACTAAAGTCTGTTTCATTATCGGTTACAGAGGCTTTATTCAGTCTGGTATAGTTTTTCTTGTCCTGACATGGTGAAATACAGACACAGGTTTCTTTGAGGATGAACCACAAAGTGATTTAAGAGTTGGTTGTTTCTTTCCCTCTGCAGTATGTGGACCTCAACTCATCTCGTAACCTCCTCATTCTTGGTTTCTCAACCTTCAGCGGCCTCGTTTTACCGTCCTGGTTTCACTCCAACCCTGGCATAATTGACACAGGTAAACATTTACTTATGCTCACACACACACACCATGGTTGATTGTGAAAGTATAATTTTATCACAAATTGAAACTACATTACTAACTTAATAGGTGTAGCTAAACCCCAGCCAGACAACGATGAAGTGTACTGATGTTCTCTGTTTTCTTTTTAATTACGTTCAACCTAAACATTGTATTTAAACTCCTTTCCAGTCAACTCCTCAGTAACACCGTAAAAGCTAAAAGCTATGAAAATACAGACAATTAAAAATTTACAAAATTAAAAAAAACCTTCAGCTGTAACAAAACACTAACGAGTGCAGCTCTTAGCATGCACGTGACAGCTAATCATTAGAAACTAGCGAGACAGAAACCTATTAGAGAGGAATTTGTTTGGGTACTGAGAACCAGTTCCTATTTGGAACGGTACCTAACGTCCGGCTCTGACATTGTTAAGCAAATTTTTGAATTTCTATTCTTTTTTACGGTTCTGAGCGCACGCACTAGTTTGTTTTCGGGGCGTGAATCACTCCACTCAGCATTCTCTGTGCTTTCGCTGGCAAGAACATCACTCGTCTGAACATGGGCCGCAAAAAAATGCTCAAAAGTCTGGCATTTTAATTTAAAAGAGGAGGACGGAGTAGCACAGTGCAACATCTGCAAAAAAAAAAAACACAATTTCTCCCTTTTCTTCCGCTCATTGGCAGACAGTGCATGTGTGTGTTTTGTCTGTGGCTTTGCTTGGAACTGAACAAAGGCCTGTCAAGTTTTAATCGTCTGTTTTATTTAAAGGAAAGAAAATAACAGTTTGGTTGATTGGGGGAAAAATTGGTTTCTCTGTCGGATTATTCTACAGAAAATGATTGAGACTCTTTCAGCTGAGGCTTCCATGAGGTAAGAATGTTCCCAGATCCAACAGTTCTTATGGCAAAGACTGGGTCACCTTTAGTCTGTAGGTCTGCTCTGTTTGTATGTCTGTTGGGTCAAACACTATTGATTCACTTGGGTGCAAGACTCCATTTGGTCTGTAGGGTGCACTAGTGAGGCTTTTCCACTACACACATTGGCACATGCCTTTTTGCTGGTCATCACTTCGGGTACGTCTGACGGTGTTATGTCTACTGAAGTTAAACAGTGTGGAGGTGTCGGTCCCTGAGAGAGTTTGACTTTGAGGGTTTGTCTTGATTTCACATGACCTGGGGAAACTATAGTTACAGCACCGAGGGGGGTGCAGATTGTAATGAAAATAAAGAGTAGGAGGTTTAAAAAAACATGAACAAATTTAGAAAAACAAATATGCAGTTTGAGAAATACTCTTATTTTTAACTGAACCTCTAAAGACGATAGATTTAAACCTATCAGCACGAGTTGTAAAAAGTTCCCATAACTGTTTGTGGACGTGCTTTGTAACCTGGCAGCTCTTGAAAGAGAATGAACTGGGAAATTGAGCGTAAACATGGGTCAGAGAGGGTAAGATTCTCACACATCGCTGCAAAGTTGAATCCTGGTTTAATCCGGGTTTAGCGGCAACACTGGGTTGGTTGTATGTTCTAGTTCACACAAACGGAGGTGGTTGTGCCAGAAAAGCCTGTGGATTATGTCTTTGTTGCTTCATTAGCGTCACAACTGGTCGGTTGGGTACGCAGAGGAAACAAACCTGGAGGAGATTAGATTATTGAACGTACTTGATTTTAACTGCAGAAGTTACAATAATCAGCCAAACTTATGTCATTATAGGGAGATATTTTTATGGTTATGACTGGATTGAAACCAGAATTCTGGTTTTCACATTCAGCTCATGTTCACAGACAAAATGAATTGGACCATCTGAAGCTCTTACGAACACAAGCCCGATCAATGAAAGATCTTACAACCAGTCAGAGATAAATCACAGCCAATCAGCTGATGATTCCCCGCCTTTGAAGACGCATTGATTGGCTGCGGAGTGTGTATGCCGCCACCCACTAGGAAGCCCCATCAAAAGAGCAATCCCCGCGATTAAACAGCTCTTCCCTGCAGACATAAGACCTTGATCCCACGAGTCATGTGATGCAAGTGTCTCCCAGGAAAGTGCTAATCAAGTGCAACACTGGGCATGAGGACTTGTCTGGTTTTCGCAGGTCTAGGCTGCTTACCTTCCAATCCTCTTGGCTGGCCCCCATGTCACTGGCTGTAATCTGCCTGGCTCAGATAAAGCACTCTTGCCCCGGAGTTCTTCTCCAGCCTCAACACTCCACTGATAGCTCAACACAAGAGGAGGCCTGTCAGTGCGCAGTGTAAACAAACTGCTGCTCATCCAGACTTCTTAGATGTACAGGCAGTGGGATTTAGAATCCACCCGGCGGGTGCCTTGAACTTTTGACTGCTGGCTCACTGGGCATGAAAAGTGTGTGTGTGTGTGTGTGTGTGTGTGTGTGTGTGTGTGTGTGTGTGTGTGTGTGTGTGTGTGTGTGTGTGTGTGTGTGTGTGTGTGTGTGTGTGTGTTTGTAAGCTGGGATTGGTCCTTTGAACCAGATTGCGACCAGAATCAAACTACGTCAGCGCTGTTTGCAAATCTTGATTCAATTCTTAGTACAATTTTATCAAGAAGTTTGTATCCCAGAGTGAAATGATGAGAGCAGGCGCATGCAGGCATCCACAGCTTGAATGGTGCTCTGTCTTCAACCATGTGCTGGTGCGAGCACATGCCATACAAAAGGATAAAGAATATACCAAGGGACTCTGAATGCCATGATGGCAAGTTGATTTTATCACAAACCTGCAGGCACCACAGGACCCTCGACTCTTAACATTTTCACATTTTTCTGACCCCACCAGAAAACTTCCAAAGGGAGCTCAGTGAAAAACGAGACGCGATGCTTTCTCCTTTGCCTGCTGACCTCTTTTGACTAATTCTGTCACCGTTTTCTGGGTTGAAGACTGCATTTCCCCTGAGCGCCATCACCCACCCACTGTTCACTAAGATGTGACAAAGCATGGGTTTGTTGTTGAAGGAAATAAGTGGAGTACAGATCTTCCTTTGAATGCTTCTCTTTCCTTTCTGCAGTAAAAAACTACAATGGGCCGTGAATGATGACAAAACTTTATAAACTCTGACTTAGGGCTGGGCGATATGGGAAAAAGTTTATCACAATATATTTTTTTTCATATCAGTCGATATCAATATATACGAAAAAAAAGATGAAATTTAACAGTGATTATTGGTAGCATGTCTTTTGCATTACAATAAGCTACTGCATCTGTGTGGTCTCTGTGTCTCTCCGACGTTTTGTCATAAGGAGTTGCACTAGAGAAAGCGGACTGAATGGTCGGCTGCTACTATGCAGTTGTTTGTTACTTGGTTCTAATTCAGCATGAAGCGGACCTGGAGCAACTCCCCTTTTCATTGGCTATTCCTATAGTTGACCAAAACATGTCAGAATGCCGACTATCAAAAAGGATAGTGACCATGTTTTATATTGATATGGAGGAAAATTAATTTCCGATATTTATCACTGTTTTATCGCCCAGCCCTACTCTGACTTATTACCATTTCTTGACTTACAAAAGGAAGAAAGACAATTCATAAACCTCCTTTTCGATGCACTAATGTCTCATCCTCAGAAATGTTTTAATCACTTAAGATAAGTAGAGTCTACTTTTGGACATGTGGCGGGGGGAAATCTTAACACATGGCAACACGAGCAGAGCGGGCCAACCAAAGCCTGGAAGTATGTCTTCTTTTAGTCCAACAGATGGATGGGAGCGGGACTGGGTGTCACTCTGTCCCCCAAGATTTACGGTTGCTGTTGGTTTAGCTGGTTTGGTTTTGAGGATGTTTTTTTTTTCTTCTTCTCAGTTCGACAGAAAACCATCAAGCCAAAGGAGTAAAAAAAGGAGTATGGCTGCAGTTTATTTTATATTTCAGAGACAAAACACGTCTGCAGACGCACCTGTTCACTTTAGCCTCTGGGGTAGTATAGCTACTTTTATTGAGTCTTTTTATTTATTTGCTACGTTTATCTATATTGTTGTTTTATGTTTTTATATGTTTTATGCTTTTATTGTTTTTTATTGTTTCTGGCTATTTTACTGTAAAGCACTTTGGTAGGCCACTGGCTGTTTTAAATGTGCTTTATAAATAAAGCTAACATTGACATTGACATAAATATGAATTTTTACAACACACTTGTGCTTACATTACAAGAATCAGTGAAAAAAAAAGATTTGTAATAAACCAAAAACCATTGCAAAGCCAGGGACAAGTTCATGGAGGAATATAGATGAATGATAATTTCTGATCATTTTAGGCTTCACTTTTGCTACAGGCTTTCTGTTTTGTTTTGATTTTTCTCTCAGTATGTCTTTAAGGGATGTTTTGGTAAAAAATTCAAGAATGTTGCTAAAGGGAGCCATAGGTCTTGAAAAATGTAGCCTCTGTTATTCTTTTCTAAAATCAATCTCTTTAAAGGTAGAAATCATAGACTGTATATAGAATGGACGCCATCTGCCTCCTCGCTGGGTGAAGCCACCACAAGAACAGCACCCTCTAGTGGCGGGCTGCAGTATAGATCATAAATACCGCCTCCTCCAGCAATCCCTATGAAGCTGTGGACAAACTTTAGAAATTAGTTACAATGAATATAAATTTATCTCCCCCTTGGCTGCGATGTTGACATGTAGTTCCTGTAAGACTGTTTTGTGCTCAAGTCCTCTTTTTTCTGTGCAGCTCTATTTTTAAAAGTTTTTAGGGGGTTCATGTTTTCTATGATTGACACTTGATACAGCCTATGGGCGTACGAAGATTGTGTCACTCAACCGGGGGATACGCTGTTTGAGACAAGCCTCATCACAGCGACTCTCCATGACTCTCCCGCTGAATGTGTACAACGCTACTGTGCAAGTTGTTCCAGGAAGTAAAGAAAAAACCCAGAAATACAGAGAACTTTTTGGCTTCAAATTCATCGAATGACGGAAGGCGGAACCAACTTGTCCATGGTAGAAATCTGACGGTGTTATGTCTAGAAACTCAGAAATCTGATCAAGAACCATCTTAAAAGTCGGGGGGAGTTCATTTTTCCAAAATTAAAGAATACACTTCTTATTATTGTTAATAATCTGCATTTTTTTTCTGATCAAACTGAAAAACTGGTTTGTTATTTATTAAATACACGCTGGATAATTGATCAAATTCTGTTTTTAAAACTCTTTTTTGAAATAATGAATTGAATTCCAAAAACACAACAAACAAGTATCACAATGCCAAAAGAGGTGCGTAAATGTTCCTACTTTAACTTTACATCTCAGACAGTTTTGCTGAGATTATTTTAAAATCTACACATCTACATCTTCCTCTGTCTCTGTTCTAAGGAATCAAAGAGCTGGACCAAGTGATCGTAGTTCTCTTCACCACTCACATGTTCATCGGCGGATTCTTCGGGTTTATCTTGGACAACACAATCCCAGGTATGATAACATGATAGTGCTTAACTACAACAAACAATGACACCTTTACAGTCAGCTGACCTTTATCTCTTCTTCCTCCCACAAAGGCACCGATAAAGAGCGAGGCATCAAGAGCTGGCAGGTGACGGTACAAGCGGGAAGCAACACCATGTGTGACCATTCCTGCTACGATATCCCTTTCTGCAACGGTGTTCTGAAACGCTTCCGCTGTTTCCAGTACCTGCCCTTCCTCCCGTCGTACAAGTCAAACCAACAGGCGACATCCAAGTAATGAAGGGTTAGCTTGAAGGGCAAAAAGTAAAAATAGGAAACCGTATCAAACACTGGCTTTAATTCTGGCTTTAACATTATTTGGCACGAGCGTAAATACGTCGATATGTCACCGTGACGTCTCAATGCTCCACTTTCTCTCCGTTTCCAAAATAAACATGCAGCTATATTGATTCGATCTAACTAAATCTAGATCCTAAAACTCTTCTTTCAGGGTTCAGTTTTCAAAAGAAACATAACTGGTAACTGTTTGCACACTGTCCTCTTTTACAGCCTGTGCTCTACCAGCTGAGTCTATACCCTCCAGGGAGTCTGTTTTTGTTCTTGTCCATCCGGGATGTTGGTTGGCTCGGCCCCAGAAAGTAAACACATCTTGCAGACTATGGGTTGTATTATTTTGCAAAAAGAAAAAGAGTGAGAGCCAAAATCTTACTTTGAAGATGCACTTCCACAGGGCGCTCTGGTTTTCTTATTTAAGTTCTAAACATTGAAGAAAGTCGGAAACGTTCAGTGCGGCAGAGAGCTCTGGATGGTGTAATCCACTGGGGGAAAGGTCCTATGTCAGTCAGACCGCAAGAAGTTGAATTTGAGTAAAATTTCAGTCAGACTACTGTAATAAATTCTTCTTTTTTAAGTGCATGTTAACAAACCGAGCAATACCGTCCACAGCAGGTTCTGTTTTTGCTTAATTCAAGAGCAGACTGTCTTAATTAGAGACAAGAAGTCAGGCACCAGACAATATTAAAATATCTGGTTATTTTCAAAGTAAAACACGACTTGTTAACCCCACATCATATTTCACTTGACTTCAACACCAAACTGTTGCAGGAAGCAGAGTCGGGCATTGCTCAGCCATTTTTCAGAGCTTGTGCAGGTTGGGATTGTGGCATAAGGTGTCAGGTGAAAGTGTCCCTGTGTGTCCACAAACAATGATAGGTTATTACTACAGTTCACCATTTAAAATAAGGTTGTCAAAGATAATAGTTTAAGTTATGGTCAAACACACCGTAACACTGAGTTAGACAACCCCTCGAGATGAATGTTGCAGACCGCTTGCTTCTCTAGTTATACCAACTTTAGTAACGACCGCATGATAGCAACACACAGCGGTCTATGTCTCCACATGCAAACCTTAAGCAAAAAGCCACTCTATAGCCACAAATAATGCTCAGAACAGCACCTAACTAACAACTCACCCACTCTCCTCCAGCAGCCCCTTGTTTGTGGGGGGAACCCTGACGAGTCGGTCACCGAGTGCAACGGGGGTTTCGCAGCTCAAGGAAGAACATTTATTATTGTTTACAGACCGAGATGCCAAGGCAGAAGAACTACCACATCTGCAGTGCAAAATGATTATTATTATGGTTATTACTTTATGGAAATGATCCGCTGCACTCATGTCATGGTGTGTTTGACCATAACTTAAAATAACGCCGGAATATCCCTTTAAAGCACCTAAGGTATTTCATAAAAGATCCCGTGGTAAGACTCTCAGAGTAAAAGATCCACAACTTTTTGTATCAGTGAGTTTTGACTGCAGCCATGAGAATTTTTTTGCGAAGCTGTCTGCTGACAGAGTAATCGGACAATCAGAGTCCGCACAGCTGACCAGGAATGAAAGATTATCATCATCTCTGTTGCCTGCAGCGTAAAAGATAACCGCATCCTTGAAGAAGGAGTGCTCTCTGCAGCTGCATAGTTAAGCTGTTCCTCTAGCTGTCAACACTCTCAGAAACTTTCACAGCCGTTAAAAACATCAAATGCAAAAAGGGCAAGTATTCAAGAATACTGGGAAATTGGGATGATACTGGGAAATTCCAGAGAATACTGGTAACTCACTCACAGTGAAACAAGCTACACAAGACAAGCTAACATCATTATTTTTTGTATTTTTCCATTGCAACCCACCCTCATGAGCAGAAAAGAGGAAACATTGGTAAACAACTCAGCTAAACGGACAAATCATACATTTCCTGATTGTTTCACCGCAGTTATACTGATTAAAATGACCGCATTTCAGCACAGACGTGCAGGAGGGGCTGGATTTGGTTCATTTGCAGCTGAAGTCTCGATCCTCTCTGCCTGTTGCGTGTCTCTGCTGTGCTCACCATCCCAGCCACTACACCATTAAACCTCCTCTTAAACAAGTCGGCAAATACCGAGAAGTGTTTGAGCATCTATGGCACCTAAGGAATACCTTCTTGAATGTATTCTTCCAGTCTGGACCAGCTGCCTGCCAGGCAGCTCCACCTCACCTTACAATGACTGATGGCCCTCAAAGGAGCAGAAACACCATAAAATACAGACAGTGAGATGACCACCTCCAGATGATTCAGATTCTCATTCATCTTAGTTATTCATCACTGTGAACAAATATCCTTTTATTTTGCCTTTTATTTCTTTTATCAGTGTGTCAGATGCAGGTTTTTATTATTGCTGTGTTATCAAACCAAGTAATGGATATTACTTTGTACTGGTATCTCATCAAAATGAAAATTCTTGTCTTGTGACAGCAGAAGCGTATGGTGAAAAAAATGAATGGGCTCTTACGTGACAAAGTAAAGCACTGAGAAGTACTCAGCACTACTGTTTGGATCAGAGCGTCTTAAAATGAGCTTAATAACATTGCAGAGCTAACTCCATCAGCAGCGGGTGAGCTTGTGTGCCAGTTCTCTGATCGGTTTCTCAACGAAGGGGCTGAGCTGACCAGCATCTGTTTACCATCGCTATTGACAAGTACCTCATACAACCCCACATTCAAATAAGAGCAAATCTCCCCTTTAAGAGCTACGGAAGAGGATTAGGCCCCTTTCGAAATAAATAAATAAATAAATAAATAAATAAAAGGTTAACTGTATAGATATTTTAAATTATTACTCTGACTTTAAAGTCAGAATTCTGAGATCAAAGTCAAAATTCTGAGAAAAAAAGTCAGAATTAAAAATAAAAGTAACAATTCTGAAAAAAAGTCAGAATTCTGAAAAAAAAGTAACAAGTTTAAAATAAAGTCAGAATTTTGAGATTAAAGTCAAAATTCTTAGTTTAAGGTCAGCATTCTGGGAAAGAAAGTCAAAGTTCTGACTTTGAAGTCAGAATTTTTGGAAAAAAAGTCAGAATTCTGACTTTAATCGTACAATTTTGACTTTTTTACCCAGAATAATATTCCCAAAATGTTATATATATAAAAACAAGATATATATAGATAGATTGACAACCAGACTGAACCTGCAGAGCTATTATGTCTGTATAATCATGAGTGACCTGAAGTAACAAACTAATCTGACAAGAATAAAATAATCAAAAACAAATGAGGCTTTAATAAGAATTAATATAAACCTTTATTCCTGTATCTACTTGAGCACTAAAGCAGCACATTTGTTATCTACAATTATTTATGAGTTTTGAAACTAACTTTTTTACAAATGTCTACAAAATGCAGACTACTGAAAATGAACTAAATAAACTCCTTGATCGAGCAAAGAGCAGCAGGATACATTTCATTAGTTCAAAGACATCAGGATGCTTTAAAATCGGTTATACTCTAAATCTTTTCATCATCCATGTTTTAAAACCGCCGCTCTTCTTTTTTGCACAAAAGGAAGTGAACTTGTTTATCAAAATAAATGATGCACTTTTTAAAGATAATGTCGTGAAGCTGTACTGAGGCCACTGTTAAAGTGGTATAAATGTGTTGTATCCCCTGCGTTTTCAGTAGGATCATAACTTCTCTACCACTCAGAGTACCTCAAAGAAACAGATCATCAATAGGAAGTTTTTTTTTATCATAACTTAATGAAATTTTTTTTAAGAATGTTGCATTTTACATTTCATTTTGTGTTTTGTCACCCTGCTGAAGTACAATTCTGATACAAATATGCTACCTTTTTCAGGTATATACATATATAATTTACTAATTTTGTTAAATAATTTCTAATCTTTTTTAAGATGTGTTAATTTTTTTTGTTGTTGAGGATGTTTTAAAGTTAATAAAGATAAAGAATTTCACACATTTTGAGGAGACATTTCATTTAAACTGAAAAATTCAACCTGCTGGTGGCACAAAGTGGAAATTCAGGCCTAATACTGTCATCATTTAGCATTGTCCATCCCCAAGATAATGAAGGATACTTCCACTCTTTTTCCATCAGCAAAAAGAAAACATTGGCGTGTCCTGAGTTTGAACTAGTCATGAAGTTATGCTGCGTTAAGTTACAGACTGGTTTTAATCGATGCTTTAGAACAAAGTCTATGGTCCAAAAAATGGACCAGTCCGCTCTCATTGTTTTTTGCTCAAGCTGAGATAGGTGCTTTGGTTGGGTCTCTAAAAATTAGCAAAATTACGTGGCCTACTTGACCTCATCTAAGCTTAGCTCGTCTTCATCAATGCGGGCAAAACTGACCAGCATTCGTTATGGCTTGTATATTCACCAGTACAACTCTACTCTAAAAGAACACTGAAATATCCCTTTAATTCAACCTCTTTGCGCTCTGTAACCCACTAAACATCCAGATTGTACCCTCCTGAGAACTATGGTCTGACACATCGTAATTCAAGGTGCGGCACATGTTTTGAGCAGAGCGTTTTAGATCTTTTTAATAGGGTTCCATAATCTTTGAAAGCTAAATGTGTAGGTCCTTAAATCCCTCCTGTGTCCAAAAACAATGTGATGAAATCTTTGATTGTGAGCCAAAGTAGTGAAAGTGCCGACTTTAACGGTTAAAAACTCTATAAAACTCCCTATTGCTCCCAAATGCTGTCTGTCAAAAACACACAGACGAGGCATCTGTTCATATCTATAGCTTCTCCTTTCTATATGAAAAATGAAATATCTATAATATATATGAAGTGTTTAGTATTTTCACTTGATTAAATTTTGACTATCATTATCTTTATAGGGAAGCCACTTTGTAAAAGAAGAGCCAGTATGGTTGTATTTCTTTCAGTCGTTCACATATGCTTCCCAGTCTACCTGAGTAACTCATCCTTTATGGCCGAGCACACCTGCTGCTCTATCGCCTGTTCGCACATTTGAACCATTTCCTCCTCTCTGTGGGATACACAGTTATATGAACACGTGTCAGACTATGATTACACTTTGTTAAACCTAATGACAGACTTGTTGTTTGACTGCGAAGAACCACCAAAAGAGAAGTGCTTGGGGATAAAAGTGAATGGGGGTACTGTGCAACCTTTAAATATGTGTTCACTGACAGTCTGGAAAATGTATAATGAGCCGAACAACAAATGCCACGGCTAACATACACTTAAAAATGTAGGCCAAGAACGTCCTACATAAATGCCTCTGTTTCCTTACAAAAAAAAAGTATGTTTAACTTTACTTCAAGTGTACTGTTTTTAAACTAAGTATTTACTTTTCAGAGTTATACCTAACAAAGTATATTTGGCTTGTACTAAGAATTATACTAAAAGTCCAAATATATTTAACCTATACTTATACATAAGCTTTTGATCAAGATAGTTTAAGTATACTTGGTCAGTGAATACTTCCATACATCTTTTTAAGAATATACTTTAAGAGTATACTCTTAAAAAGATCTGCAGTACCAGCCAAGTATACAACTATGTACTTCTATAAAAATAATTGCATACCAAAAGGTCTTTTTAATTGTGCTTCAGAGCCAGTGTGCAGAAAGCCGAGTGGATTAAGGCACATTCCCGTGTTGGGAACCATGGTCCCCGCTGTGGTCATGGGTTCAACTCCTGCTGTATGTCATCTCCCCCTCTCTCTATCACCCACATTGCCACTCTGTCCCCCCATAAAACAATAATAAGTAAACAAATGAAGGTATGTTTCAAAAAGGGGTGTAGAAGTTTATTACTAGTAAACTAATAGTATACCAAGAAGTTTATTTCTAAGAATGCTTCAAGTGGACTTTGATAAACTAAATTGGGCCAATTTAGTCTCAAGAAGTTCACTTCCAAGTACCATAGACTGTACATAGAATAGACAGCCACCGCAAGAACAGCACCCTCTGGTGACAGGCTGCAGTATAGGTAGGATAGGATAGGCCTCCTCCAGCAATCCCTATGGAGCTGTGGAAAAACTTTAGAAATTAATTACACAGAATATAATTTTTCTTCCCACTGGTTGTGATGTTGACATG